CCCCCCCCCCCCCAATGAGAAGCCGCGGTGAGCCCGCTCTGCGTGCTGTACCTGCCAAGCAACGGCCAATATCCACCTTGAGGACCGCCAGGGCAACTGACTGCGCCCATTGAACATTACCTACCTAACTTTTCTCGCGACTTCTGCTACCAGAATGCAACACGGAACGGGTGAGAAAGACTCCCCGGAAGAAGGATCATGCCAGCTGCTTGGTGGCTCTTTCGGATTCAGAGCCTATGATGGGCTTTCGTCCCGCATTTCAAACCACCAAGCCCGTCCAACAGGTAGCCATGAAACATCCTCTGTCTGTCCACCTTGCTCTTCAAATTTACATCCATCATCCTGGACCCCTCGACTCTCGAGCCCTCGGAGACGAAAAGTGTAACTGACAACCGCTCCGTCGACTCCAGCCCGACGCAGGCTTCCCAGTCCAAGCTTAATGTGCTCAAGCCACTTGAACGTCCGATTCGTACCTGTTCGACTCTGCTGGCGATGATGGACAACATGAAACACTGGCGCCCGGCGCCCCCAACCAACCATCCAGCTTCAGCTAAAGGGCCATCCTCCTTTGGGTTCGCCCGACAAAGCATCATCCTTGCTGGGCCTGAGCACCTGTGTACCCTGAAAAAGACCTCTGTACTTCCATCTTTTGCGGGGATCATAGTGGTTCGCACCCAAAAACACCCCTGAAGCTGCATTGTGTGGGTTCGTCATATTCCTGGATTCAGGCAACCGTCGAATAATAGGTCACAGGCATGTGCACTGTCTTATGCCACTATTAATATTGATCCCTATGTCACACGGTGCGCGCCTATTGACCGGCTTTTATCGTTTCGGGCCCGGGGCCAAACCGCTGCTGATGATCACGTGTCTCATCACTGCATCACACTGTTTTGGCGGGCACGTTATCTCATCTGGCTGGTTGGGTCAAGATGACGGTGCAACTACTGGGTACATACTCTGTTTTTGGGACTACTTGGTAGCCTTGGGCTGCGGGTAGAGAGTGCCAATATGCGAGAGTCTGGATAACGAGTACAAAGCTGCCAAACACTGCCTGTCAGCTAAGTCGGTCTGTTGGCTGACTCAAAGATCACACCACACTTAAATTCTGCATTATGATCAGATAAACACTACGGCACATGAACATCCAAGCTCGGGCAGCATTTAATTTTCAATCATAGGTTCTCGCCCTCTAGAGAATCTTGCATGTCACGATATATTCTGGGATTTCTTTTTGAAGCGATGCTTGGCCCCGGTCCAGCATTAGGGAGCCGTACGCCCACGACCGTGCTGTCGAATATCGGTAAGCAATAGTCGAGACACCTGAACTCACAACTACCAGTCTCCATCCCCCTTCGAGAAGGGCGCAATTGTGAAATACCTCTCTATGCAGCCTCGAGATCACGTTTTCTCGTTTGGTTCGTTCTTCCACTTAATCTGTTCTGATGCCAGTGAGCAGGATTGTGAGGGCAGGGTCCATCTTTGACTGGAAGATCTTCTCACTGAGGTAGGCAGTGGGAGCTCGAGATGGCAGCTTCACAGGGGCAGGGGCAGGAGCAGGAGCAGGAGCAGGAGCAGGAGCAGGAGCAGGAGCAGGAGCAGGAGCAGGAGCAGGAGCAGGAGCAAGATCGCCACTAGCCGCCGTCTATGCTAGTCGATGGTGATCTGCAGAGCCTTGCCCTGACGGGAGCGGACCTGAAGCCAATCTGATAGTAGCGAGGACTACTCCGTACAGCTCGGCGCATGGGGCTTCACGTCGCAAGCAAAAGTGTCACACGCGGCATTTAGATTTTCGTTTCAGATGCAAAGAAGCGTTGGCGCGATGATGGCCAGAAAGGGGACTATCAGCACCAGCCGAGGCCTAGAAATCAGATGCAGTGATGCTGACTGGTGTACGAGGTATTCGTAGAAACAGTGGCTGCTGGTCCTGAATCCCCAAGATCATCTCTTGCTATCGCAGAGGGCTTGAGATGACTCGATGACTGTCCAGAGGGTGTGGGACTGGCAGCCAAAGACGCAATGACGGCGGGGCAGCAAAGGCTGAACTGGACGACAATGAGGCCTTGACGCCGTAGATACAGTAATAATGTTATCGTGGAACTCCCTTCACGAAGGGGGTCACCCAGGGGGGTCTGTCTACCATATGCCAGCATCTGGAAATTGTATATGGGAGAGTAAAGGTAGATCGTCTGGCAAGTACTCGGTACGAGGTGCCAGACATCGGAGGATTATGCACTTGTTAGTCCAGAGAAACCGAGTGATTCTAGCCGATCTCGCCAACATGGAGCGTCAACCAAGTCCCAGCTCGGCCAAAGTCCATCATGCCAAGCTCGGCTTGCAAATGCCCATCAACTGCCTTTTTCACGACTTCTGCTTCATCTCGACGTCCAAAAGTACCTTTTAGTTGCCATTCAAACATCGCTGTGTCTTTTCGGTTGTCCGCACGGCCTTTCATCGACTAATCTGCCGTCTCTGTGCCTCTCGTCGCTCTGTTGCTCTTTTACCCGAGTACATGCCCAAAGAGTGCTTCAAACTCGACTCTTCAGACTCGTCGCCCGCGCCTTCGCCTTCACCCTCATCCACCTCCCTTGCCCCTCCCCAAGCTCCAATTGGCGATGATCTGCTACAGCCAGTATGAACGGTATCACCGAGCCCTTACCCGGCCTCCTTGACGATCCTCTATTCCAGCTCCCCGATCTGCCCGCTCTGACCGACATTCAAATCGCTCCTCTCCGCAACCCTGCGCCAAGCCGTCACGCAAATGTTCCTCTGCCTCTCGAGCCTGTGGCCGACAATAGTCTGAACAATGGACGAACAAACAAAAACACCACACATCCTGCAGATAGTCCTGAGACGAGGAGGACGCCAAAAATCACACCCAATGATGTCCTCCTAGCACGAGAGGCTAAAAGACCGCACTTGGCTATCAGTGAACTGCTGGAAGCCGACCATGGCCCGGACTTCGCCCCAACATATCTCCCATCGTTCATCAGTTTGTCTGTGGTGGAAAAATCGCCTGTCCAGACTCCTTCCTTTGTCGAGCCTCCTTACTCTCTGAGGCGCTTAAGATTGGACACAGACAACGATCATGGAACTCTTGACTGGACCAGGCATCTTCCTCCCCCTGCTCAGAAGGAAGACCGGCAGAGTAGGCCCGCTCCGCTCCTCCCTGCCATGGTTACAGGACTGCATGAACCTCCTCCTTCGGCAGCTTTGTTGCCATCAATCGACCTTGACTCGATACATGCTGTGGTTGCAGGGCAGCATGAACTGGCCCCTTCTGCACCTCTCCTACGGTCAACTGACTTTGACCCGATACATTCCACAGCGACAGGACTGCATGAACTTCCTCCTCATTCTGCGGCTCCGCTACCACCAATTGACACCGAACTGATACACGCCACAGGACTGCAGGAGCCGCCTCTCTCTGCAGCCCTGCTGCCACCAGTTGACCCCGACTCAACATATACCGCAGTTACAGGGCCGCATGAACCCCCTCACTCTGCGGCTCTGCTACAGTCAATTGACTCTGATCCGACACATGGCACAATTACGGGATTGCATGAACCTCCTCCTTCTGCTGCTCTGCTACCGTCAATTGACCTGGACTCGATTCCAGCCATTGCTCGGCAAACAACAACTTCAAGGATCCACGTCAGAGACATGCTCACTGAGTCCAGTCAGCCAGACCCTGCGCCTCCGGCAGCGCCTTCGCCCCCAGCAGCCTCATCTGGCCCCCTTGTTGATAGGCTGGCCGTACCCAACCAACAGGACACGGGTAATTATCCAACTCCTCCAGAGGAGGTCCGTGACCACGTCCCTCGAGTAATCCCTCCTGTTCGTCCTCCTTGGAAGGCGGGCCCCATGAGAGGTCCCAACAATCGTCGGCCTAGGCGGAAGTGGACCGGCACTGAAACAGCAGACCTCATGGCTGGCGTGAGCAAGTACGGCATTGGGAGGTGGAAACAGATCGTGGATGATCCATCCTTCAACTTTGGCGATCGAAGTGCTGTCGACTTGAAAGATCGGTATCGCGTCTGTGTGAATGAAAAGCCCTCAACGAAGGCAGACACGAATCTGAGGGCCGACAGTCCTATTGCGGAGGCATCCCCTTCCATTGAAATATTAGGAATAAGGCAGTGCCGAGAAAGAGGTGCCGCAATTAACTCAACCCCAAAACGTCGTAAACGCCGTGCTTGGACTGAGGAAGAGGACAACAATCTCCTGGGAGGTGTCGCCAGACATGGATTTCAGTGGACTGCCATTCATGATGACCCGGACCTCAATCTGTCGCATAGACGGGCAACAGATCTCCGCGATCGTATTCGAAATAGGTTTCCAGATGGGTACAAGCACGCCGAGTTTGCGCCGTCGAAGCGTGAGGCTAGGAACGCCATAAGAGCGGAAAAAGAGGCCCTCGCTGATCAGCCGATACCATGGGATGTAGTTGTCCCTGGCAGGGAATACGAAGGGACGAGGATAGAGAGAGGACGGTGGGAGGAGATCACATCGACAGACGACAGCACGCCGACTTCAGCTGGATCTAACGATGCTACTACCTCGGTGACCAGGGTGACCGGCGATGTTGACAAAGAAAACGAAATCAGGCAAGACGAAAACGAGAAAGAAAGAGACCGGGATAGGGAAAAGGAGCAGCAGCAGCAGCAGCCCCTTATCACATTGCCGAGTTTCTCGCTCGGGTTCTTCGATGATATGGACTGGGAGGATAATACGCTGCCACCGATGCATGACGGGGATGACAGTAGTGATTAGCCGGGGCAAAATGGGATGCGCATTGAAGAATTGAACAGAAAGGATACTTTGCGTGGCATTCGAAAAGGGTGTTTGAACAGATATGTAAAGGGCGCATACCGCTCCACGGTGACGTGGCATTGGACAGGACTGAACACGGGAAGCCATAAACGGCAATACGGCGTGGCTCACACAGCGACGGGACCGGGCTCATTTTGGTCACTCTTTTCTCAACTTGTTTGGCTGGGTTGACATGGGACTCTGGGAGAATGAGGCAGGACAACGGACTCAGGAAAAGGAAGTGGGCGAGGGAGGGAAATGCCCCGTTTTGCTATTTGCGACTGTGATACCCATTGTTTTTTTTTTTCATTGCACTTTTGACTTTTGCCGGTCCGGGAATGGGAGAGGACTTGGAACTGGGATAGAGCCGTCTGGAAATACTCCGTACATACCTAGGTAATGAGATTCAGGGCAGGAGGCTGTAGCGGTATGCCGACTGTTGTTAAATAGCAGAGGAGGTCGACTCGCTGGTTATATATATGTCTGGTTTGGTCACCAACGCCACAATTGGGTCCTCGTCGTTCTTTCCTTCCTTCCTCTCTTCCTCCCTTCTTTCATGGTTGCATTCACTCATCAAGGTTGCCGCAAGTCAAGTATTCCCTTCTACGCAGGTGACTAACTGATAGCTTGCTTTAGTCTTTTTGCCAATAGGAGAGAAAAGGGCAGTGGGAGAGAGAAGAGAGAAACAGGACGTTCAATGGCCGCGGTGTCTGTCAATCAATATTAATTGCAAGGACATCAGGTGAAGGCTGGATGAATAATCAATCACTCTCTGTGTGCTTCGATTTTCTCTCCTTTCTCAGCTATGCTCACTGAGTTTTTTTGTATTCGACGACTTTCCGGCACGCACATCATGACCATCCAAAAGCCTTTCGAACATCCTTCCTCGGGCAGACACTCTCCAGAACGTCCCATTTGGATTCAGGCTTATGGAGATTGTTGTCTTGCGTGGGCACAGAAGACGCTCAGAATTGTTCAATTCGTTGTATTCCAACCCATCTCGATGGTCTTTGAAAGCAGACAGCGCCATCTTGAATACTCCATGAGCACCCCGCTCCTCCATGTATGTGCTAAAAGAAAAGGAACAAATGTTGAACAGACAGTGTCGAATAATGCCGCAGGAGTTTGCTCGCAGAAAGCCTCGCTTCGAATTGTCGTTTTGCTCATCATCTCGTTGATCGTTTCGATCTCGTCATTTCTTTTTGGGTTTGGAAGTGCGGTTGTTCACCACGCATTGCGGTCCCAATTTGGATCTGTTTGTCTCCTGTCAGTCCGGTCTCGCTCCCTTCGGCCAGGCATCCTCGCCTCACCTTGTATGAACGCTCCGAGAACCTTGCTCCCAGTTTGTAGGAGCGGGTGTCCAACCACGATCTGTAGGAATCTCTGAAGTCCTTCTCTCCTGTGCTCAATCACGTCGTCAGAGAATCTGTTTGTGAATACTTTCCCGGGCAATGGAGGGATTGTGACTCTCGCGCTTTCTCGCTCCAGAATGTCTCGAAAGTACTCAAAGTCGGAGTATCTGCGGCGAACAACCGAGTGGCGCAGTTTAAAGGCCGGGATGTTGGTGCGGGTGTGGATTTCATAAGAAGTGTACATGTTACGAGGAGAAGAGCCGTGGGTTTGTGGATTTTTCACCTACAGCCAGAGGTTAGTCCCGCTTTCCAGTGAAATGTGCCTGGCTCCGACAGAGAGAGCACAGGAAGCTTTGCAATAGGTGAGAAATCCCACAACGTACTTCAATCTCGAGGAAGTTCTCTGGAGGACCGTAGATCTCCTCGAAGGTCTGTTGACGGGACTCCGGTAAGGCCTGCATCGCTGCGGGGTTCAAGATGGAGGATACAGGCAGCTGAACAGGGCGATCGGTCGCGTGCACTTGAGACGCAAGATGGTGGTAATCCGATGATATAGACTCCGAGTGCTTTGTAGGGCGCAGATGCGTGGGTGTCAGTCAGTCGAGCTGGAGAATGACTATGTGAAGTAGTCTTGGTTGATTAGGAGGTCACTCAGTGATATCTTGGTGTCTTGTCGAGAAGATTCCTGCCAGAGCGGCTCGCCGCACCTGACTTTTGGCGCTTTCCCAATCTGGTCACCCCGCATCTTGTCTCGAGTGCCATGCCAAGAAGTGAGTGGATCTCGAATTTCCGGTACAGGGTGCCAGTGATATTTTTTTTTTGCACTCGACTTCCAGTTCATTACAGAAGGCAACAATGCAGTCACGGTTACGCTCACCAAACGCTGACACCATGTCCAAAAAAAGAAAGAGAGAAGTCGACGTCGAGCTTGTCAAAGTCTACGAAGACCTGGCTGACATCCAGGAGAACATTCGTCTTGCCGCTGCCCACACACTGCTCTCCAAAATCTACAAGCCAGGCATCACCAGCCATGAACAGACCAAAACTATTCTGACGCGGCTCTTCCGTGGACTCTGCAGCAGTCGCAAATCGGCTCGGCTCGGCTTTTCTGTCGCCTTAACCGAACTTCTTTCACAACTTGCAGTTGCCCCGGTTTCGTCCACCGAGAGCGATGTTTCTGTCTCAACCGTCATTGACATCCTTGAGGCCGAGACCTTGCCAGAGAAGGGCACCTCTGGCCAAGACGAGCGAGATCATTATTTTGGGAGGGTGTTTGGTGCTGACGCCATCTTAAAGTCGGGAACCCTCTTCTGCAAGAAAGCAGATCAAAGTCATTTCAAGCGCCTGCTAGACATTGTTTGTGCTTTAGCAGTCAAGAAACCATGGCTTCGTCAAGAATGCGGCTGGGTGATCTACAATTGCATTGTCTCCGACGAGAACGAGCTGCCCGAAAAGTTTGCACTGGAAATAAGTGAGAGCCTGGTTGCGACCAAGCTCATACGTACGCCTGAAGGGGTTGCGATCTGGCTGGTGACGTCTAGGCGCTTCCCGAATGCGAAACTGCCTAAGTCGGCTTGGAAGAGCGGTCATCCACTGGCAAAGAAAGATGTTAACATCCTTGCCGATATTCTCAAAGATGCGAGAGTCCAGCAAGCGGAAGGGGAATCCGAACTGAACGCTCAAGGTTCTGCCAGATGGTCTGCGAATCTGCATTTTGCCTGGGATATTGTACTTGCCGAAACTTTTCCGAACACGCCTGATGCATCTGGGGATCGGAAAGGTGCGAAGAAAAGCGCCCGAAACGACAACAAGCTTGCATTCGACCTGTTCTGGAAAGTCGTTGTGGATGAAAGCCTCTTCGCACCTGCTAGCAGTGCCGAGCGGAAATCCTGGGGGTTCAGCCTGTGGAAGAAGGTCTTCGAAACAGCCCCCCAAGAGCTCTTGATCTATACCTTCACGCCGCAAGCGACTCGGTGCTTGGCCAACTCCCTTAAGAGCTCCGAGAGATTTCTATTGAGATCTGCCCAAAAACTGTCTCAAATCATTAATACCCGCTTGACGGAGACTGATCCCTGGAATCAGCGTGCCGACCTTGCCGGTACCTATGTTCGAGCGCTGTTACAGAGTGTCTCTTTCAGCGACTTTGATCAGGTCACTAAATCAAAAACTCTGCAGAACTTGTTCGAAGCAGACAATTTGGATGTGCTTAAGGGCATCAATTCTACTCTGACTAATCTTTTGCTCAGATCTCTTCAAGAAGAGGACGAGAAGGCGACTCTTTTGCAACAGAAAACGATTATAAATCTGGAGTGGAAGATGCTTTCAGCAAGGCTCCGTCGCTGGGAACACTTTCAAATGTCACACGAGCATGAGATTGAGAATGTAGATAAGGAACTCGTTTCCAGCATACTCAAGTCATGGCTCAGAGAAGGATGTGTCTCACTAACTGCGAAAATCCCGGAGAATCTCAACCGTGATATTCAGCCTGTACTGCTACCAGAGACTCGCGACTTTGCGAAAGAGCGTCTGAGTTTATCCTTTGAGCAAGCTCTCAAGCTCGGGTCTCTAGGCTGTTGGTTGTTGAAGGACGTTGTCCTTCATATTCGCAAATTAGAGACCCTTCATGTCCAGATGGCCTCTGCCTTCGAGGGCGATGTCAACGGCATAGTGCAGACAGCCTGGCAAAATTTGACAGCCACTCAGATCAATACCCAGACGTCCTCGAAAGCCGACCGGGCTCCAGCGGTGTCCTCGAAAAAGCCTGTTCATGCAAAAGTTTTGTCGTCCTCAGAGGGACTGTGTTTGCTTTATGCACTATTACTTTTTCAAATCTACAGTGGGGAGACGGAGGCTGTAGAGATATTGCAGGAAGTGCTAGACAACTGGGGTCGACGAAAGGATAACCAGAAAGGACGTGTGACAGCTAACAGTGGACAGGAGTCTGCAGATGCTATTATGGAGATTCTTCTCAGCTTTGCGTCAAGACCATCGAAGCTCATGAGGCGAATCACTGTCCAGATTTTCGATGCTTTCGCCCCCAATATCTCTGCTACTGGTCTCGAGGCTATGTGTCGCATCCTCGACACGAAAGAGAACCTTCAAGGCCAACAAGAGATGTTCGAGGCGGGGGGAGTCGAGAACGAGGATGAAGAGCACCTTGCTTCCGATTTGGAGATGGAAGGACTAGACTCCGATGTTGAAGTCGATTCGATTTCGGAGTCCGATAAATCATTGGACCAAGCAGACCCTAGCTCTGGATCGGCACATTCTGATGAAAATCCAGAAGAAGATTCAGATGACACATCTGGTGATTCTGAGGCTTCTGAGGCATCTGAGGGCGAGGATGAGGAGAATGAAGAGGACGAGGAGCTGGCTGCATTTGATGCTGCTCTTGCATCGGCTTTAGGGACTCGGCGACTCAACCAAGACGATCTCGCTGCCGCATCAGAGACTGCTGATTCCTCTTCCGACGCAGATATGGGCGACGATGAAATGATGCAACTGGATTCAAAGCTTGCAGAAGTCTTCCGTGCGCGAAATGAGCAGCAATCAAAGAACAAAAAGAAGGAGGCGAAGGAGGCGAAAGAGATCATCGTGAACTTCAAGAACCGCGTGCTCGACCTGATCGAGTCATATTTGAAACACCAGCAACACAACTCGTTGACCATGGACTTGATTCTGCCTCTCCTCAAACTTGCAAGGACCACGCAAACAAAGCAGCTTGCCGATCGTTCCTGCAATATGCTACAACAATTTTGCTCGCGGTGCAAAGGACCAAATGCACCCAAGTTACCTAGTGACTCCTACAGTGGGCATGCTGTCGATATTCTCAAGTCAATTCATGAGGAAGCGGGCATGGAGTCTTCCCACGCGCACTCAAATGTGGCAAGCCTATCGAGCATTCTTGTCGTGAAGGCCCTTGTCAAAGCCAATCCTACGAATATCAGGGTGATTGTTGAGACGTACGCGTCAACGAGACTACGGCAACTAACAGACAAGAAATGTCGAGTTCTGCCGGGGTTTTTCACAGACTGGAACAACTGGTGCCAAAGTACCGCAGGCAAGCTGACGGCATGATAAATTGGGGGCCACTAGCAATGAATATAGGGGTATCCAGCGAACGATCGATTCAATGAGCATCGCCTTGTCCAAAGCTAGCCTTCTTATACCTCTCTCGATGTCCGAGGTCCCCGCTGTCGAGAGCATCCCTGCAATCCACTGCCTTTTGAGGAGGTACTCCGTGCATGGGACTGGCAAGGCTAAAACACAGCCTGACAGGACATTACCATATCGGAAGCTTCGGCTGGAACTTTCCTGTGTTTGTGAGCAAGCCAAATGCGATTGGCGGCCCCAAGTTCTGGAAGTCCAGTCGTGTATGATTATATGAAAAAATTGGCGTTGGTGGCGTGGCCCTTGATCGGCAGTCACCCAGATGCTGTTTAATACCATTCGCCGAGGTAGCGAGTGGATGAGTAATGCTCTGGAGGATCCTTGGCAACGCTTTTCCTGATACAGTCAAAAGTCTCGAGGAATAATAATCTGTACAGCCTCGGAGTTGCTTACGAATTCTAGGGCCGGACTGCGTCCTCAGGGTTTCCATCCCTTTTCCCACAACTCTCTCTTTTTCTTAATAGGGTCAACTGAAAGAAGAATCTCAGCTTGAGGGTTCAACTACCAAGATAAGTTTCGCCACTTGACAGACTGGTCACTGTTATGCGCCGGGGTTGGGGGCATTTTTCGAAGAAAGTCTAATTCTATTGACCCACACCATCTCAGCCTTGTCCGATGTGTATCCTAATTCGGTATCTCATGGCCGCTTAGGCTATGGCTTACTGATGCATATCCATCTCCTCACTTGACAAGGGGCTTGCCTGTCACTAGTTTCGAAGTCCTTTTGTTCTTCTTCAGCACCCTTTTTCCTGGTGTTCACCTGATACTTGCTTGAGCCTTTCCGCTTGAACGCGTCTTCTCTGTTTGAAACCATTGTCTACTTGCGGCGTGTTTCCTTTCTGGAGGCAAGGCACCACGAAAGAACCCAAAGCATCTGGAAATCATTGGACTCTATAGTCTCCAATGCTGCGGTGATCGTACCCTGTGTCAGCCGTTCCTTGTTAAGACCCTAGGTTTTCTATTGCTGCACTTGGGAACTGCCTACGGACTCTTTGCGGTCGACGCCGCCATGGCAAGCTCAAAGAAACCGTCACTGCTGAAGCGGCTCAACGACAGGCTAGGGTTGAAAATCAATCTCCCAACCATATTATTGATGTTCAAGTATGTCATTGCAGAAGATGGATGCCAAAGCTGTACTACGAGAACATGTGCCACAGGACGGCAACCCGCCTGCAACCTCACCCAAACCTTTGGGTTCTATGCTAACGGACCGTGATCAGAGGAGCCGTCGCACCAACCGTTGGCCTTGCTATGTACGTTCACTTTTTAGAGGCAATTCAGTGGCAGGAGCTTACTACTACCAGATATCAAGATGCTAGCGTCGCAGCCCACTACTCGACAATCGGCTATCTCATCCCTATCATGTCACTCTTCGTCGTTCCAATTCTGCCCCGAGCCAGATTCCTGCAGAATTTCCTCGTCACTTGTGTACGACTCTCTTGGATCTGCCTCGCAGAAGTTTGTTCGGCTCACTGGTTACTAGTTCCTGACTTGTCTTGCCGCCGCAATATCCCTTCTCTACATGTGGACCGCAGTAAAAGCCCGACAAAACACGACTCATCTGTCAGCAGAGCAGCGGAGCAACGGACCAGTCCCGGGGGCCGAAGTTGTCCCCTACAATGCAGCTGCAAGCGCATGCCTGGCAGTGTGGTTCTTCTTTTGGCTCTGGGCATACAACACGTACGTCTTTCATTCATCGGTTCTCCTATAGCTCGATGTGGCCGTGCTGACGACCTAGTCAGGTTCCGCGCCTTTCGACCGCAATACTTCCTGCCTTTAATCGTGTTTGGTATATTTATCAACATCACGGCCGTATATGGCGCAATATTTCCAGAGATGGAACAAGTATACTCTCTAAGTAGGTTCTGGTGTTCCCTCGGAAACGTTTTTACTGATTTTGTGTGATTTTAGTGAGACGACTCCTCGATACCTTCTTTGTCGGATTCGGGCTTGCCTTCGCCGTTCACTTTGTGGTGCTTCCTCTTACAACGCGAGATCTGGCAACATTGATCCTCAACGAGTATCTCCACGTCCTCAAAAGCGTCATTGATGCTAAAGCAGCACTGCTGATCTCTTTACCCTCTCGGGACTGGAATGCTGGGAGCAAAGCGAGCAGCCTGGGGAGCGACAGTGAAGGGGGAGACCCTAATGAGCGGCTGACCTCCTGGCCTGAGGCTGATAAATGGAGAGCGCTCGCTGCGGAAGCCACTGAATGCCAGGTCAAGATTCAATCAGAGATGCGTTACGTCAAACGTGAGGTTACTTTTGGGAAATTATCTGGCAAGGACTTTTCGAGTATCACAAAACTGCTGAGGAATATTTTGATACCCATTGCTGGCCTCGAGACGGTGATTCAAGTAAATGATCGAGTTGAAAAGCAGGGAGGATGGACGTCTGCAAAGACCCACAAGGACGGTTCCGGCTCCGAGATTTCAGATCGAGCATTGAACGACATCGAGAAAGAGCGGTGGAGTTGGTTGTTTGGCCAGGTTGACGGAGCCTTCAAGCTGCTGTGGCAGGCAATGATTGAAGGGCTCGACTATGCATTCTTCACCCTGCAAATCACCAAGAAGCCAGCATTCACGACCAAAGCTGAGCTTGAAGCGAGAGCAGCCGAGTCTCGTGATGGAAAAGGGTTTGCAAGATACCTCGAAATGACTATCAACAAGTTCTTGGCTGAGCGAGAAGGGCCTTTGAAAGAATGGTGTCGCATGAACGAGACGGAGGAGACCACTGATCAATCGGCCGAGAGGTCTGCTCATCAGCGACATTCATCCCAGCTATACCTTCTGCTTGACGTACGTACTCTCCTGTCATTCAGAGTCACACTGACTTTTCAAGCTCGAATATTGCGTTGTGACAACCGCAATGGGGATCCTTGACCTGGTGCGGTTCGCCGATTCAAAAGTTGAGGACGGCACTATGAGGAAAAGGCGGCTGATATCTCCTACCGGGAAACAGTGGAAGAAGTGGGCATGGGCGATCATCACCCGTGAAGACAGCAATCTGGATTACACAGCATACAGCTATCGAAGCGGCACCCCTACCCTTTATCTAGGCGATGCTCTAGGGGTGAACCGGGATCCCGAACATCTCCCGCCCGTGACATGGTGGGAGAAGATGACCGACTACTTTCGTCTGATTCCCAAGGTTTTCGGCTCACAGGAATCCTGGTTCGGCTTCAAGGTCGCGGTGGGAACCATGATCATAGCGCTCACAGCCTTTTTGCGCAACTCGCAAGAATTCTACATCAAGCAGCGCATCATCTGGGGTGCCATCATGGTTGCCATCAGCATGACTCAAACCGCCGGATCAGGCATGTACGGGCAATTCGTGAGGATTTTCGGCACTTTCCTGGCGATGGTTCTCTCCTACATTGACTGGTACATCGTGGATGGCGACACGGCGGGGGTCATTGTCTTTGTCGGCCTGACCATGTTCCTCTATCACTATCTGATGGTCACGAAACCGAATGATCCTGTCATCCCTATGATTGGAATGATCACTGTCATGTTGATCGTGGCGTACGAGCTTCAAGTCAAGCAAGTGGGCCTCGCCATTTCCGAGTCCAACGGTCAAGTTTTCCATCCCATATACGAGCTGGCGCCTTACCGACTTGCCTGTGTGCTTGGCGGCGTGGGCGTCGCCTGCTTGCTGACATACTTTCCGAGTGTGACCACTGCGAGAAGCGAGATGCGGAAAGATCTGGGGAATACGGTGTACTTACTCGGCCAGTACTACAGCTCCTCGCACAAGGCGGTCTCATTGCGCCTGAAGGGGCTAGAAGGGGATGTCAAAGACCAGAAAAGCCCGCTCCGGACGCTGGAGAAGGCTCGCACCCGCCTATTCGCAAAAGAACTGATTCTCATCCAGGCAATGAAGAATCATCTCAAGTTCATCAGGTGGGAGCCTACTTTTGGAGGCAGATTCCCAAAGGAGTTGTATGAGAGGATGCTGGCGCATACGGAGAAGTAAGCCATTCCTGTCCCAAGTACATTCAACTGTCAAATGCTGACAAGACACTTAGTATCCTTCGATTCACAGCAATGATTGCATGGACCACCAAAACCTTCAAAGAAATCCCCGAAGCAGCGGGCCACGTTGAAGCTCCCAACTCTCTTGTGGCCACGGATGGGACCGGCACCTGGCTCAAGGACTTCACAAAACTCATCTCCTCCCTGGAACTGACCTCCCACAGCGTAACGTCACTCCTTGCCATCCTCTCCGGAGCCATCGGTTCCGGAAAGCCACTTCCCCCTTACCTGAGACCTCCTGAGCGATTCCACATCGGTGAGATGCTCTCCTCCCTCGACGCCGGCATATTAGACACCAAACACATCTGTGAGCCAGGGTATTCGGCCTTCGCCGTTATGCAGGTCTGCACAACCATGTTGAACGAGGACCTGGCGGACCTGTTGGCCGACACGAAGAAGCTGGTTGGTGAAGCCGAGTTTAATCTGGACATCGTGCAGGAGGACTATGAGCGGAATGTGGGAATAGTGCCGAGCGAGATCCGGGAGAAGACGGACTGAAGCCGTCCCGGGCGGAAAGAGAGGAGGAGGCATTTGAAAAGCTAATCTGGCAAGCCCACCGAGTGGTGAGTTGAGTTGACCACTTGAGAGGTATACCAGATGGAAAAGGTTCATCAGCCTGCAGAACCATCCCCCAGCGGTTTAATCCTGGTAGTAGGGACTCATGAGCGATTGCCTGGTTTTCTTGTGCGTGTATTGCACAGCAAGAAAGTGTTTTATTTTGGTGTAAAAGCGAATAATATAGCATTTGGACTGCACAGAGGTCGGGCCGTGGTATCTATCGCATGAAGATTTTCAATCCCGGTCACAAATTGGTGCCAGGGGGGTGTATAATGTGCTGTATCGTGCCTGACAAGGCTGCCAACCGGGGACGCGCCGCTCCTGCAGCTGCCACGGGCCACGGTTACCCGCCCTGTTGCGCCAAACCTTTGTCCTTGTGCTACTCGGTACGCTGAGAGGAGACCCTGAGGAGACTTACGATGTGTCAGGGGGTGCCCAATTCTGCCTTGCCAGGGAAAGAACCAATCAGCTGGATTCTGTCTGTCCCTGCATGAGGCGCAGCTTCTCCGGGCGCCCGCCTGTTCGGGACCCGTCCGTCCTTCTCCCAGCCTCATTACCATTGTGAAATTTCCACCTTTCTTCCCTCTTCTGCTGGGACATCAGGAACATCCGACGCTGGTGAAACATTTTACTCATTTACGGCATATCTGTCATGTCGTTCGTGGGCATCTCTCCGTCTGATATCGTCAATGGCGTTCATGCGGCCAAAACGATTATTGAAGCACTGAGAGACAACAATGGCTCGGACGAAAAAGTGGTCGCCGCATCAACGGGAATCGATCACCACCTGGAATCCATCCAAAATTTCGAGAATGTTTTGAACAACTTGCCGCAGGAGAGCGCCGCCTCAAAAACCCAAGTTCAAAGCCGAGTCATGAGCCTCCGAACAATTGAGGAAGCCCGAAAATCTCAACTCGCGAAATACAAAGATTCGTTGACAAACAGGACCGGCTGCAAGGCAAAAGTCAGACGGGTCTATCGCCAGCTTGCATGGCCTTTCGGTGGTGAGAAAGACTTCGCGGATGCCACTGCGCGAGTAGCATCTGCTTCCGATGCGGTGCACTTGGACGCCGTCGTGTGAGATACCCGCCCTTTTCGTGCAAAGGCTGTGCTAATTCGTTCTAATCACAAGTCTCACTGGGGAATGTATACAAGCAAAGGTTGACAAGGTGGAAGGCCTGATATTGCACAAGCTCGATTCAATCGCGGAGACCATTCAAGCCGCTCAAATGCAATCCACTGAGTGCGCCCGTCAGATCCAGGACACGGTTTCTCTATCTCAAAACTGTCTCTCCAATCTGATCCCAAATATGCAGCATGCTTTAATGAGAACCCCCAGCCAGCGCCCAGGAGTGGCCGATGCTCGCAGGGAGGAACCCGGGGAGACAAGCGAGCAACCAAATCTTCTGGATACATACATCAAGTCCCATGGAGCAGTACCATTGTCTAGGGAGCGTGCACAGCCTATTCCCGAAAACTTCTCGGAGCTACCTGAACATCTCATTATGCCTCTCTTGCTTGCGGTCTTGGGTCGTCTCACCACACGACAGCGGCTGGAAAATGTGGTTCAAGACTTTATCACTCTAATAAAGAATGACCCGGCGTCTGCAGTTCTGATTGTGTGTCTCCTCATTGCGTTTTCACGCATCACTTTCCGACTGTGTCCGCCCTTGTCCATACTCGGCGCTGACCATGTCATATTCGAAGATCCTCTCGGAGCATCATTGAGACTGCCCTTCACGACCTGCCAACACTCGGTGATATTTTCCAGATTTCTGAGAAGTCGCTTTCAGGAGCATCCATTCCATTTCTTGATCCTACATGGCGGTTACCATCTTAATTTAAATGATAGTCGCGGTCGGCTGGTGACGGTGCAGACTTGGAGCGAAAGTGTGAAGCCAAATACCAAGATCACAATGTCCATACTCGTGGGACTGCAGAATAAGAGATGTATCCGCTGCACTGGATGCTTGGTTTCTCACGGAAATGACCTCTTCTGGTATAGTAACTCCTCCGTCCACTCTCAATGTAGCACCCACGATCTAATAATATACGCCAGTACGGCTTGTTCGCATTGGTGTACCTTGTATTCACCCAAAGTCAAAGATTGCGATGTCCAGGGCCCTTGGGAGGGAGAACAGCATACATACACTGCTCAGATGCCTGATGCGCGCAGTTCGTCGCTGGAAGATGCTTTCAAAATCGTTCGGAATATGCACGCCTTTTTTCTAGAAGACCAGGACATCCAGGAGCAAGAATCTCGGTCGACAGGAAGGATTGAGCCGAATTGCGTGTTTTGGCAATGTTGCGAGTGCACCGAAGGGCCATATACGGCCAGGCTCGTGGGTAGGTGCCACATCTGTGGGCACCATAGGTGTCCGAGCTGTCCAGTTGACGAGGAAATACCGCTGGATGGGTCAGGAAATTGGTTCCGGACTTCGAAGGACCCCCTTTTGGCAACCGTTACCCCCTAATGGAAACCTGGGGGATAGTGTGCAGAAACAGGAAATTACCGCCGTTCGTTTGATAGATATACTTGATCTAGGCATTAACTAAGGCAAGCTTGTAGGATGCTGATTGATCAGGCAGGGTTCGAATTAGTCTACTAACGAAAATCGGCAGGCAAGTCAGTACCAGACGAGGCGTCTTTAGTATATACTTCCCGTCGAGCCGTATACGAGAAGCTTGAGCGGCTCAGGCTCTAGCTCGACGGCCCGGGCCGGAACTCTGAGAAGAGAACAAAGGTTGGTGGGCTACCTACAAGGATTGTACCTCCTCGTATTCGCTAAGTGTGTTCTGTGTACTGGAGTACGTAGCTCCCCCAGCTTTCCTTGCTGCTTCTACTCGCAAGAGCCCTTCCCCGATCTCCCATTCTACGCACCTTCGAGTGATGGCCCTCCAGGCTCCGAGAAAGAGCACCAGCCGATCCTATCAATTGTCCTCTAGATTTATCATTAGATCCCGTGACAGTTGGGATATTTGTCTCATTGCAAGATAATGGACATCATCGTGGTCCCCTACCCCTTATGTCCTGTCATCCGAGTAGTGAACACAGCCAGTCGGAATGCGACTGGCGAGAGCAATGCTGTGCCAGCTCCCTTATCGCAACCTGTTCCGGCTTTTATGGGGCCCGGGAAGGGTGGACGGTCTGCTTGCGTATCGCAATGTGTGAGGTATGAATGGAGGTCGTCCACCATCATTCAGATTCCTTGCATATACCGCCGGTGCTTGCGTCGATGACGGACAGATTCGTGCTCGAACTCTAGGTCGTGCAGTCCACGAGGGTCTGGCCTTGACGGCGACTCCGGCGGCCATTGCACTGATCTCGGAAGTTGCACGATCTCCACCACTGTTCCGAACTGAGCCCTTTTTGACGGACAACAATGGTCGAGTCTCTTGATAAAGAGAATCTTGCTCTGGAGTGGAAGTCCCATCGGTCACCCGGGGCCAAGTTCAAACAGCACCTTCGTCGGCATTGGCAGTGGTGGCGATGTCGAGAGCAGCAGGTGGCTGGTGGGGTGAGTTGGATTGGCACAGGCTGTCCAGGCTCGCAAGCACCCCTGGATCTTGACCTCTATGGTCCTTCCCACAAGTTTCCAGTTACTCTTCATCCCCCTGCTTCGCTGGCTGAGGGGCTAGTGAGGCTGTCCTGCCTGGCTCTCTGGTTTCTGACCGATGACCGTGTACCTTCCCACGTGTAAACACGGGGGTATTCATGGTATTGTGAGGGGAGTTACTTACACGTCGTACAGCGAATGAATCTCCTTGTTCTTCATATCTTTCCGGACTTCCACCAAGAGCGATTCCAGCTCAGGTTGAGTCCATCCGAGCACGTTCAAGAACAGTCTCAGGCTGACGGCTTGTAGGCCTTCAAAGATCTGAGTCCAATTGAACAGGCCCATCCTCTTCATTCTCTGGCCTTTGGCCCAAGGACCAATAGGTACGGGGACCTTGAAAACCTGGACGTTAGTGAAGCCCGCATCTCTCACCCACTGCTCGAGATGCATGCCCACGCGCAATGTGCGTCCAACTTTCCCGGCTGCCTCCATGCAGAGCACGAGCCAGCGTCGGAAAGCATGCTTCTCCGTCAACGACCCGTCTTGGGAATAGTAGTTGATGTCAAAATCCTGGAACTCGACCCAGCCACCCGGGTTAAGATTGTCGTAGCATTGGCGCATTAGCTTTGGCCAGTCCGAGATCGACCCGACCATGTATCGGCAGTGGATGTAGTCTGCCTGCTTACTGTACGTCCACTGGTCCTCGACGTCGTCAATCTCGAACTGCACATTCGGCGGCACGAACTCGGACATGGTGGGACTGATATCGACGCCAACCACCACGGCCGAGGGATAGGCCTCTGCGAACTCGATGGCCCAGGCCCCGGTGCCGGCGCCGAGGTCGAGCACACGGCCAGGCTCGGGCTTGAGCGGTGCAAGATGGAGTCGGTCCTCGTTGATGATTGCAAAGAGGGCATGGGCTATATCGAGACGGTCCAGCTCGGCCTGAAAGGTCACCCGCTTGAGTATTAAGCACCAAGAGACTTGAAGGGGGAAGGGTTGGTTGTTAGCGCACCTCGTCGTTTGGCCGATGGTACGTTCCATCCTTGTAGGCATGGTATCGTCTCCCGTACTGCTCTCGATTTTGTAAGATGCTGGAACGAACTGACGCGGTTGTCTCGCCGTCGTCCCTACGGAGAGGGAGGGGGAATATGTCAGGGCCCGGTCTACCATATCAATCGCCCGAAGGGCTGGATTGGACACTCACAACTCGGAGATTCCTTCATCCTCATCTAAGGCAACCCGCGCGGCCTCACCACCGGACATATTGACCCCCGGTTCTCAAGGCTTATCGACGCGAAGTTTGACAGTTTGTCCTGCCTGAGCACATCTACGAGTTCTCGGGTACTTGAGACGTGGCGCAACCGGCACGTCAAATATTCACCTGCTCGCCTCCTGTCGCCTCTCAGCTGTATCCGCTCGCTCCCCTTGGCGCGAGCAGGGATTTTTCAGGCCGAGTACCTAAGCACTCGGTACGGAATGACTCCATCTCCTCAGATACAATCTCAGCGCGTGATAGGCGAGCAACGCGCAAAAAGAAATACGACTGTGGAGTCGCCCGCAGTATTAGCGGCGCGCGAGATTCAGCGCCCATTGCTTCCCGCGGGCCTCGGACCTTTTGGTGTGTCTTAGAAATGGTGAATAGGATCCATCCACGTTGGAAATCTCGTCATCTTGAGCTCCAAGCTCTACGCTATGGGGTTACGAGGCACCTTGGTGCGAACTACGGGCATGCACGAGGACGCATTCGGACTCGCAGGGAAACAAGGTGCACGGCGGGACGATACGCTGCGGTCCTCGGTAGGCGTTGAGCCACCATCAAGCCACCCGAGATCTGTTCCGTGTCCAACAAAATCGCACAAAAGCACCCTTAGCCGGGTAAACATCCATGATGAGATGATGATATGAATATTATCGTTGCGGTGCGTGGTCGAGCTGCAAGAACCACGACTGTCCCTAAGTAGTGTTTGTCAGATCTTTAATTGCCCCCCCGTTCCGCCCCCTGTTTTTGCGAACAATATTGGGTAGAGCGCCCACCAACCCCCAAACAACCAGAACGGGCCAAAAAAAAAAAAAAAAAAAAAAACCCCCAAAGACAATGGCTTCTGGAACACCACAGCCGTTCAATGTCATTGTGATAGGTGCCGGTATGTACGCAGATACATCTCTTACATATTACACTCGAATGACGTTCCCGTCGCTGTGCTGTTCCGCCAGGCTCAACTAATGGTTTCCCTGAGGATCTACCGGGCTGCTCCTGGCACAGGGCCTGAAACAGGTATGTGTTGGCACCGACCCCTCCCGTTTCCCTTAATACCGTGGGATGCTTTTCACAACCCCCAGAGCCAACAATTGGTCTACTGTAGAATGGCATCCCGTGTACCGTGTATGAGCGAGAAGACCACACCACCTATCAGAACCGGTCGCGCGAGTGGGGCATGACCTTGCACTGGGGCGCCGAGTATCTGTCCAAGTGCATCCCTCCGGACCTGGTGGCCAGCATCAACGACAACATCTGCTGCGACCCGTTCTTCAAGGGCAAACTCACGTCGCTGCCCATATACAATGGCGCGACCGGTGACAAGCTCTTTGAGATGGAAGGCATGGACCCAAGACGGGTATCACGGAAGAAGCTGAGGACTTTCTTGAGCCAGGGGATCGACGTACAGGTATGTAGGGCTCTGCAAAACTTACTTTATTTCATTCATTGTTGGTATCCTGACGCGCACTAACCGGGTGACACAGTATGGTAAGAGGTTGGCGTCCGTCACAGTCGACGCAGATGCAGGTGATGCCGTGACGGCCGTCTTCGAAGACGGCACAAGTGCATCCGGTTCTCTCCTGGTGGGCTGCGACGGAGCTCATTCGACGGTGCGCAGGTTCCTCGTCGGCGAGGAGCTGGCCAAGGAGGAAATAATGGACATCCAAATGTTCAACGTCAGCTGCACGTTCCCCCCAGAGATCGCCGAGTACTTGCGCTCGATCCACCCGATCTTCAAGCACAGCTACCATCCGGACAACTTCACCTGGTGGAACTCGATCCAGGACGTGGCCGACCCGGACAAGCCCGAGACGTGGCTTTTTCAGAACCTGCTCTCGTGGCCGGGGTCCCCAAGGCCCGAAGACCTGCCCGACCAGGCGTCCCGCCTACAGTTCTGGCGCGACAGAGTCTCCCGCTACGCCGAACCGTGGGCCACCATCGGCAAGCACCTGCCCGACGACCTGGCCTTCCCGACAGACCGCACCGTCGTGTGGAAGCCCGACATGGACTGGTCTTCGTCGCCGCTCTGGCCGAGGGTGACGCTCGCGGGTGACGCCGCGCACGCGATCCCGCCGTTTCGGGGCCAGGGGCTGAACAACGCGCTGCAGGACGCGGCGAAGCTGATCGACGAGCTCAGCGCGGTCCCCCCCGGGAGCAAGACTCTGAGCGAAGCGGTCGCCGAGTACGAAAAGGAGATGAAGGAACGCGCGCTCTTGGAGATGAAGGTCTCCGTCCTCCAGGCCGAGACGGTACACAATTGGGCCAGGCTGATGGAGGCGCCCTTCATCAAGCACGGGATGAACAAGTACCAGGAGGAAAAGCAGGAACAGGAGGAGGAGAAGAAGAAGAAAAAACAGGAGGCAAACTAAGAATTAATTGTGCTGGACCGTGGCGGTCTGTTCTTTTCGTGATTGCGCTCCATACACGGTCTGAAGGTTCTGGATCGCGGAGGAAGCCCGGGACTTTGATGCATGGTTGGCCAGGCTCAAGGGAAGCAAACAAGCATGTTGGCGGCCCACGAGAGGATGGAGAGTGCCGACTCCCATGCCTGATACCCCCCCTCGCGTCGCCACTGTGGCTTGCTTGATATACATCCCTCTTACGGTTCGATCTACATATATAGCTGTCCTTGCAGACACCCCTCCTTCCTCCTTTGGCCCCTTGCATATTGATCATAAACGTTTCCCGGCGGTGTCAAATCAAACGCTCGCTTTCTCACCGTACAGAATCTCATCGACGTACTCCGCAATGGCCAACGCGCTAGTCAAGCCAGGCGACTCGATACCCAAGAGATTCACAAACCCCGTGAAGCCTTCTTCTTCCTTGATGTAGAAGTCGGCGAAGCCCCGTCCGTCCTTGCCGTACGTGCCGCTCGTGCGGCCTAACTTGGGCCGGATGCCGCAGTAGTCGAGATCTATGGCCGCTGGGTCGATGGTGGGCAGGTACGTCTTGATCACCTCGATGGCGGCCGCCAGACGGGCGGGGTTTGGAGTCAGGTCGTTTGGGGAGGTGACCCATTCGACGTCCGGGCCGAATCGGATCCGGCCTGCCATGTCGAGGGTTAGATGTGTGCCCAGCCCGCCTAGTCCCGGGACGGGGGCAGGGTAGAGTAGGGTTTTGGGCCTGGGGTGTGAGGCCGAGTAGCTGAAGTAGCTCCCCTTGGCAAAGTAGGCCTGCCTATGCCGCTCCGCGGGGAGGAGCATGTTGGAGACCTCGACGGCGGCGAGGCCTGCGCAGTTGATAAGTGTTTCGGCTGTGATGGTGTCTTGCCCGCCCGCGCCGTCACGGGAGCGCGTTGTGATGGCATATCCCGATCCTGCCGCGCTTTTCTTCCCATTGGAGGAGGAAAGCGGCTCGATCTTCTCAACGACGGTGTGCAGCACCTGGTCGCCGCCCCGCTCGTCAAAAGATCCCTCTAGATAGGCCATGAGGGCGTGCGAGTCGACGATGCCCGTCGTGGGGGACTCCAGCACGCCGGCCCCGGCGCGGACATCGGGCTCTTGGGTCGTGATCTCGCTGCGCGGAAGAAACTGCGTGGGCACGTCGATGGACCGCGTAAACTCGTGCAGGGCCTCGAGCTCGGCGAATTGCACCGCGTCCTGGGCGATGATCCACTTCTTGGTGCGCAGGAAGGGGATGCCCTGTGCCTCGCACAGCGCGTACAGCATCTGTCGCCCACGGATGCAGAGTTTTGTCTTCAGCGTGTCCGGCCCGTAGTAAAGCCCGGCGTGGATGACCTCGGAGTTGCGGCTGCTCGTCTCGGTGCCCACGGCGCCGTGTCGTTCGATCAGGATGGTCGAAGTGCCCGTCCTGGCGGCCAGTTGACGGGCGACGGCGAGTCCGACTGCTCCCGCGCCGATGACCTGCAGTGGTGGGGGGAAAAGATCTCGATCAGCATCTGCACTGTTGGCAATGCCGCATAGGTAACACGTACAGCATGAGTAAAGTCCACGCTTCGCGCTCTGGTCATTGAGAATGCCCTTGTCTTAAATGCTCCGCGAGAGAGGATCCTGGCCGCCGTGCGAGGAAACGGCGTCACCATGGCTGCTGGTCTTTGATATCAAAATTAGATGACCTCTCGTGCTCTTCAATTTCCGTCAGCATGGATACTGATTAAGTAGATGTCGCCGGAAAGCAGCCCGGGGATTCACCGGAGACCATACGCCGACAGTGGCCAACAAGCTTCCTCACTCTAGCATTTCCTCAGTATTGACATCGGCGAGTCCTCTGGGCTGCTATCCCGCTCAGTTGGAGTTGATGTAGGCGTATCGATGGCAAGGGTGAGCGTTACGAGGAGCTTGTCGAGCCCTGGCCCTAGACTGTCGAAAGAGGAGAGGAGAGATTGGGTTCAATACTATGTTTCCAGTCGGCTAAGACAGAGCAATGATGATGTACAGGTATCCCGACCGACACTGTGTTGAATGTCACATTGTACGTAGTACAGAGTGGGTTGGAACGACGGCGTCAACAACCCAGGACAAGAAAAAGGAGAAATAGCCCAGACGATAAGCGAGATGATGCGGAATTGATATCCGAGGACAATGCAATTGCCGAAACTTATTCCCTCGTATTATATTACCCTCTTCTTTCCATTTGCCTGTCGACTTCTATATATCAAGAAGGCCCCTGATGCGTAGACCGAACTGGGAATACATACAAGGCTCTTCTCTTACGTCCATCAATGCGTCTCTGTACAAACTCATATCCGGGGTATATGCATACATCCGTCTTCAACTGCTATTAAGAAAGAATGGAGGCTATCCAAGCTCACTCACATTCCTGGCTAACTATGTACAACCACCCATACTGTTCTTTTACGTGCAAATCCCCCGTACACTCTAATTGGGGCCTAGGAACCCCATTATTCAAAATCGCCGCCTCGACGTCTGCGCCGAAACGCGATTCGATACCTCCCAAAGGGCCACTGCAACGTGGCCGTGCCCGATACAACTGGTCGTGCGACACCGCCGGCTGAGTATGTACATTCCCGACGTAGATCTGGCCCGAGCAACAAAGTCTATCGCTGAAACGCAAAATGTTATCCACAAACAGACACTCTATGGTCGCTCAGAGAAGACCAGCTTGCAATGATCCTGCCATAAATGTAAGCAACATGTACATTCCGTAAGTAGCGTTGGACTCACCTGAGGGAAAATGGTGGCAAAAACCTCAATATCCTCACTGATGGGCGTAGGCTCATGCACCCAATCCAACAGGATGCTGGCTTTCCCGATCATTGCCATTAGGTTCAGCTGAGCGTATGTCTGTCCGAGACAATAATGGGGCCCGGTGCCAAAGACCAGCCAATTCTTGACCTGCTTGTCGGCATCCCCGGTAATCCATCGCTCCGGCTCGAAACTGTCCGGGTTGGGGTATGCTTCAGGATCATGGGTCGCCGGCCAAATCGAGGGAATGATCATGGATCCCTTCTTCAAGGTGTAGCCTTCAGTCACGGGAAAATCCTTCTTAGCCACGTACGGCACCAAAATGACTGGAGGGCGATATCGCAACGTTTCTTTGACCACCGCTCTGGTCCAAACCATCGATTCCAGCATATCCATGTCGAACGGCTTATTGCGGTCGCCGCCTCGAAGCTTGAGATTTTCCTCCCTGACCTTGTCGAGGATCTCTGGTCGATCAGCCATAATCTGGAACAGCCAAGTGCAGGCGCTAGAGGTTGCATCTTGCGACGCAAACAGGAAAGTGAAGACGGTCTGGGCAATTTCGAAATCGGTAAAGTCTCGAAGTAGTTGAGGTGGCTTCTCGGACTCGTCGACTTTCTCGCCTCGCTCTACCCGCTCTCGATACTTTGCTGAATCCTGTATCTGCTTGACCCACGCATCCATTATGCATGTGATGCTGCCGCCCGCGGCCATTCGCACCTTGGATTTGGCCGCACACTTTGCGAATTCGTCCAGCACCACGTCGGCCGCCTTCTTGCCGTACCAGGTCTTTGTGAATGGAATGATGATAGGAAAGTTGACCAGCTCCAGTGCGGCGGTAATCAAGTAGTAATCGTGGGCAATCTTCTTGACCACTTTGTCGTTCATGTAATGTCCAACGAAGGTTCTGCACGACACGGCGCACATGAGCTCTCGGAACACGGGCATCCAGGGCTGGGCTTTCATATTGTTTTCCTTGGACATTTCAAGAAAGGTCTTGAAGTACTTGCTGTAGACCTCCTCTTGGCCAGGCAGATACATTTCCAACGCCTGGCGTGTGAATAGGCCGTTCAATCCCTTGCGATACTCGACGTGGGCTTTTCCATCCAGGAAGACCCAGTTGGTGGGACGAAGGAGTTTCGGAGCGACATCGACGACGGTGGGTTTGACGAAGCCCGGGGAGTTGAAGACTTTTCGCGCCATATCTCGGGTTCCAGCAATGACAACGAATCTAGAGACCGTGATTAGCACCCGCCTGCAAGTCACTTGACTCGAACACAAATCCTGCGTACTTGTGAAAGACCGACACGCAGCTCAGCTCTGCGCTCTCCCATTTCTCCTTGTACTTTCTAAAGTCGGGGCGCATGGATTCGAGAAAAGGGCCCATGAAGGGCATTTTCCACGCTGGGCCGACGATGCCATGCTTCCGCCATTGGTAGCTACCTGCACAAATCGTCAATTCCCGCGCGAGACCGGGTCTCTCGTGACCGGGCGCTCACATTGATCGTAGGTAGCCAATAGTAAGACAATCGTCAAGAGGACGGTCCAAAGATTGAGCTGCGCCAACACTCTGCCCAATACGCCCGAGGCATGGGCGGCCTGAAGCTTCAGGTCTGCATTGGCGAGAGGAGAGGTAAAGCTTGTGGCATTTGCGAGGACGTCCATGGCGTATTTGGTTGGGGTCAAGGGGGCCGAGGGACCGATCGAATGGGGGCTCTGTGCCTTGCAGAAGGCAGCACGGCGTGACGAGGACGACAACGGCGACGACTGTTCGTTGAAATCCCTCCTCTTCAAACACGTGTGAATGTGTCCCAAAGTCGAACGGCGGCAGCAGCAACGACAACGACAACAACAACAAGAACCGCCACCAAGGAGAGAAGATGAAGTTTTGTCTGAAAGCCGACAGTGTCAATCGGGAAATTCTGGGGCTCTGGATCACTCACCGCCCAATTTGCTCTAGTCGGGCAACAGCTCCTTCCATTGGGCGGCGACGGGTGGTGCGAAGCCAATCTCGCACCGGTACATGAGCCTCCCGGATGGCGACACTATGTATTAGCTTATCACCAGTGAAACGCCGCACAGTGGACTGATGTCGATATTGTGTACAACTACAAGCACTTGTACCCAGTACACCAACCCCGAGTATCAGAGCACCCAGTCGATCTCCTGACGTGTTCTATTCAACGGCCTACAAAACCATATGACGGAGCTGCGGAACAAAAACATTGAAAGAGGAGCAAGAAAAGCACTCCAGCACCAAACGGCTTGATCAAGACCTTACTCCTCCTACTGGCATGCCCTTAGTCCTGGTACCTCCAGCCCCCCCCCTCCCAAAAATGCACACAAGTCATGCTTTTCTCCGTTCCTCCAAACGCCCTTTGTCGCATACCGTGATTTCATGCTCCCTTCGTCTAAGGAATGTCGAAAACGGGTTTGAGTTTCTTCAGCAACGCCCATTCATCCCTCGTCACCTCATCTCGGTAGAATTCCTTGAGCGTGTCGATCGACTTGCGAGAAATCAGAGAGTACAGAGTATCTTTGTCTTCCAGCTGTCGTCCGTACATGGGCTGGTTGGGTCCTTCAATCTTGACTGCCACCGACGGCTGTCCTTTTTTGCAGAGCGGAATGGCCTTGTGCTCGCGTTCGATCGATGATCTGTATTCCAATTGTCAGTTGCTTGTACCTTGTCCAGCCGGACGTTGGCCACTTACACTCTGCCCAGGGTTATGACTTCCTTCACACCCGTTACGGGATTGGTCTTTACCACCGCAATTGGTGTCAATGGACGCAGACTGCCCTCAACCACATCCACGCCCACCACGATAGGATCCTTCTTGTTGAACACCTGGATAGGATTGAGCACGCAAGGAAAGACGGCATGCATTTTGCTCTCTTCCTTCTTCTTTTCCTGCAATTCCTTCATGTGGTTCGTAAAGTTGTCGAACAGGTGATAAATAATATCCGCCGTAAAGATCTTGATGCCATTCTCGTCCGCGTACTGCTGTGCCTCCTTGTCGACTTTGACATCAAAGCAAAGCATCACCGCGTATTCTTTCGCCTTCTCCAGCATGGTGCCGGCCATCATGACATCTCGCTTGTACACCGGCCCGATGGCGATGTTGGCAACGGGGATTTTACTCTGCTTCAGGAATTCCAACAGAGCCTCCAAGGAACCCAGAGTAGAAGCTTGGACGCTGACACCTCGGTTGTCTTTGGATATCTTGCTGAGCAGACTTTGCAGGTCCGCCATGACGTCGTCCATCAAGTCGTCCTCGTCGTCCTCAGGTCCAACTACGAGCAACCGGGAACCGGCGATGGCTTTCTCCAGATCATTGGCTGCGATCTTCACGCCTAGCGCTGCCTTACATTCCTTGTTGTGCACATATTGTGACTTGAGACGCAGCTCCTTGAGCGGAGCAGGGGTCAGAAGCGCCCGGATATTGGTAGCAATAGGCCCGTCGGTGCCACAAAGCACAATCCGGTCGCCTTCGTGAAGCACGCCATTCGACAACACCACATCAATCGTGGTACCGAGGCCTTCAATCACTTTGACTTCAAGGACGGTGCATTCCACCTCGGACAGGTACATCAGACTGGAAGTCATCCGCTCCTGGGTCAATGTCACCAGGAGCTTGAGCAGATCCGGAATGCCTTCACCCGTATGCGCCGACGTTGGCACCAGTGACACGTATCGGCGCATATCTTTATTTTCATAGAAGACCTCGGAGTTGAAGCCCTCCTTGGCAAAGGCAAGCTTGGTTTCGGCAAGTCGACTCTCAAACTCGGCCACCACACCCTTGGACTGGAAGGCGAGACTGTCCTGGAAGCCGTTGTTGTCGATTTTCTTCCAGCCATAGAGACGATCAATCTTGTTGAGAGCCACAATGAAAGGTGTCTTGCGGTCTCGCAGCAGTTTCATCGACTCCAACGTCTGCGGCTCCAAGCCGTGCATGATATCGACGACCAGAATGGCAATGTTGCAGAGTGAAGAACCGCGAGATCGGAGGTTGGAGAAGGATTCGTGACCAGGTGTGTCGATGACCAACAGTCCAGGCACTTTGAACTCAAACTTGCCATCTTTGTTGACAACGGCTGTCTTCTGCTTCAGGGCGTCCACCGGGAAGTAAGTCGCACCGATCTGCTGAGTAATCCCCCCTGCTTCGCCTTCTTGCACATTGGTCTGTCGAATTTTGTCTAGAAGCTTTGTTTTGCCAGTGTCGACGTGGCCCAGAATACAACAGATGGGTGAACGAAGGTTATCTTTAGACCGGGCAGCAAGGGCTTCTTCGTGAGCCTTCGCCCTCCTGGCGGCTGCTTCTGCTTTCCGCTTCGCCACTGCTCGCTGGGCGACAGTGCCTTCCTCTTCTGAAGATGACTCTTCTGATTCCGTCTCGGATTCGATAGGCCTCTCTTTTGGTGGTGGTTTCGACTCCCGCAATGGTAAGCTCGACGTTGCGGGAGGCTTGGTCACTGCTCCATTGGTGCCGGCTTTAGTAGCCGTCTTCGAAGCGCTTCCGTTTGCACCGGCTTTGGGGGATGCTTCTGCTTCTTCCTCTTCCTCTTCTTCATTTGATTCAGCATCCCAGCTCTCCTTAATATCTTCATCAGCAGCCTTCTCCCAATCGTCGAGCTCCGAAGACTCTTCCTGTATTGCAGCCTCTGCCTCTGCTGCAGCGGCGACGGCGGCGGCGGCGGCGGCGGCCTCTTCAGCTTCCTTTGCCAGACGCTGGCGTTCTGCTTCAGCAGCTTCGGCTTCTTGTCTCGCTCTTTCTGCAGCAGCTTCGAGATCGATCTCTTCCTTCTTCGGACCCTTTCGCCTCTTGTCGACCGCAGGCTTTTTCTTTTCTTCGACGCTTTCGGTCAAACCTGCAACCTTGACGCCAGATTCAAGTAGCTGCTTGAGACGGAGATCTTGTTGCTGCTTTCTCTTCTTGTCAGCCTCAGAGAGGAGTTTGCCTTCTTTCTTGAGTTGTTCTTTCCTCTCCTTTTCTTTTTCTTTCTTTCGTTGCCTGGCCTCGACTTTCTTTCTCTCCTCTTCCTCTTCCTTTCGTAGGCGCTCTTCTTCAGCCGCCTTTTCAGCGGCTTCTACTCTGGCCTGTTCTTCTCGCTGTCTCGCGAGGGCCTCTTGCTGCTTTTGGATAGCAGCAAGATGCGCAGGGACCTTCTTTTTCTTGCTGGATTTCTCTTCTTTCTCCGGGGCGGCGACTGGAGCTTCGGTTTTCTCAGGCACGGCGGCTTTGGCTTCCTCAACCTTGGGAGCTGGTGCCGGGGTGACAGCCTTTTTCTTCGCCGCCTGCTTTCCTGTTAGTATCTAGAATAGATGACTTAGAGAGACTCCCTAATTACCTGTTCTTTCTTTCTCTGCTTCTCACGTTCCTTCTTCTCCCGTTCTTTCTCCTTCTTGGACTTCATTCCACCAGCCTCGCCAGCGTCTTCGTCCTCCTCGGCGGGAGCAGCCGGCTCGTCCTTGTCCTGTTGCTTTTTGCCTCCCTTGGCTTTCTTATGAGCATTGCCAGCGAAGACATCATCATCGTCCTCGAAGGTTGCTTCCGTCGGGCCTTTGGCATCCAGGTCGTTCTCAGGCTGCGCAGCGGCAATACCATCTGCTTCTTCGCCTTCAACGAAGTCATTGATAACCGGTTTGCCTTTTTTCGCACGCCTATCTTTATTCTTGCGCAAAGCAGCCAGCAACCCACCCCCGCCGTTCATCCCCTCTGCAGCATCATTCTCTGTTTCTGCCATCTTTGCATCTTCGGTGACCTGAGCAATCGGATCGGCAGTCTCACCGAGCTCGTTCTCCCAGTCGTCAGCCTGCTTCTTGCCGCCCTTCTTCTTAGGCGCCATTGAAATGGTTGTGTTGGGGGGTTGGTCTTAGGGATATGAAGCGTTCACGATTGAGAGGCGGCGACATAAAGTCGTGTGCAGGTTTTGTCAAGATTGGCGGGGAGGCACTCGGGCTAACGGTGGCGTCGAAGCGAATGATGGCTATTGGTCCAGAGGGTTCAGATCTTTTTATTTCTTCGCCACAATTTTTTGACCGAAGACGGCAAGTGGAAACCGGATTGAGTCGTTGCGAATCCTGGGTGCAATGGACACGGTTGACAAACAAGCTGAAGGGAATGGTGGGGCAATTAAAGGAAAAATAAAGTGACGTTCAGTAGACGCTGTGTGGGCTGGTGGGCGGAGTTTCGGCATCGCTGCCTGGCTTGGCGCTTGCTTCTCACGAGAGACGACAGCCTTGTGGCTGCTGAAGCTCGGGCTACAGTCACAGCATACAGAGATGACTCAAGATCACAACTATAGCGAGACGCTATTCGTGTCTCAACTTCAAGTGGACCTTACTTGGGACACAGTCATGCATTCAAAGCCGCAAGGTTCGTCATCATCGTGCAGTAATCAAAACATTCATCCCCTTCCCCGGAGCACGTCGTCAACCACGTTGGAGCAGGAAGCTCCTGGGCGCCTGTTGGCCTTCGGAGAGCTCTCAGTTCAAATCTAACCAGCCCAAGCCCATAGGAGCCTGCATCCCTTCTTTTCTGTGGATGCCGTCCACTATGACCGTGGTGGATATCTCATCAACTTTCTTATCCAAGCAATCACCGCCTCCACGGGCTCCTCCGCCTCCCCCAAGATCTCCTCGACCAAAGCTTTGAAACTGTCCATCCTGTCTGACCCTCTCAGAACGCTTCGAAGGTTGTATGGACCTTGCTCGATCATCATGAGCAGTCGGTCTCCCTGGACATGCATATCCTTAGGCCTGAAAGCCGGAGGCATCCAGAGATACCTCGTGTTGTCCGCGTCTTTCTTCTCGATGGGCACAGCCTTGATCGGTTTCCTGATCATGTAGCTCATCTCTTCTATGAAGTGAAGTAATTTCCACTCGCTATGCTTCAGAAGCGCAAAGTGGAAAAGTGTTCCATCGATGGTGCAGCCGTAGAAGCGAGTTCGGTCAGTCTTTCGAAGGCCTTGTGATGTATCCAATCGAAAGCGGTGGATGTGGCCCGGAACAGCCGCGTGAAAGGCAGGAGCCGTTTCTGTGGTTTCCTTGTTCAACCCTAAGAAGCCGATGATATTCGTGACTCCTACATCGGCTGAGGCGAACACGGCAGTGGAGCCATCCAAGACGACAATATCTTTCGCATATCTCATTTTGGTGTCGCACTCGCGATGGTGCAATTTGTTATCCTTCTCCACGAGAACGAAGAAGGAGTGTTGCTGTGTGGCCACGCAGATGAGCGACCCCTGACATGAGATAGCATTCGCATATGACGGAAGAGCGTGCCTTGCCAACGTTTTCCATCTGCGTGTAGCCCAGTCCAGATGATGTAAGACGATTTCTCTGCCGGCAGCAATCAAGAGAGATGACATCTTGTACGCACAAATGGCTGTGATAGGCTCTCGGCTGCTGAATGCGAGTTTGGGGCTCGCATCAGGCTTGCCCTTGCCCAAGCTTTTGGCATTGACACAAACAACCCGACCAGGCCCTCGCAATCCCGGAATAGGGTTCAACTGCTCTATAGCAAGTACCAGCCATTCGTAGTGATTGTTTCCGTCTGTCGGTGCCCAATCAATGAGATCGTGGACAACATCACTGTCATCTCCAGTCACGATGGTTGCAAAGGTGGTACCCTCAGAATCCCTCGATGTGGGATACCGCAGATTAGGAGTGATGAGCTGTAGCCCGACTCTCTGAATCTTATTTGACGGTTGGTCGGAAATGTCCTTCTCGCCATCGAGAGGCACACTGGTGTGCATTCTGACTGGAACCTCCGTAGGATCGCCTTCTCTGGAGAATGCAACCACAAACCTCTGGAGGAACCGCGAGTAGAGCATGCGTTTAGGGACGCCATTGAGATTCAAGTGTCTTGCAATCCCGTGTTCCTGAGAAATCACAGAACAGAACAGCAAATCCTCTGCGACAGCACAAATCAGAAAGCCCCCCGGGTGTTCGTGTCCTGACTCGAGCTTAGGGATTCGGTGCACTGCATTGATCAGAGGCTGGGCTGAGGGCTGGTCACAGAGTTAGAAAGAGTCCGAATACAGATGAAACCAGACTTACTTTGGTTCGATCCGTCACCCATAGAGGAGACATTGTGTAGTCGACCAAAGCAGAGTTAGGATGGAGCGTGACGCGGTGAAGGGTGTATTCGCAAAGCACGAGCGCAGATGGGTTCTCTAGGCTCCCGGATTGACTTTTCTCTTGCACAATCTGTACAGGAGTTGCTCCGATGTGGTAGACATCGTCGCACCTTAGGACTATCGGGGTGTCAGGATTGAAAACGTCTACCGGATATCTCCATCTCGTACCTGTTTTCAAACCGTCTTGACAGTCAACCCTGAGTTCCAAGCACATCACAGTGCCCGAGCGGAGTCCACATAAAAGAAGAGTTGGGCCGGCTGTGTTCTGCTTTAACGCAACAACGGAAGCCACTGCAGCATTCTCGACTTTAGTGTTGAGGTCTTGGACTCGAAATTCGAAGGCAAGCTTTAGTGTATCAGTATATCCCAAGACCTCTCCAGTTGATGTACCGATCAAAACCAGCTGCGTGTTCTGCACCTGAACGCAACAAATCGCATTGGGGATATGCTTCAGTCTCAGAGGCTGACCGGGCATGAAACGAAGTGCCCCGTCCTCTGAAGTCTCGATGTCAATCAGACAGAGCTCGTAGCCCGAGGTGACACGGCTCGTGGTAGCAATGGCCCGATCGCCTTCAAAGAAGGCCGCATGCGCAATACGTGATCCGAGGTGGTTCAACTCGCCAACTTCACCGTCGGCCTCAATAAGAATGGCATGCACACCACGGGTGGTGACTTGTATCACGGTGTCTTGATCGATAACGGTTGCAGCAAGCGTAGGATGGCCGAAATCGAATCCGGGGTGGCTTTCAGCATCAGTCAGTGAGATCTCTTGGTTTTCTAGCTCAAACACGACCATTGACGAGTTCGTTGTATGAGAGGCCAGCAGCAGTAGTTCGTTGGTGCCGGGTATCTCCAGGCTGAACAGACGCTCAACCAGAGCGGCCTCTGGGAACGACATTTCCCAACCGATCTGGGCTTCCAAGCCGTAACGAATCTCTGACACTTGGCCATGCCTATCACATCGACCTGAACAGGCGTAGAGCCTGCCTGGCGTGCCCTGCCACACGGCAGAGTCTTGGGAATCAACTGCTATTGGAGGTCCAAGGGCGATGTCGTTCAGTGGGGCGAGCGTCTCGATACGCTGAATGCGCTCTGGCGACCCTCGGGCGGATACATGGAAGACACCTCCGTCAGTCAAACTGCCACCCACTATGATGATATCACCGCCTGTCCTTGGAGGGCCGGACAGCATGCAGAATGCTGTATCGACGCTGAAACCGAGATGACCAATCGTGTTGTTGGTGCTAAACTTTGTGCTGGATGCTTTGTCAATGAGAAAGTTCTTCAAAAGTCCATCTTCTCGAAGGATGACTATATCATCGCACCGCTCGAGGTACTGGTTGTGGCGTCTAGGTCTTACCCATTGGACCCACTCCAGACTTGTATTCATGTTGTCCATGCATCGACAGTAGACTCGCTTCATTTGAGAAGACTGAATATTCTCATAGTAGCTGATGCCAGCTGCCATGACCACAATGTACGAAAAAGGCCGCGTTGACGGGATCAGCATCAAGGGCAGTTGGTCTTCTCTCAATTTGCGTCCACTACAGGTCATTGCTTGGATTGTCTGGAGTGGTTGGCGAGTATCCCATCTGTAGAGGTATTGATGTGTCCCCTGATCCGCTTCTCCGGAGTAAACCAACAGGAGCAAGATGACCTTGGTAGGATCGTCCTCGGGGCTGCGTAAGAATGTCATCATCAAAATTTTACCAGCGACTTGGATAAAGCGTTGCTGTAATGGTTAGATCTGGCACACGTTGGCAAGGACAGGGTCACATACCTCTTCTGAGGGACGGAAAGAAGCAGGATCTATTGGATCCCAGGCGTCAATTTCCGACTTGATCTCGTCCACGTGATGAAGTTTGAAGACTCCCAAGTAGCCGGATGGTGAAGCAACGGCAAGGGCGCGGGATCTGAGATATCAATTAGACACCGGAACGCAAGATGGGGCTTGGGCAGGTATACTCGGGATCAACGGCGATATCTCGACACTGCCTTGAGGGGAGGTCGACCCCGCCCAAGAAGGGCCTTTTTGCGAAGACGAGTCTGACCTCTCCACCAGCGTCCTTTCTCGCATAGACGTAGATTAACTCATTGTCTTTTGTGATGAGGACAAGGATTTGTGGCGGCAGCGTGTCACTGACTGGCTGGCCACGAATGCTGAACTGCTCCTGGTCCCGCTCTTGTTTCAATATGGCATCGACAATAGGAACAGACTTCAACTCTGCCGAGATGATTTTGGCATCGGTGATTGTGGTACCAAAGTCGAGCTTCGCGGTCACAACCTCCAGCTGTCCGCTGTCCTTGAACTCGTGAAGCTGGACGAACGTTGGCCCAACAAAGACGACGTCGTTGTCAGAAGGAGAACGAATGCGTGCAGGGAGGATCCATCTGATGCTGGAGCTTGAGCTGAGAGTCCTAGACAAGATACCGACACGGTCTTGGATAGCTAGTCGGCGCTGGTCCCCTCTGGCGTTCAGCTCTCTCCCATGAGGAGGGGCCCTGTAGGCCATCGTGAACCAGACGAGGCGGCTGACCTGAGTAAGAGAACACAAGGAAGCAAACAGGTTGAAGACAACAGCAAAGCCGATGATTGTGATGATGCGATGAGACAAATCCTTGGATTGGATGTGTTACTAGAAGGAGAGGCTGAAGAAACAAGACGAGGGGAAAGCAAGGGCGCCACGGTTCAGGTTGATATACCCCGTAGCCTATGTGTAGGGTCAACCGCGCCCTGGCTTGGTTGGAATCTGGGATGGTGCTTCTGTCTGCCTTTCTCCCCGTTCTCTCCCTATACTAGTAGTCTCCAGAGAGGGAGATATTGTGTGGACAGAGGAATGCAGCGGTCAAAATACGGGGTTGGCGGTCCAAGACGATGAGGGACAGCAGCAAATCTGGCCTTGCGCCCGACCGGGACTGGATCGCCATCTGTTCATCCAGCATGAGAGTTACATGCAAGCAATGCACGCAGACAGTGCGGCTGGATGTGAAATCAGCCTGTCGTTTCGAGACCCTTCAGGTGCGAGGGCGAGGGCGAGGGCGAGGGCGGCGACGGCGAGAAGACGAGCACAAGCAGAATGCAGGTCATTCAGGTCAAGCAGCCACAGGCAAACGCAGGGCTTGGAGCCTTTCAAGGTTCCTTTTCTTCCCCACCGATTCTCCTCTGCACAGTCCTGAGTCCGCCACTCTGCCCCGGTCTGCCCCTTACACGCCCACGGACATGCACTCACTAAGCTAAACTCACTAAAGTCACTCACTAAAGGCATTCACTAAAGGCACTCACCAAGTAGAGGCACTCACTAAAGCAACGTACTAAAGTCTCTCACTAAGGTCACGACGAAACACACTTACTAAACTCACTTTTATTCTCTCCCTCTCCCTCTCCCTCTCCCTCTCCCTCTCACCATCCATCAAACAAACCCCCCTCGCACCCATTCACCTGTGAGCCTCAACACCCTCTGAACAATCCATGACGCGATGAATCCCTTTGGCGACTGCTTGGGATTGGGTGTGGACAAAGTTGACATCTGACAGGGGTCAAACCGGCCGCTTTGTGTCTTTGTGTGACCTGTCACATTGTCACCCACCACCCGCGTCAAATTCCATCCCCATGCACGTCGTGGCGGACTACAGGTGACACGGCCATTGTCTGCTTTTGGCCTGTTTCAATCTCGACCCAAAGAGCGGCGTGCACTTAGCCCGTCTACGCCCGCGCCCGCGCCGTCGCTTAAAACCCACCCACGGTTCGCAACACACACAGATGGCGATCGTCCGATCAAGCTAAATAAGGCACAATGCATCGCGGCGCCGACACCGTGGATGCAGCTGTCATTCAGAAGCAACTGACAGCTTCCATGCCTTCTGCTGAAAAGCCCCCGTCGGCAGACTTGCAAGGCCCTGACAAGGCCGAAGCGATCCAGGATGCCTGTCGACAAAGAGATTTCGCCGCCCTGGTCAAGCTTGCAACCTCGACCGGCGGTCTTTTGACCGACGATTTGCGCCGGCAAGCTTGTATGTCCCCTCCCTCCTTGCCCACCAATGGTTCGATACCCTCCGTGGCACTCTGAACTGATGCATGAACTTGGAAGGGCCAATTCTATTGGGTTGCACGCCTGAAGGCACACCACCGACCGAGCCAGAGCACTCAAATCGGCATCACTGGAGAGCCCTGCCCCGTCACCCGGACGAGGATCAAGTACAACTCGATGTTGATCGTGCCTTTGTATACTACCCGAAAGGTTTGCGCCACCTCTCCCTCCAACAACACTGTGTCACTGTGCTGAATGCAACTAGATGAATCCGAACAGTCGCTTGAGCAAAAGAAGACAGAGCTCTTCGAGCTGATTGTCTCGACGTTGAGGAGCCATCCCATTCTTTCTTATTTTCAGAGCTACCACGATGTCGTACAAGTACTCCTTCTCGTGATGGGAAAACGCCAGGCCATGCTTGCGGTTCCACGAATCTCTTTGCTCCGTCTTCGCGACTACATGCTGCCGACAATCACACCTGCCACGAGACATTTCGAGCTGGTATCGGCTATTGTGATGTCTGCTGATCCTGAACTGGCTAATCACATTGCCCAGGCTGAGAATATCTTTGCTTTGTCGGCCACCCATTCCCTGTTTGCGCACGATATCTACGACTATGCCGACATTGCCAGGCTGTATGATTTCCTGCTTGCCCATGAGCCAATCATGAGCATCTATTTGTTTGCTGCGGTTACAATATCGAGGCGATCGGAGTTGCTCGAGATGCCCGCTGATCAGTCCGACATTCTCACGTTTGTGATATCCAAACTACCCCAGACTTTCGACATTGATGCACGAATCCAAGATGCGGTAGCCTTGTTTCGCCATCATCCTCCCCAAAGTTTGCCTGGCTTTATTTGGTGGCGTCTATCACGTTACAGTGTTCTGAAAACATCTCGCTCTGTCACTCAACCTCAAAGCCTGGACGAGGCCAAGATCTTTTGCCACAAGCAAATCCAGCAGCTCCACAGCCATGAGCTGATGCGGAAGAGAGCTCTATTGCTCTATAAACATAGGAAATCAGCCGCGTCAGTGACCGCCGTCCTCTTGGTGGGAGTCTTGTCAATCTGGTTGCGAAAGACGGGCCACGACAGGATCTTGTGGTCCATCATGTCGACTGCATCTGCATTCTTTTCCACAACTCGGTAGACTATTCGCCCGGGTTGACGAGCGGAAGACGGCATGCATCCAATCTTGCACTGACTAGGCCAATGAGCACCGAAGCATGAGGATACTCTATAAGCGAGGTAATAAACCTACTTCATGTCATTATTCTACTGTTGACAAGCAATAGTCGACCACGCTAAAAGACAATCTTCCTTGGCCCAAGAGGCAGCCCACTCCGCCATCCACCCTTGCATGCATCACCATCACACAACCCCACCTAAGCCACCCTTGACCCATGTCAACCCTTTTGTTTCCAAGACCTCTATGTCGACGTTGACTGGGGGTGAAGTCAGCGAGAGCGTGAGCCGTTGGCATACCTTTTGGCGGAAACTTATTCCTTTGCCGGTTAGCCAATAACAGTGAAACCCATCAAGATCGATGCCGTTGGGTGGGAGCCGGTGTGCAATAGGCACAGCGGCACCCAAAGTCAGAATCCTAGACTGTCTTTGAAATCTAAACCCTCTGCCCTCAGGCGCGTTTGCTTCTCATCATTGAAGCACAGATTTTCTTTTCTTATCATCGGGCTTGATTGCCTGCGCTGGATGGGAAACGCCCAATGTACCTGTCATGTCTCGATGGAGGATCGCGTTTGAAGGCAATGAAGGAATCTTCTCAGAACAATAAGCAAACCACGGCAGGCTGAAGCTGTTGTGACACGCGACTTGCTTGGGAGCGAGGCGGCAAACGCGTGCTGTCAGTGGGAGACAGAGCATAGCGAAGAAGAGCATCACTGAACACATGAAGGGAAGAAAAGAAGTACTACCAGGTGGGAGGCGCCTGTCTTGATTACCGCTACTGCTATCTAAGCGGGTAGGCATGGCGTGGAGGATGTATCAGGGGGAGGAAGGTGCCTCTAGATATATCGAGTTTACTTGGGTAAAAACTATTAAATGCGAATGTCGACATCGCCTCCGGCACACATGGGGATTCTGGCGAAGGCACGGAGGGCGGCGTGGCCGGCGAGCTCTTGGGCGTGCAAAGGCATGATCCCGACGACACATAGTTTGATAACATGCCCGAAGGAGATCCCAGTCTTGCAAATGTTCTCTTCCCCGCGTTCACGTGGAACACAATGAGTTCTTGAAGCGAGAAATCCAGCACAAGACAGTGTTCGAGTCTACGATTACGCTTGCTGGAACATTGGCTGAAAGCTGCAAAGTTCGTGGTTGGAGAATCAGACATTGTCAGGGGAGTCATCATTGATATGTGTCCTTCATGACGGTGTGACATGCTCTAGTAAAAGTACAGAGTACATGCAAGACGAATAAGAAGCACAGGTGTCCTTAGCATGTCCTCGGTACCGAGAACAAATACTGGCAAGGCTGCAAGGCTGCAAGGCTGCAAGGCTGGTTTGCAAGGCTGGTAGCTGACCACCGCCCTTTGAGATGTTGCTTGGCAATTTTGTAATGACTTAATCTACAAGGCTAATAATCCTGCGTTCGATGGTAATTACAAACATTTCTTTTTTCTAGTATGTACTCGGCCTTGGAGATCACTCGTCCAGGCAACGTGTTTGCGCTTCATCCTCTTTCAGCACCAGCACTGTTCTCAAGCTCCCACGCCGTCAATATCCGCCACTCAACATGGCTAACAGAGGCTATGATGTCGTCGTCGATGTCGACGCAGAAGTATGACTCTCCCCTTCCTCTGCCCGCTCGGTGCATGGCTGCCACGGATTGGAAACTAACAACCAACCAGGGTGACCTAGGCCACACTGACCTCCAAGACGACGACCTCGAATTCCACTCATCAAGTGCGTTACTCCCCTAATATCACACCCCCGATCACCATGTCGACTTGAAACTAACTGCGCGCTCTCAGACTTCGAATCGAGTTCTTCGAACCGCAAAATCCAGCCCGACACTCCCTTTCTAGCTGGCTCCGTCAATCCAGCCAACCTGCCCAGCAATGACCCCTCCTCCATGCCGCAGAAACACATGCTCTGGTCTCTGTCCTTCTACGCCCAATTCTTCGACGTCGACACCTCCACCGTGCTGCACCGATGTCGCTCCGCCATCCTTCCTTTCATCCCCAACACGCCGCCATTTCTCGACATCATGGACGGAAACCCTGACCTCTACGGCCCATTCTGGATCGCGACCACCGTCGTGGTAATTCTGTTCCTCACGGGGACAATAAGCCACAAGCTGGCGACCGAGGGGAAAAACCACTTCGAGTATGACTTTAAATTGCTTAGCGGCGCCGCGGGCCTGATCTACGGATACACACTGCTTATCCCCCTGGGGCTCTGGGGCGCGCTGCGCTGGTTTGGCGCACAGTCTCTCGAACTGGTGGAATGCTGGGCGCTTTATGGGTACAGCAATCTATTCTGGATTGCCGTGGCGTTGGTCTCGTGGTCACCACTCAATGGACTCAACTACGCCCTTGTCGGGCTGGGTTACGCCGTCAGTGTGTTCTTCTTGGTCAAGAACTTGTATCCGGTGATTAGTGCGACGGAGAAAAAGATCAGCCAGATCTTGCTATTGGCCGTGGTGTTGCTGCATGCCGGCCTTGCGATCGCCATTAAGATCTTGTTCTTTAGTCACAAGAGTCCAGCCAAGGATGATGACAGCAAGATGTTGTTCTAACGGAGCCTTTGGCCCTTGGCATGAGCGCGGCTATCGATGACTTGGGGGACATATTAACGGACACATGGGTTATAATGGTATAATGTATCAACACTACGAGGACACAGGAAACTGCCAGATTTCCTCCTATGCTTGGTTGGGCTCAGTCAATGACGATAAACTGTCCAAACAGCGTTGCTTCACTGCCAGAATTTCTTTGGACTCATCACATCGTGGCCTGGCAGACGTACTGACGTTCACGTGGCTAACTCTGAGAATGAGACATAACGTGCATTGGAAAGCAGCTGCATTGACGATCTAGCCTGTCCAGCTCGCGGCATCCATTTCGTGCTCGGGAAGCTGTCTTTGGATTTTCTACGACGCATCATTTTAAAAGGCAACAACGACAGCCTCTTTTCTTCTTCGTCGTTGGACCCCGCATCTGCTGCACCCTGTCACAGTTCCGCAATCAACATGCAGTCCACCTCCACACGAGACCGGGCCATCCCCAAACGCAAAAAAAAAATACACAATTGCCCAGCGGCGCAAACCACTACTTGATCTTCTTCTTTGGTCGGAGCTGGTTGGAGTGGCCGCACTTCTTCTTGCGGCAGTTTGTGGCTCGCGGGGGCAGACGGGCGTAGCACTTTCGGCAGATCATCTTCTCGCAGTTGTATTTGGAAGCGAGAGCCTTGAGGGAGGGTTCGATGATGCCGCCTCGGAGACGGAGGACGAGGTGCAGGGTGGATTCCTAACAGAGAGCGCGCGGGTCAGCAAGGGGTGGCACAGCCCAAATTGCCTCAAAAGCAGGGAAGGGAGGGTGTCTGATGCCCTCCTTCAGCAGGAAGAGGGGGGGAGGGGGAATGCTACGTAGCGTACCTTCTGGATGTTGTAGTCGCTCAGAGTACGGCCGTCTTCAAGCTGCTTGCCGGCGAAGATCAAGCGCTGCTGGTCAGGCGGGATGCCTTCCTTGTCCTGGATCTTGGACTTGACATTGTCGATCGTGTCGGACGACTCGACCTCGAGGGTGATGGTCTTGCCCGTGAGGGTCTTGACGAAGCTATTTCACCCGAAAAAAGTCACATCAGCACTTGCTCAACTCTTTTCCTACACACAGCTCTTGCAAAATCTCGCAAGTGGCCGAATATTTCGAAAAAGTTCGGGAGGGCTGGCGGTTTTTCAGGCAACTTACATCTGCACTGGAAACGGGAGTCAGCAAAAAGAAAACGGATAAATTCTTGCTCGAATATACGGATCGCAAACTTACTCTTGTCAAGATCTTCTGGTCACTGGCAATGTTGGTTGAATATGTTGCAAGCGGTGATATCGAAGACTGAGGGGTGGCGAGACAACCTTTGATTGTGGACGCACATTTGGCGCCAAGACTGGCCTTACCAAAATGGAAGGTGAGGCGCATGAGATCTTTCAGCCTCGTCACGAAAATGGATCAGCCTTGCTTTTTCCTGTGGCTATTTGTTTTTTTGTATGATATTGTAGAAAACATGGTGTGCGAAGTAAGCCCCCAGAGGCATGGAGGGGCTTCTGGACATTCTCGAGCAAAGTTCGTCGACCATCTCCCCAGCGGCGGCAACCAGAGCACTCCTTCGAGCTTGGATATTGCAACAGCCCCTAGGCATTGCCCGACGTTCGTCCGTGACCGGATGAGTATTGACAAGTTATCGGATATGCTCTCTATCCTCTGCAATATACAGAGCATTTATGCCGCAAAGTCTCTGTTTTATGCATGAGCATAAGATTGGACCTTCATTCACGTTGTGCAAACTCAGGTCAGGCGTCCAGGGTCTTCTCTTCAAGTTCCATTGAGCGTCAGTGCGTGAGAGGTTTCGCATGTATAAAAAGTCAACAAGTATATAAAAGCTCTCATATACTTTCATTCAAACCGTCCAAACAGTTAGATGTTTTGTTCGGCATATCACAACATCGAGGAATACACGGGGCCGAGGTTCACGTCGACAAGAGCGAGATTCCAGCAATTGATCTCTTTTGTTACCGCTTCTGTCGTTTGTATAGAGTGGTCTCATCCTTCGAAGACACTGAAAATGGCGTCCCAAACAACGCCGAAACGACCGCCCAAACTAATCCTGGGGTGTTCCAACTTTGGCTCCCCCAGCGACCCGTTCTGCAGAACCACCACCGCGGAAGAAGCAGCCGCTCTTCTCAGCACATTCGGCTCGTACGGACACGACACAATTGACACTGCCCGTCGCTACCCGCCCCAGGCGCCGGGGACAAGTGAAGAGCTTCTAGGCGAAGCACTAGACTTGCTGCGGCATAGACATGAGGCCGAGACCGATATCATCACCGAGCGATCTCCAGAGATACATGTCGACACCAAAGTCCTCTCTGCGCCAGGGTGTCACAAGCCCGAGAATATCCAGGAGAGCATCTCTGCTTCCCTTTCCGCCCTGCACATGTCCTCGGTGAACACGATATACCTGCACTACCCAGACAAGACTGTGCCGCTGTCTGACCCGGTCTCCGCACTCTCAAGCGCCGTGGCGAATGGCCAGGCAAAGCAATGGGGCGTCTCCAACTACACGCTCGACGACGTCTGCGAGATTCTACGCCTCTGCGATCAACACGGGTGGAGGCGACCGGCGGTATACCAGGGCGAACACAACGCCCTCGACCGCGCAAACGAAAAGCTCATCGAGTTTTGCCACGAGCAAGGGATCGTGTTCTACGCCTACAGTCCCACTGCCGCTGGAGTTTTTTCGCCCAGCGGGTCACGAATGGGTGCCGATACTCCGGCGGGGCAGCGAGTCCGGCTCTATATGGAGGCACGGAGATGCAGAGTGCGGTGCAGGAGGTCAGGGATGCAGCACAGCAGAGAGGGTTAGGTAGTCATGAGGTTGCGATTAGATGGGCGTTTTGGGATAGCATGTTGGACGGGGCGCATGGTGATGGAGTGATCATCGGTGTGAGCAGTCAGAAGCAGTTGAAGGACACCTGCGAGTTTTTAAAGAAAGGTGGATTGGAGGATGGGGTCCGAGAAGTGGTTCAACAGGTCTGGGACAGTGTCAAGCAAGAGTAAGGGCAAACTGAAGGCTCAAGAACAGAGAGAAGGGGACAATGGAGGAATGGCACACGTTGGAGGCGTGGATCGAAGGATGGATTATGTTATATGTGATCTACAGCCTATACTCGCTTCCGACATCCTTTCTTGGGATTCTTCCTTCCGTCTACCAGCTCAATCCACTGGTTCCTCCTCTAACAACAATTTGAAACTGAAAGGCTCAAACGGAACACCCTCCCCAATGAAATGCTTACTCATTGCCTCCACCCAGTGCAACCTGAGACTGTGCAACATCGCACTCGTTCCTTCCATGACACACAAGACAGCAATAGTTAACACAAACCAGAAGTAAAAGGTGACAACGAGCATGATAACCTGTACGGGGCCGGAGGAGACGCCAAATGCATTTCCCAGTGTCATGTTCCACAGCACAATGGAGAGTTGTTGATGAGCAAGAGAGAGGGCCCAAAGCCGCAGGTACGAAGCCGTGTGCGAGACGCAGTTGAGGCAAAACTCGATCGTATCTGATCCCATCACGTCAGGTCCTGCTGTCATAACGGGGTACGAGTATGGAGATAGGGAAGTACTTACGAATAGTCTGATGGATCATGACCTCCGAAAACTCGAATTCCTCTTCCTCTTCTTCTCCAATATTTTCAGTGATCATCGCGCCTTCGTCATCATCCTCACTTGGCCGGCCATTCATGCGCCGTTCGTTGGTGTTGCCATTTTCATGGCCGTCGTCATCTAGATCCGTTGCATGCGTGACGCGACTAGTGTCGCCGATGCCGCGGTATCCTTGAGCAGCGGTCTTCTGATGTTGCCAGCGCAGATACAGAGGCTTCAAGAGTAGAAGAATAGGCACGTTGATGACGGCAATCAAGAGCAAAAATACCTGAACGCCTGCTTGACCTGAGTAAAGCTGCTCGCTCTCTTCCACATTCCCTGGTGACAGGAACATCTGGATCAACATATTGAGCAAGGACGGTGGGTTGCGACCTTCGGCTGGCCAGTCGATGGACCATTTGTAGATGATGCAGAAAGAGAGGTATCCGAAGATGGCCTGGAAGAATATCATTCCAGGCACAAAGTTGCCCCAGATATCAATGGGAGATTTGAAATGTCTGGCATTGACGTAGGAGAAGCACAGAGCATAAGTCATGTGGGCCCAACCCATGAGAATAGACAGTTTCATTTTCAAACTGTTGCTGAAGAGCAAGTCATTCTCGGAGCCGTGCCATGCCCAATCCAGACCAAATGGATACCGATAGCTGCCCTTGAGATGGCCTGTAACTTCTGGGCGGCCCTCTTCAGGAAATTCCCAGGCGGAGGGGAAAGGAGTAAATGCTTTTGAGAAGACGTCATTGTACATGAGGCCGGTGTACATGGAGAAGATACCCATCATCAACATGATGTAGCGACCGTAAAATGCCATTGCGAAGAGTTCATCCTGCTTGGACCGCGCTAATGGCTTTTCCCAGTAGATCATCGCTGTTGCGGCCATAGCCATCAAACATCCGTGTCCGAAGTCACCGAACATTACGGCGAAGAGGAACGGGAACGTAACGATGGTGTAGAGGCCAGGGTTGACTTCCTGATATTTGGCGGTACCGTAGGCATTAATGATGGTTTGAAAACCTTCCGTGAACTTGTTGGTTTTGTTGTAAGTGGGTGGAGTCTTGTTCGTCCTAATCTGATTCACAATGGTAGGCACAGACAATCCAGCCCGGTCGTTGACATCTTGTAAGGTACGTCGAATCTGCGGCAGAGTATTGGTGGGACACCAAGCTTCCGCAATCAAAGTCTTTCTGGCATGATCGTAAGAGCACATGTTCAAAGCATTGTAGACGGCCTTCTCTTTCTTAATGACAATCATCCAAGCAGCGAGAGATCGAGCAATGGCACTGAGCTCCGCATCGAGGGTGTTCTTGGTGTTTCGGAGGACACTCGCAAGGTCGCTGAGACGAGTGTTGACTTCGTGAATCTGATCCCTTCGAACATCACTGTTCTCATCGACGGTGTAGAGATCTGCACCTAGAGATTCGGAGATCTTTCTGATCTTTGCAATAATTTCCTTTCCGTGGGCAAAGATGACAAAGACATTCTTCTGGATCTCCTCGTTGTTCTCGGGGTTGATGATGGGCTCTGGGATTTCAGATTGATTCATGTACAAGTTGCCGCGGAGGGTCCTCCACAAGATGCGTTCGAATGCGGGTAGTCGCTCACGAGGGATGACTCCGGAGACAAACCCGATGTTCATGACAGCAAAGCTCTGCTGCTGCTGCTGCTGCTGCTGACCGGCATCACCGTTAGCTCTGCCTTCTTCAGCCTCCGTGTTTCGCAGTAAAGGAGCATCATCCTCATCCAGGCTTGCTCGGATATCTTCAGTCTGTCCATGAGCCCTGTCAAAGAAACCACCGGCCTCCTTGAGAACCCATCGCCACTCCGTCAACTCGACCTCGCGTTTCTTGAGTGTCTCATAGCTTTCATTCAAACTGCTGATGCGCTGTTCCAGACCCTCCGCGCGTTCCACAAGAGCATCAATCTCGCTGGCTTGTGGAGCCGCAAGCATATTCTCGTCGAAGTCCCAGTGACTCCTCATCTCGATCTGAGATTTGTCCATTTGGGCCTTGAAATAACGGAACTGGCGTTCGACGTTGTCTAGCCGGCGGATCTCCTTAGTGAACGTGCGTTGAAAGGCAGTGGTCTCGGCATTGAGGTCGCGGAATTGGACAACACCAACTTCACCCAGGGCAGAGACGACTTCGCGGCCGATCTCATTAGAGATGTAGAGCTGGGTTAAGGACATGCTCGCCGAGCGGAAGAGGGTGTCTTTATGGGCCATTCTGGACGGGTGTTGAGGGAGAGGACAAGGCCGCCCAGGCCGCTGTGTAAGGGATTTCGAGATACAAGAGACACCAGGGAGCTGGGATAGCTCGCTGTGTCGACTTGAGAGCTTCGTAGGGTAGATGTCGAAGCCTGATACCTGGCGGAGGTGTCACCTCGATGATTGCATCGCAGTTCAGTCGCTGCCTTGGCACGCTGAGCCGCTTAAAGGTTCTGCCTGAACTACGGTTGAGCATTTGAGAGTCCACCGCCGACAAGGCTGGTTGCATCCCTGAGCATCCCCTATTGTCGTCCTGAAACATGACCAACCTGACAGCACAAGGGGGACAACAGTCATGAATTGTATTTCATAGACATCGAGAACCCTTCTTGGTCGGATGATTCTATCCATCAAGCTCTTCTTCGCGGTTTCCTCATTGATACTCAGCCCGAAAAAGATACAATTCCCTTTCTATACCTCGGCCACTTCTTTGTCAACACCAAAAGACTCATCCTTTCATTCATTTCGCAACCTGTCCAACCAGTTCCTATCTCAACCGAAAGAATAGTTTTGGGCCCACAATGAACCCCTTTCTCCGGAGAGCTCAGTCGTTGTCCCTGAAGCGTAATTACACACTGGATGGAGACACCAAGAGTCCACCAGAAGCAGAACTTCCAGCAAAAACAGTAGACAACGCCATTGTAACTGGTCAATGCTCCCTTAAACGCCAACGCTATGCTCGATTTATGAACTTCTTTTGCTTGCCTGACGCACCCAGTGAGTGCAAAGCTAAGCAAAGTAGCTCTTCCATAACACCCCGGACAGATCTTCGATTTGTTCCGGTTTGAATGCCTGTCACTAGTCAGCTTGCTCTGCCGCATGGTCAAGTTATTGAAATACATACCTTGACATCAATATGCCAAGTATCCTGCCTCGTCTTCTTGAAGTCGCTAATAATGCTCTTGACGCTGTTGCCCACAGTTGCTGGATCATTCGCTGCTTTGCTGCTCAACGTGACCAACACATCTGGCATCCAAGACGGCGGCGGGCTCGAATAAGGGAATGCTTGGATCAAAGCGCCCAGGCCGAGCACCGCCGCATGACGAACGATGACTAACCGCTGTGCCTCAGGAGTGGGTGTGTTGGTCCCTGAAGTTCGCGCTGATGACAACCCCGCTAGTTGTCCCTTTGGTTTCTTCGGCAGCGGATTGTCAATAAGCATTTGGGTGAATCGATCCCGCAGCTGAATAATCATCCTCTCTCTCAGCTCGAGAGGTGAGCATCGAATCATCCCGGACAAGGTCGTGGCAGCGCCCGCACGGACTTCGTGCTGTGTATCTTCGAGCATATCAGCCACGCAGTTGAACAGCTTCTGCTTACTTTCCTCCGACAACAAGAATAATCGTCTGAAGAAGATGATCTGCATATTGATCATCACACGGAGACGTTGATGCCATGACGGGGATGTTCTCCCAATGCGGATCAATGACTCAATCAATGCTTGATCCTCTCCTATACGATGCGGGATGTTTGGTAGGTGGCGGAATACATGATATGCCAAAGATTGTAACTCGGGATCCTCCTTGACATCCATCATATGCAGGAATTGTTCTGTGAACAGGTTGGGGAAATACTTCAATAACTGGGTGCATTCGTATGAAGAGAGCATGGAGTCAAGCCACAACAAAACCGTTTTACTCCCAGACGTATACGCGGAGGGAGTTTGTTGACCTGGCGTTCGTTCATGCCGCCACCTTTCTAATCGCTCGAAAATCTCGCGCATGGTTTCGTCAAATTCCTTGGTTGGCAGATAGGGGTGCGTTCCAATTGGACCTGCCTTTCTCTGGACTTCGAGGAGTTCTTTGACATCCTTATACGATTCATGGTATCGAGTGCGGATAATAGCAGCAAGCGTCTGAGCCATAGCCTCTCTGACTCCCTTGTATGGATGGTCGATGTGATTTAAGAAGTCCTCCATGATGGGCTTTTCAAGCTGAAAGTGCCACCCTGCGTCTAGGATCACTTGATGGAGGAGATGGATTTTTGAGCTTTCTTTGAAAGCAGCGTTGGATCCCATGTCGAGGTGGAAGCTTGTCAGCCACTCCACTAGCGGCCATGCTCGTCGAGGGTCCCGTGCCTGAAGAATCATGTGGAGGAAAGTTGTCCAGTAGCCGGAATTCTCTGGAGTTAGGCCGTCTGAAAAGACTCGCTGAATAATGGGGAACGCGAACTCCCATACCATAGTCCTCCGCTCGATAGAGTTGTCCATGACTGACGTGACCAAACCGCCTAGTATCTCGGCTGTGGCACGATGCTGATGCTTATCGCTGCCGTCCTCAAACACGGCTAGCGTTTCTTCTTTGATGTCTTCAAATGTCGCAACGGCTAGACCATCTCTGATAATCAACTCGAAAGCATATGTCAGCATCGCCGCGCTAGCCATGCGGAACTTGTCTGCGGATTGGTCTCGCGGTTCCTGCTTTAGATACTTGAAAAACGTGACAAACCACTCTCGGTCCAAGTGTTTGCCGATGGCGGTTCTTTTTTTCCATTCAAGTTCATCGTAGATGATGTCGTTCTGGACGTTGGCCTTGTAGCCAGGCATGTCTTTTGACCACACGAGCCAGCCAGGATAATCATGGTCAATGTAAACATCGGCTTCAGGTTGGGAGAAAGCCTTCAAAAATTTTTCCGTCCACCCCTCTTCTCCGGCTTTGGTCTCAACTTTGACTTTCGCGGGAAACGTCTGGGTTGCCTGTATGTAATTCGCATAGTCGTGGTTGCAAACAGCTCGCACGTCAGTCATGGTGAAGAGTGCCACCAACCCTTGAGAATACAGGCCCCGCAAGCCAGGGTGAGGATCTATGGTGCCAAGGGTTATCAAATCAATCATGCTGTCTGAAGCAATTGTGTCGAAACGCATGCCTAGTGACATGACAAGGGTTGCCACACGAGTAGCTTTCTTCCAATGTGAGACGCGAGTCAGTTCAATGAGCTCTTCAGCCAAGTCCGCCTTCTTGCGCTCGATGTTGGCACGCTTACTCAAGATGAAGGCTTTCTTCTTTGCAATCTTGTCGTCGACATCTTCTTCTGGAACAAATGGATCAACAACTGTGCGGTCGATGATTGCCATTCGATCGCCTGGTCGGCCGTAATCCATGACTTGGAATAAGCCACCGCTGCAAAGCTTCTGAATGGATGGTTTGTCCGCAGTACTAGCCTCGATGAAGGTTCTGATGACAGCGGGGGTGTATTTCCAATGCCTGCCCACTGTTTTTGCTAGACTGCCAAACAACAAGGCGAAAAGTCCGCCTTTGATTCGAGGGAAATCGTTCTTTTCTACTGCTTTCTGGAAGGCCGCCAAGAGTGGAGGGATGACGAAAAGTCGAGCTCCGAAAATCACCTTCAAAGCCGATTCCCCGGCACTCTGCGCGTTACGACGAACTTCAGTGTACAAGGAGACGGCGGACTCCGCAAGGTCTAGGAGAAGCTGTTCGTCGAGCTCTGAACGTGGTCTAGGTGCAGCATTATGTCGGAGTCTCTGGGTGTGGTAAACATTGGCTCGTCGAACGAGTATGGAGCGAGGATAATCTTTTCGTACTCCGCTCACTTTGTACGGCTGCTCATCAGCGTGTAGGAGTCGAGTAACTCGGTCGAGGACGTGAGCCGAGCGCTCGATCCCGACATCAACAAACCATGATCGATAAGCAGTGTATAGTGGAGCAAAAGACGACACATCGTCCTCCCCTTCCCGAGTCAGAAAGGCGTGCACGTCGTGTAAGACATGGCCGATCTTCTGTCTGAGTTGATGAAGAAGCTTGTAGTTGGCATCATCGGGCTTTAGCAACTCGCCTGCAGGATACTGAAATGAGGGCTTGATCGATGTCTCGTCCGTGCCATCAAGAGAAGCGTCAGTCTCAACGTCATTGCCTTCTTCTGGGGCATGGCCGTTCGCCTGAGACATCGGGGTATCGGTGTCGGCGTCGACACCTGCGGCAGTCGTGATCAGACCTTCATTGACTCCTTTCGAATCAAAGAGAACCGATACTCCAGCGAGCAGCAGACGCAGCAGAACAAGGTTCCTTGAAACTTCATCCGACCATTCTTTGCCGCTGCCGTCGCGTTTGATGCTGGATGAACCGTCAATAAGACGTTGCAGATGTTGCACTGCGCTTTCGGCTTGGTTCTGGAACAATTCCACAGCAAAGTCAATCTCTTCTTTGCAAGGGACATGCCATTTTGGTTTGATGGTTGCTGGCGGCTCTGCCACACCCCAGAGATCCGCAGTTATCCTGCCCTTAACCTTCTCCGGTTCGTACAAGGCATAGTCGGCCGTGTAGGTGACGGTGAGGTTGAGCAGCAAGTGATGCACATAGTTGGAGACGTGTACAGTCGGCATGCCTTTGCATTTCTGTTGCATGTACACCGCGATATCAAAGAGTTCTTGCTTGTATTTCAGGACTGCGGAGCCCACATGAACCACACACATACTCAGCATGCTGATATTCCAAACCAGCCCCCTGTCCCGAGGCAGGACATCAGAGGCGGCGTTTCTGGTTGAGCCAGCACCATTCTCATCGATTTCAGTGCGGATGGCGCTGATCAAGACGGGAACGAATTTCGCCAAGGCCTTCTCGGGGTCGACCTTGCATAAGCAGTTGCAAATGAAGGCCATGGCATCTCTTGATTGATGAATGACGTGGTTGGCAACGAAGTCAACAATCTTGTTCAATGCCAGGTCGTACAATTCTGGTGATAGAGATGCTAACAAGGGCATAAAAGCCGCCGGCAGCGTGTTGACGATATTTTCTTCTGGAGATCCGCTCCTGACGCGCGCTGCATCCGGCAAATTTTCAAGGAGAGTGAAGACTCTGCCCAAAAAGGATGTGACAAATTCCCCGAAGCCGGCTGTGGACGAGGCAAGTATCATCTCTTCGTCTTTTTCATTCAAGGTCGCATAGTTCAGTTCAACGCGAGCGCCTTCCTGCTCCATGCGCTCCATCTCTCCTGTGATCCACTCCATAGCCAGCATGTTACCTTGGACGTCCTCTCTGCCCCTGGAAAGATCCTCAAATGGGATATTATAGCAGACGTTTGCGAAGAATGACAACGTGCACAGGGTCTTGTCGAGATCATTGGCATCGATGCCAGGCAGAGCAAGACCAAGGAGCGCCGTGATGTGACAACGGTACCCTTTTGTTCTGATCATTGTTCTCGCCAATATTTGCAATGACCGTATCGATGAGATTGTGCGGTGTACCTCGACAAGCCCCTGCATTGAGGGGTAAATACGTTGGAGAGCGCCGGGAAGGATTAAATCGGGCTCCAAAAAGGCGAGAGCCTGGAGTGTTGATAATGAATAGCTCATGGCAGTCCCGCTCTTCGCATAAATGCCCATGAAAATGACGTCTCGTAAACACAGGACAAATCGCTTTCGCAGCGCTTCATTGAGCTTCCGCTCTTCCGGGACTTCCATTTCACCATTGCGTTCCCTGTTCCACCGCATGACGAAGAAGTCCGCCAGGTAGAACACAAGCTGAGCCAAGGTTCGAGTCCAGGAGCCAGAGTTTGATGGATGGAAGAATGTCTCAACCGCCTGGATCAGAGTTTCAAGCAGAGACAGAACCGAGATCTTCTTTTCTAAACACGCCGGTGACATCGACATGACAAACCAGCGCGCAATGTGATGTGAAACAGGATGCTTGCGTGAGTCGCGATCCAGTAAAAACCCCATGCCGGCTGTGATGTCCACCATAGCACTGTAGGGTGAAGTGGATTGCCCTACAGGGATCTCCAACAGCCTCAGAACTGCCGTTGTAATCAGAGTTGACTGCTCAGCGGTGAAAATCCCGAATTCGGAAAATTCAACTTGGTTACTTGGCAGCGAATCCCGAGCCAGTCGAGAGAGGAGATCGACGAGGGCGACATCAACGGTTCGAGAACGGTTGACCAAGGACCAGAGGTGGAAAAATGTTGGAAGGAAATGCTGGGGATTCAAATCCGAACGATTCGGCGGTGGGGGTCCCGTCGGCAGCAGCATATTGAGCAGCCCTATCACCACAAATGCGCCCTCGGTTGAGGACATTGTGAAATGCGGGAGAATTTCTTCCAGCATAGCAGGAATATCCTCTGGGTCAAAATATAATTGAGCGAATGAACTGATCTTAATGAGTGTTTTGATATTCCTCTTGAGGTTCGTTGTCTGCATCAAGCCGGATTCGCTTGGCAGCACGAATACTTTGATTTCTCGAAAGAGCGGTCGCCAGTCAAGGGTAAGATCAAGCATGGGTCGCAAGTAATGTTTCCGTCTGCAGAAATGTTAGTCAAGAAGGGCCTCTGGAGCCGCGGAGTGGGAAACCACAAACTTGGTGAGCAACATGAACATGCTAGCGAAGCGTTCGCAAACGCCAGGATCAATCCCAGGGGCTAGAGACAGTTCATAGTAGAGTTTGACGAGCTTTACACGCTGTTCCTTGGTGGGATCGAACTTTAGGGAGAGCCAACTGCGCAGTTCCCTGGTCCAGTGCACCGCGCCTGGAGAGAAATCGCTAGCCTGAATCGCAATGTAGAGATGTTTGAGTATCTCTGCCAGGTTCTCCTGTCTCTTGGCCTCATCTTCCACCGGGTAAGGCAGGGTCGAAAAGTAAGGGTATGTTCGCGGTCTGTTGCGCTTGCTCTGATTCCCAACGCCATTTGTATGGCCATCCTGCATGGCGATGGTTCCGGCCGGAGAGGTCGCTCTTGAAATCTCAGAGCCGTGCTTGACATGGCTGCCGCCGTTGACCAGCTCTTCCATATGATGCTTTGGGGTGTCCATAACCATTTATTTCTTGGGCTGTTCAGCCGTGGAGATCATCCGAGTCAAGGGAGTGAGGATTTATGAATTGTCCTGTATCATACCGCCGGGCGGACTGAAGCAGGCAGCAGGACTCGGGCCACTCTCTCTGTTCGAGACAATGGTCGCACGAAGGTGGGCAGGCGACGTGGTTGTATGCGGCAAAAAGTGCTTAGCAAGCTGCGGTGCAGCCTTGCGACGTCGTACGTCACGTTTATTGCCTGCAAACAAGTGCTGTTGAATCCGGGAAGAAGAGAAACAGTGCAGCAGAAAAGCGAAACCAGAAGACCAATGCCACGTCTCCGGAGGGTCGCGGTAATGAAACTCAGAAATAGGATAATTCTGTTGCTAGTTATGAGAAGTTTGCTCAATTGCACGCGACACTGAGGACGAACGTCTCTCTCCCAAAATCTCCGCAAGGCACGAGGCAGCAACAAGGCGCAGCCCCAAACGAAGGAAAGGCTTGGCACTCTCTCACATGCATCGCGCCCCAACGCCTCAACGCCCCGTCAAGCTGAGTTCATTCTTCCTCTTTCCAATGTCCTGAACGAATCTCCATCTCCGTTGCCTCCATCATTTCCCAGCCATCGCGTCCCTCTGCTCAAGGTCCACTTTCTGGTCTCGTTGGCAGGGTCAGGCTGCGGCCTTGTCTCGAGAACGACATGGTAGTGCTCTTGACAGTGAGGTTAGGCTGACACCAAAAGACGACGCATACGCTGGGTTGATTGATTACACAGTATTTCTGAGGCCTGTGAATCAAGCGCAGCCATGCTAGTGGTCTTTCCGGCTAACCTGTGTCTACTAAGACTATACCTGTATCCGAAATTCCTTCCCCCCGCAGGTCTGGTTGCCCTCTCTGATTGAAGCGGCATTTCAAAATGAGATGGATTAACCTAGCATCGATATCAAGAAGGCAGATTGCATGGCTTGAAGCTAAATTCCCCTGATCTCAAGAGGCCTTTCATTGCGATTCTGTCGACCAAGACGCTCGAGAACTTCTGAACTTTACCGAGATCAGAAGCTGATCGTACAAACTGCGCTTGCATGTTGTATGGCCAGTGAGGAGACGCCTTGGAGTTGGCGGTCCATCCAGCTCGAAGTTGTCGGCTCCTGCACTACTTGTGGCAAGTATCTCTTCCGTTCCAGATGGAGGAACGATATCGGGGGTTTGACAAGTCAGACCGCAGTTGATCCAGTCCTCTCTTGAAATTCTACACCCCGGTCCATCTGACGTCTCCTGTGGTTGCAGTCAAAGCGTGACAGCTTGTGTTTCATGGCTAAGCAAATCTTCGAACTTCATCCTGTGTTTCTCTCTGAGAATCAAGTATCCAGAATGCGGAAAGGCAATTGTTCCACAGTAGGTGCATTGGGTACCTGAAGATCGAGGTGATGTGACCAGAATAGCCGCACTTCTGATCTCCATTCATACTTTCCGTCTCTCGTTTCCTGATTCTTTGGCACAACCCTCAAACGCACCTAGGAGTCGGTATCTTATTCTTTCCATATCCCTTCAACTCAAACAGTTCTAGAGATTGGAACGCCGACTACGACATCCATCCCTGGCTTTGTGTAATTCCGTCCGACCTGCTTGGATTATTTTGGCTGCTTCAGCGTGCTCATCCAGTTTCGGTTTCACCGCCGGATGAGGTCCAATCTCACTGAAAGATGGGTTTTACAACCTACCTTCCCCTGGTTACTACCTTTGTCCCCCGGTCAAGGTTCCAGATAATTGATTCGAAGACCGAGATGCGCTTTTGCAGAATCGTATCCGTGATAAACCAGAATCTGACGAATGAGGAGCCTAATTTGACATACAATTCGCCAATTGGACCGCGCAGCATGGAAGCGACAGGGAGAGTTTACTGATCCTTTTTAGCTTACAATGAGGACGATGTCCAGGCAAAGCTTCTGGATCCAGGGAGAAGATGGTCGGCATTAATCGAGTAATGAAGCCTTGCTGGTTGCGGCAGTTTTCAGTCCTCATCGTCCGCAGACCACTACTGACTTTTTGCGAAATTGTCCGATAGTCCCGAGCGGGCTCCAATTTCCGACACGCGCGGATAACAGCTTCGGACGTGATGATCTCAATACCTCAGCACGACTTTGCATATGCATCTCGGCTTTAACCGTTATCTCCGCCCTCCCAAACAGATTCGATACCGCTTAAGTCTTGAGTTATTCCAGCACTTGATGCTATTTCCTGAGCCGAAAGCGTGGACTTGCGCAGCATATTTCGGTCGGTGCCGACGACTCTGTTGCCAGCTCGCCATCTCTGTCGTGCCAAACATGGCAAACGCAGTTTTCTCTCCCCGCGATCCAGCCTCGCCTCTATCGATCTCACCTCATGAAACGGCTATGTTGCTCATGGACTATCAAAACATGGTCCTCGCGAGGATTGGAGACGCGGTGGCGACCAGTGTCGTGAGCATTGCATCGCAAATGCGCGACTGGGCACTCGACAAAGGAATGACCGTCTTCCACTGCCTCATCGACGCCTCGCCCAGCGCAAAGCCCCCTCCTCATTCGAGGACTGCGGCCAAATGGAAGTTGTATGAAGCCAAATTTGTTGAAATGCCCTGGCTGGGTCATGAATCGGAGAAACTCGCGGTCAGAAAACACCTCAGTCCGGAGCTCACGGTCCTGAGAACACCGGGCTCCATCTCCGCCCTTGAATCGCATGGACTGTCGGGCATGCTAAAAGAAAAGGGAATCAAGTCACTCATCATCGGCGGCATTAGCACTTCTGGCTGCGTCCTGAGCACCGCCCGGGCCGCCACGGATCGTGGCTATATCGTGACTGTGATGGAAGACGCTTGTTTTGATCCGGTTTCTGGCTTGCATGGTATGCTGGTTTCACATGTCTTGGGTACATCCGCACACGTCGCGACCTCGAGGGAGATCCAGGATGCATGGAAGATTCTGTAAGGGTTTATTATTGATGGCCTTGCAAGAGTCAGAACGTGGCCTATCCGCCACATTGCGTTGATATCCGTCAAGAGACTGTTGATTCCCATCGATGTGAGCTAAGCCAGCACATGTACATGGATAAAGTCCAGTTCATCGTCTTTTATCGGTGCTGGTGATCCGATATGGACCCGGCTTCTTCTTGTAATTGAGACCTTAGTACTTGCAGCAACCTCAAGCGAACATCGCCATGATTGCAAGCTGGAGTAAAAGTGGTCTATTTCTTTCGCATAATCTCAAGCAGAATGTTGCATGCCCTACCGAGGAGAGGGACGAGTGTCGGCGGCCACTCACCGTCAGAATAAATGGCGGGTGGGCTAGTGGGCCCCCTGTGTGGCAGCCTTGCGCCGTGTTTTAAAATGTGGGGCCGGCAATTCCGCTTTACACCATCCTCACTTCGCTCTGCGGACAACAGGCGACACATAAGCCCAGAATGTCCCAAATCATGGTCAAATGGTCACCTCCCCTCGCGCCTATCTAGATATCTGCTGCCAAGAGACAACAACAACCCCGTTAGCCGACAGTGTCCCGTGGGCTAGGCCCCGCAATATCAAAATGTCCCATCCCCACAATTGAGAGGCCTACCACCAAGCTTGCCAAGTTCTACTAATACATATCTTGTCAGTCGCTTAGCTATCTGGGTCGAGTCCTCGGGTGTAAATAGGAGCAAGTGCGCGGGGTAAGAGATGGGGCACCTTGATCTCCCATCTTTTCGATATTAAAGGGCGCGAGATGTTTGCAATTCGAAGGGGGAAGATCCACATCAAGGGTTTATGAGTCCCAGGCTCTGTTTCTGAACCGCCCACCTGCAGCTACATCGAAGACATTGAAGATAGTGCATGAACGTCCTACTTCACCGTCAATGGCAGAGTTTAAAGCAGATATGGCTTCGGCCACTGAAACGAGAGAGTATGCGGCCGAAGTTAGTCTCCCCGCCGGACCACCGTCTGCTCAACGAGCAACCAAGCAAATGGTGTTCTTCTCGCTGTTCATCTCTTTGGCTGGCTGGATTTTCAACTTTGATCTTGGTTTTGGCGGCACAGTCCTCCAGATGCAGTCGTACAGAAAGTCATTCGGCCAGTGTGGTCCTGTAACCGACCCGGAGACTGGTAAGACGGCGGTTGTCTGCTCGCAAACTGCACTTCAACAAGGCCTTGTTTCCTTGACACTACTCTTCGTTGCCCTTGGCGGAGCCTGCAGCGGCATCGTTGGAAACTACCTCGGTCGTCGGGGCACCATACAAGTTGGCGCCTTGCTTGCCGCGATTGGTGCCGGTGGTATGCTCGGTACGTCGGGAAACTTCACCGCTTACCTGGTTTGCAAATGCATTGGCGGCGTCGGGCTCGGGCATATTATTGCAGCTGGCCCGGTCTATGGAGCAGAGTGCACGATTGCCAGTAAGCGCGGGATGCTTCTGGCACTCTACAACATCGGGTTGGGCTCGGGCAACGCGGCGGCGGCGGCAGTTTGCTGGGGATCTTCTACATACACGCACAGCAATCTGGCGTGGCAGATCCCCATCATATGTCAGATTCCCCTCTCACTCATCCTAGGGACGGCCGTCTTGCTCTTCCCAGAATCCCCTCGCTGGCTTCTTACCAAAGGCCGTGAAGAAGCCGCAAAGAAATCCTTCGCCTGGTTCTACGCTAAAAGCCCTGATCACCCAGACGTTCTTCTCCAGGTCCAGGACGTCCAGCGCCACATTGACTTGGAGAAACTCTACGGCACAACCACTAACTGGACCGAGATCTATCGTGGCACCAATTTGCGTCGCACCACGATAAGCGAACTGATCATGGTCGGGTTGGCGATCACTGGATCCAAATTCGTGGGACCCTACGGTGCGATTTTCCTAGCAAAAGTTGGGATAAAGAACCCATTTTTGAATAATTTTATCGTCGCCGCTTGCACCATGGCCGGATCCCTCCTGGGGCCGATCGTTATTGATTACGGCGGCCGTCGGTTTTCAATGCTCTGGGGTTACGGCACAATGACCATCTGCATGTTGATCATCGCCATTGTAGGCTCCGCGTTGGGCCAGGGATCCAACACTGCAAAAGTCGTACTATTGGTGTTCCTATTCCTCTGGGCCTACCTATTTGGCCTGTTCATCGGGACCAGCGTCTGGATCGCGGCACCTGAGCAACATAATCTTCGCCTGAGAACGTACGGGCAGGCATCGACGACGTTGGTGTATCAGATCTTTGGGTTCGCCGCGAGCTTTTATGGACCGTACATGCTTAGTGTTGATTATGGGAACATGGGTTTGAACGTCGGATATTTCTACGCTGGTAGGCAAGGTGTCCGTAATCATAACAGATGCGAGCTCCTCTTGCTGACGACGGATGTATGACAGGCGTGACTTTTGCGATGCTAGTGCTCACCTTTGCTTTCGTCCCCGAGACCGCCAGACTCACGCTCGAGCAGATCGACGAGTATTTCTTCTCCGGGAGAGCGGCGTGGAAGACTTCTACAGCCAGGAATAAGAAGATTGCGAAGGGTGAGGTGGTGGATCATATGGTCGATTCAGAATTTGCTGCCCAGAAACTTGACCAGTGATGGTAATCCGAGAATTCTTTATGGACTCTGGCCGTCAGGCCAAGGGGCTGTTGTTGCCCACCTTCATGATAGCAAGGCGTTAGAGGAGGCCCATTTGTCCCTACAGAGTCTCTATTTTATTGATTGGGAATCGTCCGTTAAAAGAAACGAAGTCACTTTTGGAAGTTCTGGGATGTCCAAAACAGCGTGTGCGTCTATCCAAATCAAACGTGGCCTGAGCTTGGGCAGACGAAAGCCAACAACATCGCCTTCATCAAACGCCGGTCTGAGCGATGACCATACTGCTGAAGTCGGCACCGATCATTTTTGCACTGTTCTTTCCGCTGGAGTGAAGGTCTTGCAGAGGATCAAGGACTGCGCAACGATCAAAGACAAGATATTGGATGGCGCAGTTGAGGAGTTTAAGCGCAAGATTTCTATGGGGTTGTTGGAAAGAATCTGCTTTGATTCAGCGAATGAGTTCATGCTATTACCTAATCGGGCTAGTTCAACAAGCGAACCTATCAGTGGATATTAAAACACAAGAGATCTATTTTGCACGTCCCCCAAGCGCTCACCGGAATCATGGGCCTCATCAGAGAGCTAAAGAATCACCCTGGCCAATTGGACGGAGAAAAGTGAACGGCTGAAGCTGGCTGTGGAATATTTGAAAGCTAAGGTTGCGCCACGCGTCAAAACCAACGAGGCAGCAGACTTTGGTTGGACGTCAAACCGTGGTGGCAATAATGACGGTAACATAGTCATGGGTGACAGTACTGGTAATATGACGATAATTGGCACTACCGAAAACGACTTGACATTTCCCTTCTCATCTGCTAACATGTCTGCAGCGGCCGACGAAGAGTCTGACTGGGACTGCCTGAACCCTCGATTAGCAGTAGTATTAGGGGCACGAAGTCTTGCACCTGGAATGCAGAAGAAGCAGCGTGTGGAGGTCAAAAGGGAAGAGTTCAAGATTCTGGAGCATAACTTTAAGGTGGAGGATGCAGACGACGATCGAGATGCCTTGGGCAAGGCCCTGGACGGCGAGAGCTGGCCTGTTAATGGGAAAGAAGACGACGAGGAAGATCCAAACGATAAAAAGGAAGACGACTTGGACGAGAGAGCAGCAGAGTTGGGGTGTGTATTGCAGTGCGTCCCTGCCAACGATTCTGGACGGAGGGAAAGGTATCACGCCGGGAGGAGAGCGTTCTAAGCGCAATGAATTTGAGCTTCATGGGTATGCCTGATAACAACAGCTATGACAATCGTTTGCAGCTCCCAAAGCTCCAGTTAGTTCCATAAGAGCTTTGCAGGGTCTTGTTCGTCTGCCACCCGCATAAAGCTCCAAGCCACGACTCCCGAGTCCATCAGCTCCTCCTTCCTGCCAGCTTCTGACTATCCCGTTGCTTTCGGCTCTGTCGGAATTGAGCAATGCTCTGAGCTCTTGTGCAGCGAATCCAATTCCTCAGTCCAAGTGCGTATCGGCAACCACCATAACTTGAGGAATCTTCAAATCTTACTCCTCTCGCTGTTGGTACTTTCCCCGGCTGTGCCTTTTGACGTCTGTGGCTGTATCCTCCGATGACAAGATGTATAGCTCCAGACGCTCGGTGATCCGTCTCATTGGACCAACGAGACCATCCGCGAGGATATTTTCATACTTTGCCAGCACATTCCGGGCGATTTGTGAGAGAAGGAGATGTAATGCTGGTGCATCCACAGCCTCTGCCAGCTGGCCTCGCATGTCCTCATAGCCGATTCCCGGCAACCCTGTGTTCCCGAGACTGTCTCGGACTTGCGCACAGGAGTGATCCCAGTGATCGACAAGTTCTTTCAATTTGTACGTAAGCGAGGTTAGAAGCATAGTGTTAGCTTCCTTAGGGGCGCAATAAGGCTTTCCCGCTGTTGAGGACGGAAAGATTTTCCCCACATTCTTCAACAACTGGATAAGCTGGACAGAATCAAAAGAAGAGTTCTTGCCTGACTTAATGCTCTTCATTGCAGCCATGCCCCCGGCTATGATAAGTTTGACGTGTCGATATTCGTATTCTTCGCCGCAAGAGTCCAAATGTTTCTTTAACGCCATTACGCGGTCTGCCGTGAGGTCTTCAAGAGTGGGCTCTACGGCAAGCATGTCCTCCACAACATCCTGCGCATCGGCACTGCTGAATCCAGGGGCTTTTTTGTCGTAGAACGCGTTCAGACCTGCATTCTCAGGGGGAGCCTGTTGCTCCAAATCGGGATAGGCACGATGTAGGGCTTGCACCTTTTGCTCGAGGTATGCAGGTGACTTTGTCTCATGGAACAATGATGCCAACATGCAGAGTTCGGGAGCCAAAGACTCGCCGCCCTGAACCATGAGGTTACCGCGTTGCTCGGAGTGGTACCGTCTAGGTCTGGCTGCTTTGGTTGGCACAGCTTCTTCGCATCGGATCGCATGTTGAGCAACGAGTTCATTCCAGCTCGATCTTCGGTCTCTGGCGTTTGTGCTAAGACCACGAAATTCGTGTCTATAGAAGACGTTATCCTGCTCAACAGCGAAGGGTGTAGAGAACGTGGCGCTTTCGTCGCATTTCAGCAAAGCGTACAGTTGGATCGAATGATTTTGATTTGTTGTGATGATGCGGGTGACCACATAATACGGGAAGTTGTCCTTCTCCCAGTCGGCAACGTACTTGTCAGGATCGACAGTACCGTCTGGTTCTTCTCCCTTCTGGAAACTGGCTTTCTTCCGTAGCGCGTTCAGCTCCTTAGGAAAAGCGTACCCGACTATCAAATATCTCTCTTCATCGGCCCCAGGATCGCCAATTTCGTCCACGGTCAGAGACATGTCACTGCGCAAGAGACATTGATTCCGCTTAAGGTCTTCCCATGCCTTGCTCAAGAGGGTTGAGCTTGGCTTTAATGCCGTCACCTCCTCGAACTCCGGATGATCTGGCAAAGGGTCTTTGATGGCATGGCCATTTGGGGTGGAGGTGACTGTTTTCAATTGTTCGCTCGCCATCGCGACAACCTCGAGTCAAAAATTGCCTGTGTCGACTAGGTGAAATCGAGACGGAGTTGAGTCTCGATGTAGAAAACCGTAGTCTTAAAAGACCATTCCTAGTATCAGTCAGCAGGGTAGCAATATCAGTCTAAGGACGAGGCTGCAGCATACAGTGAGGGTTTGTGAGAGAGAACAGTCCCGAACAGGGCTCACAACTAAGGAATAAGCTTCAGCGTATCGGGATTTGCAACCTTGGGGGTCGGATGTTACGGACAGTTCCGGGAATCTTGACATAAACAATGTGGGAGAAGTAAATGTGGCAGTCTGTGGGCCCGGTTGGAAACAATTCCTTGATGAGATCAACCAGGTGAGATAGGAGAGTGGCAATAATGAAGAAGTCTTCAAGGATTCATGTCTGAGGTATTGCTGAGTTATAGCTGAGGTGGTAATGTCTGTCTCTCATCGAAAAGTGAAGTCGCGCGATCAACTTGGCGGATTCGGCGTGTCTCAAAGTCGAGGTGATGGATAAAAATGAAAAAAAAAGGAAAGGGAAAAGGAAAAGAAAGGGGAGAGTGCGTCGATTGCAGGTGACGTCTGAAAGCACCATCTACTTTATCCAGCTTTATCCAGGCAAGCGAGATCACCGTCTGCGATACGTATCTTCGATATCATGCTCTGTCCTCTTGGGTTGGTAGCAGGACTAACGCTTCCTGAAACGCGTCTACCCTAAAGCCTTCCAACATTGCTCTTCTTGCCCATGACGCTAGAGTAAACGATCCTGCACCTGCGTGGAGTCCTTGAAGCTATCATTCTCGTATCAAATATCCAGCATCTTGTATTCGCATGTCCGAATCCTCTTCCTCTCCATCCCAGTCCGAAGGCGAGTCCTCCAGATTCTCGCCCATCGGATCCTCACCTTCCACGTCCCCATCATCACCATCATCACCATCATAATCTGCAGCGTCGAATTCTCGAGGTGGGAGCCTTGGTAGATATCCCGAAGGTCGGAACACTCATTGTGTTTTCGGGTGAGAGGCTCCATTAAGGTCTGATCGACGGCCGTCTTCCGCTCTTGAATACCATGAATCTCTTTGTCAATATCGCTGTTGGTGGTTTGAAGTCAGAAGTGTTTGACGATCTTCTTCTGACCTGTGCGGAAGAGCCACGATTCTGCCTGTTGGACCATGTTTTATTTCGCCATATCTCCAATTCTGCGAGCGGCTGTAGTACCTTTGTGCCTGGTTATCCCTCGGCCCCGAGTCCTGTGCTTCAGAAGTCGATTTTGTAGTCGAAGTGACCGTCACAAGTACCCGGAAAATATCCCAGTGAGCTTCCTCTCTCCCTCCCCGGGGGGAGGGTAGGGGAGGAGAATTGGGCATATAAAACCATATCTGTTCTTCATATTGTTGGATGGTTCTCTGGGTAAGGTATGATGTAATTATATATTATATGGTTCAGGAAGCCTGGGATTGATTCGGACCTTTGGACAAGGTGAGTCAACTGTAATCATTGACAGCCCCTTCCTTGCTTCTATAATGCTCAAGTTCCTTGAAACTCCTCATTCTCAAAGCTTATGCTTGCCCAAAAGAGCTTTCAAGCTTCAAGAAATGCGTTCCAAGTGATCCTCCCCAAAAAGAAGACCGGGGAGCGCTGCAAGGATGCAAGACAACCCGTCAAGCATGATTCAAAACTGAGTGGCACAGTCTCACCCGATATGTGCCTCAAGAGTGCTCGATAACATCAAAGCAACCGCTACATCGAATATCATTGACAGTATAGGATGAATGACAGAGGGCCACTATTTCCAAGGCAAACGGACTGCTCATCAACGAAGGCGGTCTGCGTTGTAACAGCGAAGGACTTTGAATGTGCCACTTGTTTGTCAATGGGGCTTGCCGTCAACTCAGAGAACCTAATTTAGTGAAGATGGTCCGGTGCTGAGGTCGTACGTTTTTTGACAGATTGCGATTTAGGAGAAACGGCTGCATTACGAGACCGGGGAATCGTTCTTATTCCAGCGAGATGTAAAATTCGTCTAACTAGGTCACAGTTTCCGGGAAGCGGCATTTGACCAGGCACAAATGCATTTGTCCACCTCAGTCAATGTTACATTTCTTGTGGGTAACGGTGAGCTGACAAGGCATGAGAGACACTCTTCGAAACACGGAGACATCGGCCTTGTCAAAGGGCGATCGCTTGTCGAGGAGAAACTCGAGTCAGGCCGTGGCCTTCCAGAAAGAAATTTGCCCACGGAGTTGCAGAGTTTTGCAATGGTTCGGATGGGACTAGCATACAAAGCTGAAGTTAATGACGCATTATTAATGCACGCCAAATGCCTGCGCCGTACCACGAAAATATGGCCCGGCGTCTTGACCTCGCACGCCATGCTGAAATAGGCTAAAATGCTTGAATTAAGCCTTAAAGGCAAGAACCGTATTGCGACCCTAAAAGCAGGGGGCAACGATGGCACCAATGGTCTGATGGCTCAAATAGGGAAGAGGACATGGTGGGTGGGTACTGCTGACTCCATTTTGGCGGTTGTAAACACCACGATTCCCCGTGAAAGTTCTTTTTGATGTCGCCTGACTCTGCTAAGCTCGGTGGCTGGATTGGCCGAGCGATAGTGGAAGCTTGCGGACGTCGCCGACATCATTTCCCTCAGAATAGTCGAGATCTGAGGCGCAACCACCTCCGGAATTCGAAATTTAGCTCCTGTCTCAAGAGGCTTCGTGGCAGCCTCCCTCCGGCCGTCGCCAACTCATCAATTGCATATTTGGTAGTTGCTGCTATGGCAAGGCTCAAACTCCTATCATCATGTCAACCACTACCTAATTTGTGAGCTTCTGGAGGATTCTGAGTGCTGATTCCTCCCGCCCACCACGGTCGATCCCCTCGCTGCTTGCTCAGCTTACATGGCCGATCGTATTTGCCGAGGCCTCTCCCCCACGGGGCAAAACACGAGATTCTGTTGCATCAAGGAGAGGGATTGTTCGAAATCCGCTTTGATCTAGCAGGGCATCTCGTCATCGGTCAAGTGATCATGTCCGATTTGCTCGCAAAGGGCAATATGTGTATAACTATGTCCGCGCCTTCCGGTAGACCCTTGGCCTTGCCTCTGTGCTTCGATCGCCTCGGAGACTGGAGACCCGAAGAGCCTCGTAGGAGCCTAGCATAATGAAATCCCGACCTTTAACGACCGACGTCGTACAGGACTCGATATTTGGTTGCTCCTGTGTAGCTGGGGCACCTCCATCTATCTCAAGTTTCGTAGGCCCGAGTTGACTCGAGAGTCACTCGGCCTCACCAATTGGGTACGATACGACAAGTACAATCCAAGTGCTGCGGGTGCTACCGATGCAAGGAATTCCCTGGCCGGCCTGGACTACTCGCCTTTACGACGAGTAACACGGGCATCGTTCTGGATGGGTATCCTCATCTCTATGGGTGGATTCATCTTCGGTTACGATACCGGTCAAATTTCTGGCTTCCTTGCCATGCCAGACTTCCTGCGAAGATTTGGTCTGCGTCACAGTGATGGAACTTTCTATTTCAGTAACGTGCGGTCCGGTCTTATCGTAGCAATGGTAAGTCGGTTGGTCCATTGATGAACTTGGTTAACAAGTATAGCTGTCGATTGGTACATTGATTGGAGCTCTCGTTGCTGCTCCAATCGCATACTTTATCGGCAGAAGACTTAGTGTGACCTTCTGGTGTGTCGTCTTTTGCATCAGTAACATTGTCATGATCTCGTCGGATTATCATTGGTATCAGATCATGATGGGCCGATGGGTCGCCGGCCTTGGTGTGGGTGCATTGTCGTTACTTGTGCCAATGTACATGGGTAAGCGTTAGTCAACACCAGCATTTTGTCTTCGCTAACTCTCTCCAGCTGAGACCTCCCCCCGTCACATCCGTGGTGCCCTGATAAGTACATACCAGCTCTTTGTATGCCACTACCTTTGATTTCGCCTGCCACTGGCTCTACTAATCAACGAAACAGATTACCTTCAGTATCTTCTTGGCCGCATGCATCAACTTCGGTACCTACGAGCATCAAAGGGGCAACTCTGGCTCATGGTGAATCCCCATGGGAATCGCCTTCGTCTGGGCCTTCATTCTGGGGGGAGGTATTCTCCTTTTCCCGGATACCCCTAGATATCTGTACCGCCATGGTCACAAAGAAGAAGCCAAAAAGATCATGGAAAAAGTTTATGGAGCGCCACCGAACCACTACAGTGTCCACATCGAGTTGGAAGAAATTGAGGCCAAGCTCCGGGCTGAGGTGAACGAGGGAAATCCAATTGTTGAATGGTTCCGTATGTTCCGAGCTCCAAAGATGGCACACAGAATCGTCCTCGGTATGACGTTGCAGATGTTCCAACAGTTGACCGGTGCCAACTACTTCTTCTACTACGGCACGGTGATATTGTGAGTTACCATGTTCTTATGAGTATATTTTTGGGGGTCCCTTTCCCCTTGACGAAAGTTACTGTCTTGGGTTTCTTGATTACCAGCTAACCGAAACTGCAGCATCCACCCCCTTCCCTCTGTGATCCCCCCTTTTCCGCCCCCAACACCACCAAACACACCTGGCCGTTGTCATGGACTCGACTGTTGTCAGTAGTCAGTACAGGCTAACACATTCTTGCAGACACAAAGTAAGCCTTTTGAAATCTGCGATAGTTTTGGACTTTGCCAAACCCCGCTTTCCCCCATTCAGCTCTATACAATTGCTGACAGAATTCCAGTGATTTTGAACGGCATCAACTTCGGAACTACTTTCTACGACCTGTATGTCGTCGAACACTATGGCCGTCGTAAGTCACTCATGATTGGTTCGGCCTGGATGTTTCTTATGTTCTTGATGTTCGCCAACGTTGGCCATTTTTCCCTCGATAAACATGACCCCCAGAAGACCGAATCCAGCGGCACGGCCATGATTGTAATGGCATCGTTCTTTATCGCAGCATTCTCGTCAACATTGGGTCCCATCGTCTGGACAATTGTGAGTTGTTTTTGCCTACAAAATGTGGAATAGAAGAAGTGTACATGTGTCTGAGAAGAAGGCACTGTCTCCACCTACTTTCCCACCCCACCCCACCCTTACTCCCCTAAGCAACTTCTCGCCATGTGTGCACAGGTTCTAACATGCTTACAGACTGGAGAGGTGTATCCCTCGAAATACCGGGCAAGAAGTATGGCACTGTCAACCGCCTCAAACTGGCTGTGGAACTTCCTCATAGCCTTCTTCACACCTTTCATTACCGGAGACATCGACTTCCTATACGGTTACGTCTTTGCGGGCTGCAATCTGGTCGCTATTCCGCTGGTCTACTTCTTCGTTATTGAAGGTCAAGGTCGCACACTCGAGGAGATCGATACCATGTATATCCTGAGTGTGAAGCCATGGAAGAGCAGCGAATGCGTTGCCCCTCCGCCAGAAGAGCTAGCCAAGATCAGACGCGAGGCTGGGACCGATGATACCGCCGAAGCAGGCGAAATTACGCCTGCTGGGCAACGCAGCAGCGACGAGACAAATACTGAGAAGGAGGCCGAAAAAGACGTGGAGCTCCATGCGTAAAGTTACCACGTCAAAACCACTTGTCCTCAACGCCAATTAAAAGACAAAACAATAAGGAAAGAAGGAAAAATTGCAAGAAGCCCAGGGGAAGAATATCAGTGCTTAGAGGGTCGTGATCGAGCGAGTCGAGACCCCGGGATTGGGGCGGAGGAGCAACAAGGAGCAAATGAGGAAGAAGATGGATGCCCCGCAGCATTGCGCTGGAGAGAGGGAAGGGCCGTGCATGCATTGCAATCTAACGAATTCTTTACGACTCTCAATTGTGGTGTCTTAACACCTTCATACCGAGCAGTTATCACTGCTATCGAATAGATAATGTATGCGCCTTCATTTCCGATATCTCTCTTGATCCTACGAACACAGCCCTTCTACGAGGGCGTGTTCGGACTGGAAACATTGTTGAAGATTGCTCAAGCACAACGCGAGTTGCCTGTTATTCCAAGGAGTCACCGCCGCACCATAGCGAGGCAGAGCTCCACGATTTTCAAAGGCAAGTACCCAACATTGAGAGATGAAGCTCAGCTTCTGACTGACCATGAACTTCTTTGACCAGAGCGGGAAAAGACGACCTGTACTCGGTATGTTCTGGTTGTACTGGGGGTGCACTTATGTTCTACCTCCCCTGGCGCGCAAAGCCTTGTGCATACGGAATATCGTTGAGCCTGCTCCGGTGCCAAGGCGCTAGCATATAGGACGCTCATACCACGCTATACCTAGTTTGGCGCCAATCAATAGCTCGAGCTTGGCAATAATCGAAATATTTCTTTCACGTCGTCGCGTCCTCAGAAACTTCCCTTCTTTTCCGTTTCTTCATACTTGTACGTCCTCCTTCCCCAAGCATGATGAGTTTTGGATTCTCGCTAATATGTCATATCAGACCTTGTGGGAGCGACTCCGATCAAGAAGGGAGTTCTGCTATGGCGGTGTCCCTGCATTGCACGTCGCGGCGGACGTCACCATCAAGTGTCCTTCGGGGCTCTTGTCCGCGTATTTTTTGGCTCCCCCTCACCCTTTTTTCATCACGACTCTTGCCTGGCAGCAAGGTTCTGGAGAAGACGGTATGAAGAGGGCAAGGATTACATCGTGGCTTGGAATGAGGAGGCGCATGCGCTAGTTGAAGGAACCTCTGTGAAAAGTGGGTGCATACACACGGCCGCGCATGGGCGAGGTCTTGGGCTGCACTCCGTCCTTGGAAAAAGATTTACTAGATATTCGACGAAGGAATGAATGAAACGTCTGCACCCCTGCGGTACATCAGCACTAGTCAACTACGATCTGAGAGATTCCGCAACGCGACCTGCAGAGACAAGAACCCTCCACATCCCCGCGCCAGAGTTTTGTTGGAGTACGATAAGCACTTAACCTGCGACACAAAAGAGCCGCCTCCCTTCGCACATCAACGGTATTCTTACCGCATCCTATGCGTCTCCTGCCAGGCTTTGTTCTCTCTTGAGTAGCAGGGAGAGCTCGGTGAGAGTTGCGAACTAAAACAATACCACAATGCATAAGCGTGACATGGGAGGGCCAATGGGCCGCTGAACTGGAATGGACAGATCACAAGAAACAACCGTCTTTTGCTGCTTTTTTCACTTGCAGAATCAAGAAGCCGGGCAGCACTATTGGTGACTGGCTCGTATTTGATTGCATTCGATGTCTTGCCTGGAGGTCAGTGACAAACCCCCTCTTCGCTTTTGATGGTAGGGTCTCTTGTCTATGTACAAGGTACTGGTCGGAAGAACCTGATCCTGGGACTGCGAATATTGTGAGCGCAGCTTTCATCGGATACAATTGGAAGCCACCAGTCATCCGTGCCTGGGTACCCTACTCTTGTGGAATTCCTCGCCGGTATTGTGCAAGAAGAGCAATGCATCAGTGGTTTGTACATAGTATTCGCGAGGACTCCAAACAGGTTTTCTTCTCCCAACAAGCGTGACGGACACATCTCTCGCGTGATGTGGAATCTATTCATACCGTCAAAACATGGACCTGGCATTCTGCGCAAGGACACGTCTCGCCCCCACAAAGCTTCGAAGAATTTGCTTGGAGGCCCTCCCTCGCGAAGCTTCTACTCACGCATGCACCCGACGGTCCCATCAAAGCTGTGACAAGCTTCAAAACAATCACGCCACAAGTCTCACAACTGCATCGTCGAGGAGCCAGAGCAAGGATCGCCTGTGTCCGCCCCCGGGGGGGGGGGGCAAGAATGCAAGGCCTTTGTCGGAGTATTTCTCCTTCGATGTTGGGTGGGAAGGGTCTCGAAACCTGCAAAAAGGCCTCCCAAGTGCCCCATAACACCAAGGAACTTCTCAACGGGTTCCTTGCATTCCGCGCCTGGAAAAGGGGGCTCGCCGTACCTGCATGAGGAGCTTCGCCACGAGCAAGTAACCTACAACACCACAAGTACTTGTATCTCTTCTCGCATTGGAAGGTAGAGCAGATAGTTAATCAATAGCCCTATCAAGATCTTGGAGCTTATCCAGCCACTAGCCACTCCACTCGCGCACAGCCCCGCCTATATCACACCGCGCTAACTGTGGCTTGAGAAGCACACGTACTTAGGTGGGTAGTCACAGAGATAGGAACCCGGGCGAAACTCAGCCTAGGGGCCCTAGTCACGAAAAGAGGCGTGAAGATGCTCCCTTGCCTTCTTCACGACGGAAAAGCCAACACCCCCCCTCTTCCTCCATATCTGTCTTACACGCAGGAACAAGATAGCGCATGTGAAACATCTATGTACGGTGGCCCCTGACGCCAGGGTCTATCACACGCTACAACCAACACCTTATCAGCCTACACCTTACATGGTAGTTCGTACAGAGTACAGAGTAATAACGTACCAGCATCCGTTTCCCCGACGAACTCGTTGTTGGGTCTCTTGCGAGACACACGAACAGAGGAGGGGAGCGAGGCGTTCCTCTCTCCCTTCCTTCCCCCCCTCCCGGCCCCCGGCTCAAAAACGGTCAAGCGCACGGGCGTTAAATTAGCCACTGGACTCCGTTCTTTGGCCTGGTCTAGTCGACCTGACATGGCAGACCAGAGCAGGGCTGGGCGAAGGCGACTCATGCATGTCGCGGCACTGCTATGGTACAGGTAGTTGCCCTGAGTACTGAATACTGGGTTCTGTAGGCCCGGGCATAATTTCTATGAGACTCAAAGGGCCTGGACGTGCATGGTGGACGGAATGGGGATGGGGATGGGATTGGACATTTCAGAAACGGACCGCGCCTGGAGCGTTGCGTCGCAGGGGGGCTGGCTAGCTAGCTAGCAACAGAGGTAGGTATACTGGAACTCGTCCTTGGTATGCAGGACTGGGCATGCCACGCTGCCGTAACACACGTGGGAACAAGCTGGTCCTGGCATGCACTTGCACGAGTACCTACCTAGGTAGAGGTGGGAATCTCACCCGTGGCTGCAGCACGCCGATCGAAGATCCCTTGAAGATCCCTCGTGTGCTCGTATTGTAGCCCGTTGGAAGGATTTACCGATCTGTAACATCGTGCCGCCCGACACATGGGGATTTACGCATGAACTCCTTAAGAGAACGTCCTCATGGGAGGGATGCAGTAGACTGCTTGTTTTCTCGATCTGGATATCGGAAGACAGTACCCATAAGAAGCGGATAAGGATGTGATGTTCGTTGCGGGATATGCTCCTATTGTATAGTCTTCTCAGAGTCGCCTCCCGGAACCTTCTGTAGCTGTACAAAAAAAAACCCCTCTGGTATCTTTTGTGCCTTTTCAACCGTGACCTGATATCCAGGCCGCCCGAACGAAACCCCTTGTGTCCTGCCACCAGTCCCATGTAGAAGTACAGGCCTATCCCATCCGATCAGCCGCCCAAGATCCCAGACAAACCCCGCTGAGATAGAAAAGGGAGTAATCCAGTACTGAATTTGACCACGTGGGATCAAGCGTCCTGATAACTCACACTCCATTCCTTGGTTGTCTTGATGATCATGGCCTTGCTCCCGTCACTGCCATGGCTCCTGCCCCCGTCTGAGGTGATGCTTTCGCTGCGATGCCGCTCGGAACTGAATTCCTTCTCCGGCCTCCCCGCGGAGACTTTGTTCACCACGATGCGATTGGTACTTGTCAAAGCTTGCCCGATCCCATGACCAGGCGAGTCGTTCATTTGCCCGATGGTGGCTCCCTGGCGCGGGAGATCGAGGCTCTCACCCCGTAGTTCGCTCTTCAGAGCCTGGCTTCGGATCGCCGAGGTTCCGGCCTTGCTCTGGGCCATCTTGCCCATCAAGTAGCTGTCGTTGCCGTAGCCGAACCGTCCGTCTCCTTCCTGGATCACGCCAGAGAGATAGCCTGCCTGGATGGATTCCATGAACGGCCGGAGATGCGGTACGCACGCTGCGAAGACGCTGAAGAAGACCTCTAGCAGAGTCGCGATCGTGGGCAGCCAGCTCTCAAACGTGACGTCCGCGTTGCGATCAAAGAACCGGTGCATTTCGCTGATACGCCAGATCGTGCAGGCGATGGCGAGGATGCGGAATGAAAAGGCGAAACAGACGGCGATTTTCTTCTTCAAGGGCAGTTGGAGATTGTACACCAGCCAAACCGGTATAGCCATGAGTGCCACGTCGATGAGAATGTCGATGATTCCGACCGCGTCCCAAAAGCCTTCCTGGCTGAAGCATTTGTTGGTTGTAATGAGGTATGGGTGGGGGAGCGAGCACTGAAATGCGCTGGCTATGACTGACGCGACCGCCCACACTGCCGTCAAGCCACCCGTAGCCAGCATAGGGATACGGTAAGATTTATTCGGTGACAGCGCGAGTAGCAAAGACAATGTCGATACCTTGCCGAAGGAAAGACTGGTGATGTAAAGGATGTTCCAGGCATATCCGGCCTTTTGGAATTTCTCATACTGGTCGCCTGTCAAGGTTGAGATCTCAGAGCCCAGTCCTCCGCTGACTTGCTGGTTGATTGCGACAGTAAATCCGATGGAAAGTGCCTTTGTGAAACGGTCAGGTCACGCCCCGGTCGCATTTCCAGTTGGCCGAGTACTTACCATTGCCGCAATAATGATTGAGTCGTTCCATGCCAGTCTCCTCAAGACCACAAGCTTGCTGACCAAAACAGTGATCACTGCCAGGCACATCGTCACCACTGCAATCCATGCTACCAAGTTTACCACAGGGCCTCTGTGGGTGGCGGAGATCAACGGGACTCGGGCGAGCAGGATGTGGATTCCTGCCATGGTGGCTTTCTGTGTCAGTCAAAAGGGCGAACAGTTGGACGAGGTATTCTGAAAGTCGTCAAAGTCATAGATGGAATCTACGAGGTGCAAGACTTCGACGAGTACTGACAGTGACAACTTGACAGGGACTTCAAGGGACCGAGCATGGAAACAAGGGACTTTCAAATGAGGAGTGCCGACTCTCCGGAAGTTGGGGCAGGATAGAAACATGGTTAGGTAGACGCGATGCGACATGAAGCGTGATAACCAAGAAGGTCGTCTCTGCAACTGCCAGGTTCTTCCAGACAAGGGTGCCATTGCGCCTTCGTGGTTGGGCCTTGCAAGCCCTGTCAGGCATGCAGATAGCAGGCTTTTCCATTCGGACTTGGATCACTGCCAGCGCAAACAAGGACAGTACTTAGTGATGATGCATATGCACAGCTCAGCACAAGCGCGGGCTCACAGCGACCAGGAGAAGCAACCACTGAGGTCCTCGAAGCAGATACACCTGGTGGACTTGCAGATAGGCGCATTATCTGCTGAGCTCGCTTAGCCCAACCTGTAACTTAGGGTCAGATTAAGGTAAGGCTCTAGGCTGCGCTTAGGGCCCGGGAGGTGTGGAGTCTTGAAGGGCAAAGGATCCTTGATCCGTTCACGAACGAGCCTGTGAGTTCGCAGCTCCTTGCTTTTGCATTTCCTTTTGTCTAGGGCCATTTAGCGTCCATCGGCACCGGGGCGGGCGATCATCTCTCCCCGAATGCTTCCGTCTGCTCCCCTTGTGGGTGCCAGGTGCCCCCACGGTCTCCATCAGCAGCGTGTTTTGCTGACAACAGCCCCTCCGCTGCCGTTGGCGAAGTTGTGGAGTGATAACAGCCTTCTCTGCTGGCGTAGAGTAGAGCTCTGTGGAGTTTTAGATGGCTCCAACATCCTCGCACAGGGCCTGCTATGCGGTTAAACCGGCTAGCACACCGCGGCAGCATCCAGAGCCTGTACGAGGTAGTAGTCCAAGCATCCCCGTGGACGGTGAACTGTCAAGGACAGTATCTTAAACAGCGGAGATCTTCTCCGAAAGTGTATCGAATGTTTCGTGTCCTTGACATAAAACTTTGGAGGTATCAAGAGGCATTGGTAGGACTTTGAGATCAACAATTCTGTCGTTGGAGGTGACAGAATCTGAACGCGGAATTGGCATTGGGTGATAGAGGCCGGGCGAAGTTCGCACTCCCAGATGCAGCTGAAGCGATCTGCCTTCCTGTTTCAGAGCAGTAACAAGCCACCAAGCAGATGGTTGCTAACGTGCAGCGCTGATCCTTACGCCTTCCAGCCCTGTTCTCTTCGGAGTATTTAGCCTCTGTCGTCAGGGGTCGGTGGGCTTATCAAGACCAAGCTCAAGACAGAAGCAAACACCGTGAACTAGCAGCTCGCCGGGACGTTGTTGGCTGGCAATCACCCTGGAGGCGAAATTGCTCCAACAGATCCGGACGTGACGATCCCAATGGCGAAATTCAACGGGCCAAGCCATGGCTGCGATCAACATATGCAGAGGCAGTAAAGAAAATAGCCATGATAATGGCCGCGAAGGGCAACGACGTACTCCGGACCCTGATTGGGTTTGTTGTTTTTGCTTGAAAGCCAATTGTAAAGCATATCCGCACGTTTTTGCCCGCTGGAGGCAGGAAAGGGGGCTGATGATCATCATCCGGCATCGGGAAATGTCAATACCTGCTGGAATGGGCCTTACGAACCACATCCGGGACTTCACACTTGTCACTGTGTCAGCCAGACACTGTCCACATGGACAAACCCTGAAAAGGTGGCAGTACACTAGACACCACCATTGTAGCTCCACTAATTCCGTTCAGAAGTTCCCAAGTCGTCTCACGTTGCAGAGTACTGGGTACTCGCACTGAGTAAGCAGCGTTCAACGCATAACCCCCAGAAGCTCCAGGTGCGTCGTGACTTGAAGGGGGAGAGTTCTGGTGGGTGTGCCGGATGGTGTTGTGCCGCAACTGCCAGAAGGGATCAATTCCACCAGGTATTTTCTGTGACCGCCAATCCGTCAAGAATGCTTTTCTTCATCCAAGAATATGTAGCATATACCGTGACCAAACGAGTAGCCTCCGTGTCGATCATGGACGCAGAGTCGGACAATCAGGTGCCGCCATTGCGTGTGAACATCGATTCCTCATCTCGCCTGTGGGTGTTTGCGAAGGTGATGAGGTGTCGGATTTCACATGAGAAAATTGCATTGAACGTGCGCAAGGCCCACAAGGAACCCGAGCTCTTACAAGGGTCGAGGACCTAGTGCCGCTATGTAAGTACATACAGTACTGGGTACTGTACGACAAAGTTCACGAATCCGAAAGATAAGATCTCCATGCTGTTGCTTGACAAAGCTTTCCCACCCGATGTGACAGTGCATGAGTGCTCATGCGCTACTGACAAGGCTACTGCAAGCCCCAACACCCCCTAGTTACACAGGGCTGGGGGCACTTGAACCTTGTCGTGTTCAATGGCAATGCCTTTAACCCGTCTCGCAATCCTGGTTGAACCGTCGCACCACACCAGCCCACCAAGGTGCATTGGAACACGAGTGCCGCGAGGTCCCTTATTGATAGGGCATGTACCTAGGGAATGATGGCCTTTTGTACGCAGTCGAGAACTTCTTCAAATTGATCAACTTTTTAGTGTTTAGCCGTGGACTTGTATCCGACGGAATATCTCTCTGGGTCTTGTACCGAGTACTTCGCCTAGAGACCACGAGGTAGACCTCTAGCCGAACCACAATCCTATATCGCCCAGCGAAAATCCTTTTCGCTCTCTGATCTCAAGCGGGTCTTGCCTCGTGGGAGTTCCAGCCGTGATTTTCTCTCCTTTATCGAGAGTCCAGGCGCTTTGTCATTCACTGGGTTTTCACATCCGCTCCTTTGCTGTTATCAGCCTGCGCGAACGAGAGTATCTGTGAAGAGAGGCCAACCTGTCGAATAAGCGCAACACATTCGCAAGCGCTGGTCGATAGAATGGCAGACGCATTTGCCATGAAGAGCGGAGGGAAGTTCGCCTCAGAGATCCATCACTCTAGGTCCTCTTCCTCCGAGCAACATGGTGAGAAATCGGTCAACAGAGATGAACAGGAAATGGCCAGGTTGGGAAAGCGCCAGGAGCTGAGGGTATGCCAAACGGCAATGCAAGATTCGCATGACAGACCGGTTCAACTGACTTGGTAACAGCGTAACTTCGGCTTCATGAGCATGCTCGGTTTCTCCTGCACCCTGATGATAACCTGGGAAGGTCTGTTGACGGTCTTCGTGTATGGATTGACGGACGGAGGTCCAGCTGGCCTTGTGTACGGCTATCTCTTCTGCTGGGTGGGATACTTCACGGTTGTTGCCTCACTTGCTGAAATGGTCTCTATGTAAGTTTCTCCAGACATTCCCACATGGTCCTCGGGGATATTGACAATGTTGTAAACAGGGCACCGACTGCTGGCGGACAATACCACTGGACGTTCCTTTTTGCCCCAAAGTCTTGTCGCAACTTTCTTTCGTTTATTACGGGCTGGCAATCCGTTCTCTCGTGGCAGGCTTGTCTCGCGTCGGCGGCCTATCTCGGCGGCACCATCATCCAAGGCCTCCTCGTTCTGAATTACCCCAGCTATGATTTCCAGCGATGGCACGGGACACTTCTCCTGTATTCTGTCATCTTCCTGGCAATGCTCTTCAACACATACCTCGCCAAGCAGCTCCCGAAGGTCGAAGGGGCGGTGCTGATCGTCCACATAGTGGGGTTTTTCGGAGTGTTGATCACGCTGGTATACTTGGCACCTCACGGCACCGCGAACGACGTATTTGTCCAGTATCTCGCCAATGGAGGGTATGACAAAGGAACTTCATTCTTCGTGGGACTCATCACCACCGTTTTCGCCTTCATCGGAGCCGACGGTGCTATTCATATGAGCGAGGAAATCAAAAACGCGTCAACGGTGGTGCCTCAGTCGTTGGTGGCATCCATCGCTCTCAATGGCACGATGGGTTTCGCCATGCTGATTGCAATTCTGTTCTGTATCGGCAACATCGACAATGCGCTCTCAAGTGCCACAGGGTTCCCCTTTATCGAAATCTTCAAGCAAGCTGTTAATTCGAATGGTGGAGCGACCGCCTTGACCTCCATCGTCCTCTCGTTGATGATTTTTGCCACCATTGCGGTTTTGGCTGCGGCTTCCAGAATGACGTGGGCTTTTGCTCGTGATAACGGTCTTCCTGGATCTCGATTCATCTCTCAGGTCGAGCCTCGAACCAAGCTCCCATTGTATTCGGTCGCTCTGTCTGTTCTGATCACACTGTTGCTGGGACTGATCAACATTGGATCGTCTGCTGCTTTCAATGCCGTGGCCTCGTTGGTCGTGTCTGGCTATCTCGGCAGTTACACCATACCGATTAGTAAGTGTCTTTGAAAACCTATCCTAAAATTTGGCGGGGGCTTCAAAGCTCTGTGCCCTCAATTCTGTCCTGTTTGATACTAACGACGAACTAGTCCTGATCCTGCACAAGAAGATATACAATCCTTCATCCATCCACTATGGTCCTTGGACGTTGGGGCGCGGATTTGGCATCTTCTGCAACGCTTTTGGGCTGTTGTGGATTGCCATCGTCATGACGTTCAGTTTCTTCCCATCTGTACGCACTGATTTGACACTTGAAACCATGAACTGGTCATGCTTGTTATGGGGGGGAACCATGATCATTGGCGTGGTCAGCTATTTCGGATACCTCCGGGGCCGATACAACGGTCCTATTGTCGAGACAGACATCATCGAGCAGGTTGTTCATGGGGTTTGATTCTGGACGGAGGTACAATAAGGAGATGTGGGATGGGGTGTTTCATTTCTAAGGCTCAGTGGGATCAACGGGGCACTGCACATACTTCTGGAGGGAAACACACTGGTCTTCCGGGTCTCAAAGCGGGATGTGTACACTTGTGGACAATACCTTGTGGAATCCGATTGCGGGAACATGGTCTTACATGTAGATGGATCAAAGGACATGTAGATATGAAAAAGATTGTATCTTTTTGCGCCATTGCATCGATGCCTTGAGTGAAGCTAGAGAATTTTTCCCTTTGTCTCAGTCCTCAGACTCGACATCGGGGCTCCGCTCTGATTGGCCAGGCTAGCTAAAGTGCTGGCTGATCACTGAATTGGGTCTTGCCCGCTTAAGGCAACTGAGCCGAAGGGTCAGAACCAAGACAAAATTTTCGTTCTATTTTGGGCGGCTCGGTAGACCTGCCTTTTTAGGACGATTCACTGGAAGCCTTGCTTGGCGTTGTCAGGCTGAATGATCCTCCGAACAAGTCAACAACGTACTTGGTACTTAAAAGTTGATGAGATCCTTTTGTTTGTTGACAAGGTGCACCTTACCAAGTACTGGGTACTCAGGACATTTTTGTTGGAAGAGTCCCTGGTATCTATGTAGCCACGTCGATGGAATCTCGACTGGCCTGCCAGATCCACCCATAATCTGGCGCAAGCGACCCCGGAAAACGCCACCTCCTTTTCCCCGTCGTCCCACGCTGTCATTCCCTTTCTCTTCATCTCGTGTCGCAAGACCACCACAGCAATGTCTCTAGTGTCATTAAGAATCGCTTCAGGCCCGAGACAGTCAGTTGAATTAACAGTGCCGATAACGCTGCGTCGCTGGCCCTTTCCCATGTCCCAACGCCGAGCAGTTTCCCAGCAGTTCGTGCAGTGGGATGATCATGTTTCAGAGGACGGTGCCAAAGTTAAAGAGGATTGGCCTCATCCGCGTAGATTTTGTGGGCAATTTGTGGAGAAAACCGGATCCACCATGCGAAACAGACGTGAGAGTGGTTGATGGATGGACTCGCCCCTTGTTCCTGAGAAATTCAAAAATAGTGTTTATGTTGGGCGGCTGCCCCCGTGTTTGGTGTTTGCTGGAGTGTCGTGTTGTGAAAGAGCCTCCTTTGGCCATTTTGTTTTCATCAGTCCTTGTTACCCCATCCTTCACCTCACCTTGAAGGAATCTTCCTCAGAGCGAACGCGTCACTCCTTGATGTGTCTCCTCTGCATTATGCTCGCTTGAATGCGGATACATATCCACTTTGGCCGCAAACCATGAACTCCTCGAGGACTGGCTCCTCGCGGTCCAGTTCAGATGGATCTCAGGTCGGATTGCTGAACGAGAAGCACGAATTCGACTCCAATGGACAAAAGGCGACAACGCGTCTTCGGGCCAAGATAGGTCCCTCTCGCCCGGTCCCAAAGATCACATTGTGCCTGTTTGTTCGATACCTTGTTAAACTCCTGGGTCAACTGTTCAACCTCTTTATGCCGAGCTTTCTCCAGCGCCGCTCCCATAGTGACCAGGCCAAACCAGACAAAGTCGCTCCCACAGCGTTTCTCGATGGCATGCGCGGACTTGCGGCCTTCGTGGTCTTCATCTGTCATCTCACGTATGGCACTTTTGATATCGCTCATGCGTGGGGCGCCACTCCGGACCCCGAACATCAACCAACATCCATGTTCGGGGAATATCTGCGCCTACCCATCGTCCGCCTTCTCTACTCTGGGCCTCCAATGGTCGCCATCTTCTTCGTCATTTCTGGCTATGCACTTAGCTACAAGCCGTTGAAGCTGATGCGGTCGCGGCAACAAGAACAGTTGATGACGACAATGAGTTCGTCTATTTTCCGACGGGGGTTGCGACTGTTCTTACCTTGCTTCGCTTCGACCTTCATCGTCATCTGTCTTGCCCAACTCAACCTATACAAAATCACCGAGGGTTTTGCCAACCAGATGCGCAATATTCACGAGAGCCACTGTTACACTCAACCGAACCCTTGGATGCAATTCACCGATTACCTAGTGCAGATACTCATCTTCGTGGATGTCTTCAACTGGAACATTTTTGCCGGATCCATAGAGCTTGATCGGCACCTGTGGACCATTCCCGTCGAGTTTCGATGCAGCATGGCCTTGTTCTTGACGCATATGATGGTCGCGAGGATGTCTTCCCGGCTGAGACTCTCGACTCTTGTGGTGCTGATTATCTGGGGCACCTCTTGGGACAGATGGGAATTGTGTCCTTTTTGGGCTGGGGCGGTGATTGCCGAGCTGGACATCATTTGGACCTCTAAAGCGTCTGAGCTCCCATTAGTCGCAAAGAGTCAACCTTACAAACCAAGATTGTCATCCAAGATCCTGTACTGGTCGACCTTCTGCATTTCGCTTTACCTGCTATCCTTCCCCGACATCGACGCCCACGCCACACCGGGATACCTCACGCTAACCAAGCTCATCCCCGCGAGCTTCACACAAAAGCATCGCTTCTGGCCGAATGTCGGCGCTGTGATGATCGTCTGGTCGTCATCGCGCCTGGGCTTTTGGCGGAACAAGGCCTTCTGTTGGGGCCCGGTTCAGTATCTAGGGAAGATCAGTTTTCCTCTGTACGTCATGCACGGCCCTGTCATCCACACATTGGGCTACTTGGTATGGGAACGATCCCCCTCCTGAATCCCCCGCAACTTGAAACTAATCTCTCTGAATCCAGATTCTCCCACGAACACCCGAGGTGGAAACGCCAGAGATAATGAGACAGTTCCAGCTCGAGTTCCTGAAGCCGTCGATCGTGATTGTCCTGGCCGTCATCTGGGCTGCAGATGTCTTCCTCAGAGTCGTCGATATCCCCTGTGTCAATTTTACCAGAAGACTCGAGAAAGCGTTCTTTGGCGGATGATTGGGCCTTTGCGACCGGTCGGTTAGTAGTGATGCATGCGTGCCAGCCATGGACGAAGTCCCCCAGCCACCGCTTCTATAATCGAGATCCATCTTGACCGTTTGCATCTAGCATTCGAAATTCGGACAATGTCGCCCTTATCGACTTGATGGGTATACTGGAACGGACGCTGACGGTGCACGATTCCTGAGGATTTTGATTCAACCCTAGCGAAAACGAAGGACAAAGCCAGAAAGCCAATGGCTGGAGCCGGTATGTGTACCCTCCCACATCTCGGAAGGCCACAGTGCCCTTTGGTGGGTAGCCGTTGAGGCGGGATCCATTCCGCGCACATCGGCCTTACCTCGAGGGAGTAGGGAACGCGGAATGCGTTGAGGGATGAAACCAGCAAGTTTGCTTTGAGAAGTAGGGACCCTCGGGGGGATGGTGATGATGGAGGAGATGAGGATTAAAAGTCATGTGTGAGACAGAAGAGATACGTGATTGATGGATGATGGGTTTGAGCCGAGACCGACGCGGCACAACAAATCGATCTAATCTTATAAACGGCACCACGGGCAACAGACAATAGCGATTGGAAGTGGCAGTCGGCAGGCAAAGTGGGAACAACGACGACATCGTTGCCGAAAAGTAATAGAGTTGTCCCATATGGATTTGACCCTTGGGGATGGACACCCTGCTCATAGTGCACCCAGTCCAGCAAGCAAACAACAAACAATAGCATACCGTCATGCTCCTGCTGATAGACGACCACAGCAAGCTTGATCATGATTATCCTGGCAGAATAATAATTTTTGGATAGCTCTGGCCGGGTCGTGCGCAGTGCAGACATCCCGCAGATGCATATGCGACGGATCCCATGGAGGATATGAATGTTGCCTCGCCTCGCTTGCCATCGCCTCGCAGGGGGGATAAGCACACTCAAATCACGAAAATGCAGAAGGAAACCTGCGCACACCCCTCTGCAGGTCCATACTGCCCCCTTTCCTTTGCCTTCGCCTTTGGCTCGCTTCGACTTCGCCTTTGGTTGTCCTTCAAGATTTGCCCTTCGGCCTCTCCAAGGTCGAAGCAGCCGTGGCTTCCGGCTGACTTATGGTATTCTCGGCGTTGACGGCGTCGAAGATCTTTCCCGGATTCATCAACCAGTGCGGGTCGAGGCTGCGCTTAAGAGTCTGCATCACGCCGATGGTCTCGAGGCCTAGTTCGTCAATGAGGCTTTGCTTTTTGCCTAGCCCGATGCCGTGTTCGCCGGTACATGTGCCTTCCTGTAGGGTAAGACGTTAGCGTGGGCGGGTGTCCTCTCTTTTTCCTGGAGGGATGGATGGGTGGATGGATGGATGAATAGATGGGGGGCTGGTCATGAGAAGGTTCAGACAGACCATTTCAAGAGCTCGGTCGACCATGTTATGCACGACTTGCTCGACGCGCTCCCTCTCCTTTGGATCCTTGCGGTTATACAAGACGGATGTGTGGAAGTTGCCATCTCCAATGTGCCCAAGGACACTTGCGAAAAGGCCCAGGTCGTCGATTTCTTTCTTTGTGATTTCTGTCCTCGTTTGTCAATTTACACAGTGCCTCTCGATTCGAGAAGTCTTTCTGGGGGGGGGGGAGACTTACCAACAATATCGGGCAACCGTGAGATTGGGACCGCGACGTCGGTAGACCAGACTTCGTCGCCCTCCCGGCGCAAAGAGAGCATGCTCCACAAGGAATCCTTCCTGGCCTTCCACAAATCATGCGCCTCTCGCTCGTCCTTTGCGTAGATGAAATCACCACCCTTGTTTTTCTTCGCGATCTGAATGGTGATCTTGATATTATCCTGCACCCCGGCCGTCGTGCCTGAGAATTTGAAGAAGATGGTGGGCACCTCTTTCCACGTCCGGTTGGTGCCCCCTGCGCGATTGATTACTGACATTTGCACGTCGTCCATTATCTCCATTGCGGCAACGGGAACGGCAGCGCGTATCACTTGCGAAGCTGCGGCTGCTGCATCGCGGATCGTGGGGAATGTTGCGACTGCGACTTTTGTCTCCTGAGGAATGGCCGCCAATTTCAGCGTTGCCTCCGTGACAATGCCAAGGGTGCCCTCCGCGCCGATAAAGAGGCCTGTCAGGTTGTAGCCTGCTGCTGTCTTGCGTGGCCTCTGCCTGGTCTTGATAATTCGCCCATCCGGTAGAACTACAGTGAGATTGAGAACCCAGTCTTTCATAGTGCCATAGCGGAAAGCATTGGTGCCGCTGCAGGATGTCCCGATCATGCCACCAATCTTTGCTGATGGGCCAGGGTCCACCGGGAAGAAGAGACCGGTATGCTGCAGCTTGTCATTCAGCTCCATCCACTGAACAGCCGGCTGGACCACGACATCCATATCGTCTGCGTGGACCGCCAGGATTTGGTCCATGAAGGCAAAGTCGATACTAAACCCTCCAAAGGGCGCAGCGAAGTTGGCTTCCAGAGAAGAACCCCCCGAGTATGGGATCATGGGCACCTTGTATTTTGAAGCAATTTTGGCAATCTGGGAGACATCCTCGGTCGTTTTAGGGTAGGTTACTGCAACTGGCAGTTGATCAATGTTGATAGAAGACCATTCAGAATAGCCATGCGACCAGAGATCCTCATCATCCGTGCTGATAGCATCCTCCCCCAGTACTTGACGGAGCTCTGAGATGGCCTTCTCCATATCCCCCTTGCTGGCGTATCTGGGAGGTTTGGGTTTGCGGGGCAGCAGCTCATTGGCGTGATTTCCCGCGTCAGTGACGCCCACAACGTATCCAATAGAAGCCAAAGCCCCTCCCAGCAGTAATGCTCTGCTGGTGGTCCATAGAGGAAGCCTCGGTTTCGCCAGTGCCTCCGCTGTTGAGGCTCTGGTCGAATAGTGCCCTCTTGCTGTTCCCGTCCTGTGATGTCGTTTTGGGCGGGCCCTAGAAAGCATACGAGAAGGGACGAAAAGGCTTTTCATGGGCGCGCTTTCAGTCCATCGTTTGAGCAAATCTGAGCACAGCCTCGCCCTTTCCATCATGTTTTCGGGGATAAGGACCTGGGCGAGAATAGGGGCGATCTGATCTCTTTCATAGCTACCTTGTCATGAGGAGAGAGGTTGGCTTGTCTTAAGGTAAGATGTGGGGGTGAGCGTCCTAGCCTCAACCAAGGTTCGGTCAGTTGGAGAAGCCCTTAAATCAACTGTGCGCCAGGGGGGCACGGAATCAAAGCCGCCTCAACTCATTGCTGCTGACTAGCGGGGTTAGCAATAGATTCCAGGCTGTTCCATATCATCTAGACTGCATTACAAGCGATGAGTTTCCAGCAGATCCCCCTCGCCCCATTGCATGACAGGAGCTAACCCAACAGCCCGATTTGTGTGAAGCGTGGCCTGGGCAAGGACTGGGTAGATAGGCTAGGCTATGCCTGGTGGCCCTGGACGTGTCCGTCAAGCCTGGGTCTAGTGAGCCCGCTAGCCTACCACCGCCTTAAGCTCCAGCATTGAGTGGCTGCGTATTACGGGGTACTCGGTATCCAAGTCCGAGATCTGGATCTGCCCTCACTGCTGGGTGGCTGCCAAACGCCAAGATGTCGCGACCTCTCCTCTTTACCTCGTGTTTTCGTGCGGCAACAACTGACTTTGTCGTGAGATTGGATCGGAGACGTGCGGCATCACCTACCAGAGCTTCCCGTGAGTGAGTGAGTGAGTGAGTGAAGGAAGAGCGGTGTGGACTAGATAGGACAACGACTGCTTCCTTTGTCTGTTCGCCTTGCCTGCAGCGGTGCCAGCGGAATGCGTCTCTCCTTTCACGCAGGCAAACGAGCAAACAAACAGGGCGCAATTCGCGCAGTGGCTGATCGGTTTACGGCTTGTTGACATCTCCAAATCCCAATCAGAGGAATAAAGTCGCGGCTCGTTCAAGGGGAGGAATTGTGTGCGTTATTCAAGGGCTCAAGCGCGGTGCGGCTGAGTGTCGTCACAATTGGGTGACTTTTTTCACCTACTTCTACCTTTCCCTCACTTGTACCTTCACTTCGACCCTTCACTTCTACTATCACTTCTCTCTCACCTCAGCGCATTTTACAGAGTATTTAACAAACATTACTCTCCATCTGTCTGCGGATCCATCTACCTCAGCCTTTGCATCAGCTGCTCCGGGCTCCAGAGCCTCATCTCACCCTGTCATCGACCCATCAAGCCACTTCCTTAGCAGCCTTGCTTCCGCCTCACCCTGATCGAACTGTATGGGTCATCATCACATATTCGTTTCAGGCTCTAGATAATAGGTCGTCCAATCCTCGGCCGCTGTCTCTCCCTCTGACTGCCTGTCTCACCTTCAGAGCCCGCCGTTCGACTTGATCTCCCTCTCCCATCCGGACTATTATGGCCAGCTGCCCTCATTTTCAGCTCCGAACACCGTGATGGATCCACGTTCATCCGTGGCGCCGAACCGATCTGGAACGCGTGAGGTGATGCGCCAAACAGGCAGCCAGCAAGAATGGAGAAGTTGGTCATCGGTCCGAGCAACAATCCCCAACTTGCCTCGAGGCACAACGACCTACGACATTCACAAAAACCTACAACGCTTTGGCAGGTTGGACTACATCCGCATTGAGGAAACCCCCGAGGGCGACTTCGCTAGAAGGGCCCATGTTACCTTCAAGTAGGTGGAACCATGATAACGAGGCATCTTCACTAATGGTGATTGCAGACCACCTCCTCCTCGGAGAGCTCCGTGGGACCCGGTCTACAAGTTCGGCATTGACTTTCCTCTTGGAAACCAAAACGGCGAGAGAGTGTACAAAGTCAAGGTCTGGTTGTCTGTCAATCAACTCAAGGCTCAGGTCGTCGAGAGTCATGTTCACGCCGGCCTCGAGTATCCCGCCGAGATGACTTTGTTCGGGACCTCGATCGACTTCGGCTACTTACGAACTCCCACCCTGATGGTTGCCAAGGCGAGCAAGTTCGATGTCCATGCCAATGGCATTAGACTGCTTCTAAATCTTAAACGTCTGGAGTTGGAAGTTCACTTCCCAGTGATGATCAGGTCAAAAGGCAAGGCAACTGAAAGAGCCTACCGATTCTTTGTCGCTCTCGATGATCAGTTCTCTCTGCGCGAGGTTCCAAACGGGCAGGCCTCTTCCTTGGTGATCCATGCCAAGCATCCCCCGTGTTACTCGAGACAACTGAGAGAGGCCATGCAACTGAGCCACGACCCGAGATCGTTCAAGTGGACGGCGGACGATACGTGGTCTCGACAAACCGACATTGTCGATGAGAAATCCACTTTCCAAAAGATTGACAGCAGTCCCGTCTCGGTTCAAAAGCTTTACAACACCATCGACATTGCCCGTTGGACAACCTTCCGGGTCACGGTCAAGCCAAGCACCCATCCGTCTGATAATTCTCTGAAACAGTTTCTGAAGGCCCTCGCAGATTTCAATATTCGCATAACCCAAGATCCCTCTTTCGAAGTTGTCAAGGACTCGAGCGGCGTAGCGCCTATCTGGCGGATGCTGGGCGATACTTCCTCACATCAATCCTTGTCCGCCCAGTTATCATTGCCCTACGTTGACTTCGAGTTGAGATATCAACTTGAAGTCTGTATCTCCAAAGGTTGGCTCAATGAGTACACTTTGGACGACAATTTCTTGCGACGCCTTACGGGAATGCGGTCCGAGCAAGCCAAGCAGATGCTCATCCACGTCGATTCTTATCAGCAAAAGGTTTACGATCCCATGTCCATCTTTACCGACTTGCGTTATTCAAAGCCTGTACGTGCTCGTGCACTCCCATCAAATTGTGCAGAATTATATCATGCCACGGTCACTGCAACTGGGATCCTGTTTCACACCCCATCCGTTGAGATCACCAACCGTATTGTGCGCAAGTATCGGCGCTTCAGCGATCGATTTCTGCGAGTGCGCTTCGAGGACGATCCATACAGGGGACAAACGAGACTCTACCCTGCGACAAATGGCAGAATGAAGCTCCTCTTTGAGAGAGTTCGTCGTACGCTCAAGAGGGGTATTGTTCTCGGTGACCGGCACTACGAGTTTCTCGCGTGGGGCAACTCACAACTTCGAGAACACGGGGCCTACTTCTTTGCATCTTCCAAAAACCCTCTTATCACCGCCGACAGTATTCGGAGAGACATGGGCACCTTTGATCACGAAAAGGTTGTAGCCAAGCGAGCCGCACGAATGGGTCAATGCTTTTCTACGACAAAGCCAGTCCCGGTGCTCAGCAAAAACAGTTGGAAAAGAGACCCCATCCCCGACATAGTCAACGGCCCATACAATTTCACCGATGGAGTAGGTAAAATATCTCCTCTTGCTGCTCAGCTTGTCAAAACAAACCTCAAACTTGGCGGGGAACACCTCCCATCGGCGTACCAATTTCGGCTTGGCGGTTGTAAAGGGGTCCTCGCTGTGGATCCTAGCCTCAATGGTGTTGACATCAAGATCAGACCAAGTCAGTACAAGTTCAGCTGCGAATCAGACGAGTTGGAGATCATTCGCGTCTCGGAGTTCTGGCAACCATTCCTGAACCGTCAGCTCATTCAGGTGCTCTCGGCGCTCGGCGTTCCAGATGCGGTATTTTTGCGCAAACAACGAGACTGTATCGAGGCTTTGGACGCTGCTCTCGTAGATGGTGCGGCTGCCTTACGAGCCCTGCGCGAGACCGTTGACCCCAATTTAATCACCCTCAGCGTTGCGGCCCTAATCGAAGCCGGGTTCTCCCAGATCCACGAGCCTTTTGTAGCGTCTCTTCTACGGCTTTGGAGAGCTTGGACGTTAAAATACCTCAAGGAGAAGGCGAAGATACCGATCACTCAAGGCGCCTTTGTGCTTGGTGTTGTCGACGAAACGAGGACGCTTCGCGGCCATATTAACGATATTCAACCTAGCCCTGACGCAAGCCGCCAAGAGAAGGAGAAATCTCTACCCGAGGTATTCATCCAATATACAGACCCGGAACAAAAGGGAGTCCGCCGTATTGTCGAGGGAATTTGTGTCATTGCGCGTAATCCGTCCTTGCACCGAGGCGATGTACGAGTGGTCAAAGCCGTCAATGTGCCACAGTTGCATCACCACTGGGACGTCGTGGTTATGCCAGCGACCGGTGATCGTGACTTGCCCAGTATGTGCTCAGGTGGCGATCTCGATGGAGATGACTACATCGTTACCTGGGACCCGGATTTGATACCCTCGGAATGGAATGCTGAACCGTTCCACTACAATGCTCCGAAGCCGATCCAGAAGGAAGAAATATCTATCGATGATATCATCGATTTCTTCTGTGACTACATGCAAAATGATTTCCTCGGAAGAATTGCTCATGCTCATCTCGCAGCATCTGACTACCTCGCTGAGGGAATCAGGAGCGAACAATGCCTGAAGCTGGTCGAATTACACTCGCTGGCTGTCGATTATCCCAAGACCGGTGTTCCCGCTGAGATGAGTCGGGATCTCGAACGAAACAACTGGCCTCACTTTATGGAAAAGAAACGAAATGAATATCCTTCGAAGAAGATTTTGGGTCAATTATACGACGCGGTTGAGAGAGTGAAATTTAAGCCGCACTGGTCAGGGACCTTTGATCGACGAATCCTCACACATGCTCCGGCACCTGAGATCATGGAGACTGTCAGCAATCTCAAAAAGAGTTATGATGAAAGGATGCGGCGCATCATGGCTCAACATCAAATCGGCTCCGAATTTGAGGTTTGGTCTACGTTTGTACTCCACCACAGCAAAGTCTCCAAAGATTTCAAGTTTCACGAAGAGATCGGACAGCATGCCAAAAATCTGAAGGAGCAATATTACGAAGCATTCTGCCAGGAGGCTGGTGGACATGACAGCGAGAAACTAAAGCCGTTCGCGATAGCGGCTTATCATATCACTCACGACGAACTTCGAGAGGCACAAGCAAAGCAACGAACCCTTTTGGAGGACGAGGCACAGCTTGTCGCTTCACATGAATTCGGCTCCGCTTCTGCCAAAATGCCCTTCATCTCTTTCCCTTGGGTGCTTCAGGATACCCTTGTAAAGATCGCGAGGAACACCGTTGTACACGACGCAGCGCAAATAGTCGAGCAAATGTCGACTGCTAGTGAAGAAGTCATCAAGGTGGGGACTGTACCGGCATCTGAAGGAGTTAGTCGCAAATGGATCTACCAGGGAGAACACCTGCCTGACCCATACTCGCCCGTTGCAACAAGCTCAGGTGCCGCAGGAATAGAAATGACAGCGGCAACAGTCAACAAAATATCAAGCCCAGCACCGGAAATTTCGCCGCCGCCTCGCCGACAAGACCCCTTAGAAAGGATTCTACCGATCAGACCACAATCTATCGACATATTTGGAAATTCAGAAGATCATTTTGCATCCGATATCAGCTCGATGGTTTCAAGCAACGTCCCTTCGGTGGTCTCAAGCAGCGTGACTGCGTCTACTAATTCGGATGATATCGACTTACTAGCCTCACCTACGAACCTGTCATCTGAGATTTCAACGCCCTCTTCCCCGATCTCAGGCTCCCGTGTGACGGCTCGTTTCCAGCGCCCCATCGTGTCGACTACGAGCAAAGGACCTTCATTTGTGGTTCACGAGAAGTTGCCGCTCAAAGACCCAATCCTGATGACAAATGAAGAGCTTCGTGACATCGAGGGCGACAGCGGTGACGAGGATAATTATACTTTCTAAACTGGCGTCTGCATGGTCCGGAACCACGATGGGATCCCATGCTGCAAAGGACGTCGAATCATAGAGTGATCGGTTTCGGTGGCAGGCGTCTCTTTTTGTACCTTTCGTTGATACCTTTTTCAGTTATGAATGGTTTTCCAAACAACGAAAACAAAGGCCACGATGTGCCGAGGATGATCTCGGAGGTTTTGCGGAGGTGTCTTTTATTTATTGGACGCAAGACTGACATGATACCCAAAATGCATGGCGTGGCGTTTACACCCAGTTCATTAGGAAAATGAGAACCATGACACAGATCGCGTGGACATGAAAACAACCGCTTCTTGTGTGAGACAACGGGATCAAGGACGACCAGAACACAGCCAGCAGGGGCACTGGGGATACGAAGCTATGCTACCTTGGAGGGCCGGGTGGCTTACCTAGATATTTCGGGCGTCTAGTTTCGCGACGAGCTTCTTGTAGCCCAAAGTTGAGCGCTAGAAGTAGTTACGTGTGATAAGCCGACTTACCTTGAAACTTTGTCTTGATCTTGACTGTCACCCTGGGTGCCTTTTTGTCATCATAACGTTTCCGGATGGAGGGGTCGAAGGGTGGATGGAAGGAAAGAAAAAAAAAGAATGAAGGAAGGGGGCCTTTGTTTCCACATGCCTGGCCTCACTCATCCGCTTTGACTCTAACGTTTTGAAATCGGTTTGTGTCATTTCTCAAAGGCGGGAAATAGAGGAAGAATGAACTCCTGATCGTTGCTTTCTTTGCCCAAGGGGTTTGTTTTTTTTCTCTCGATTTTAACCATTTCCTCTTGAAGAATAGGAAGCAGAGTCTGGTCTTGCTTTGTGACTCTCTTTTCCGCCAGCCTGCTCTCTTTCTCTGTCGCCCTCTCTCTCCACAATTCCGTGCCCTGGGTACCAGATCTTCAGGCACATTTTCACCTCATTTTGCCCATGCATTTGCCTAACTCGCCGCAATCCCCGTCATGTTCCGCCCGACCCTTGGAAACCAACAGACACAAACTAGTTCTCTGGGCGCTTAGATGTGCGTGTCGTATGGTTGAGGCGCGAGGCTCTCCACCCCTGTGAACTCGACAACATGCGATTTTCGGGGACCTTGGGGCTGGCGCTTCAGTTGCACGGACTCGCCCTTCTCTTTGGCTTCGCGGCGCCGTTCAGCGTTCGATTTGACTCTGTTCAAGACTGTAATTTATTTTCACAACCATATATCAGCCAAGACTGCCTCAATGCGTTTCCGCATGATCCCCTTCTCAAAAGGTCTCAGAGTCGCTGTGAGGGGTTGGCTATGTAGAAAGCCATGTGGGCGGAACTTACACTCCTCTCTTGATCTCGAATGGGCAATGTGCTCAACACGGACGTTGACTCGCTTCTCGATGTATCGGTTTCCGACTCGCTTGTAGATGATGACTCCAACGGCGGACTTGGTCACGTTGTACACAACGCCAGTCTTCCCGTGATAGACCTTGTAGGGCATCTATATTTTCCCACACGGACAAAGATCAGCTATCTGTGGTCGTGGTCCGGGGAATGAAATTCCTCGCTCTCGTTCGGAATCTGGCATTTTGGGGAGAAAACGTACACCCTTCTGAACTGCGCCGTTGGCCTTGATGTCGACAATATCGCCAACTCGGTACGTCTTCATGTACGTCGAGAGAGGGATCATGCCCTGTAAAATTCACAACCGTTCGTCAGTTCTTGCGCTGTTCATTTCCAATTCTCGAGCTGATCGTACCTTCTCGCGAAAGTTGCGGCTGAACGCATAGCGCGTGCCGGACCGGAGACCTCGAGAGTGACCCATTGTGATGGATGAGGTCGAGGTAAGTTGTCGGCTGGGAAAAGATCTAGTTGTCGAGACGGATGGTAGAACTGTTTCAATGTTGGTGTGGTGGTTCCAGGGCGCAGTTTCCCCAAAATCGATGCCAAGCCGCGGACCGTGAATTTCGAATTGTGCGGCGCGCCAAGACTCGAAATCCACCAATTTTTGCAAAGTCGGGACACAAGCCCACCTCTTCTACAGAAAAAGGTCAAACGCCCAACGACTTCTCACCCCCGACGACCATCTCGATTGCGCAGTCGACATCGCAATCATGGCGCCGCGATCCTACTCCAAGACCTACAAGGTCCCTCGTCGACGTAAGTGCTCTTCCTTCGTCCCCCGACAGAGATCCCAGGCTAACCTCGCACAAACAGCCTTCGAGTCTGCTCGTCTGTACGTTGAATAAAATATCCTGGCCACTGAGCACCAGCTCGTCTGTGCTTCATGTCTGAGATATCCTGACAATCGACTAGGGATTCGGAATTGAAGATTGTCGGCGAATATGGCCTGCGCAATAAGCGCGAAGTCTGGCGTGTCCAGCTCACTCTGTCCAAGATCCGTCGTGCTGCTCGGTATGGAATCACACACCCTCCTTCCGAATCTCTCTGCTGGAGGAGACAATGCTGTAGAGATATTTTACTGACACCTGTGGACTTGATTGCAGTCAACTGTTGACCCTTGACGAAAAAGACCCCAAACGTCTCTTCGAAGGCAATGCCCTCATTCGCCGTCTTGTCCGTGTCGGCGTGCTCGACGAATCCCGCATGAAACTCGATTACGTGTTGGCCCTCAAGGTCGAAGATTTCTTGGAACGCCGCCTGCAAACCTGCGTCTACAAACTCGGTCTTGCTAAGTCTATCCACCACGCCCGTGTGCTCATCAAGCAACGACACATCCGAGTCGGCAAGCAGATCGTCAACGTCCCCTCCTTCGTGGTGCGATTGGACAGTCAGAAGCATATTGACTTCGCGTTGACGAGTCCCTTCGGTGGTGGCAGACCCGGTCGTGTCAGGAGAAAGAAGGCCAAGGCTGCGGAGAAGAAGGATGATGAAGAGGAAGGCGGTGAGGACGAAGAATAGATCGTGCGATGACACGACGGGCGATGACCTGTCAGTCTGTCTAGAACTGGTGATCTTGATGCTGTAGCATGCATGATTGACGGGCATTTGCTCAAAGCAATGCAGCCCGCCTCGGCGACAAGACCAAAGGGAAAGCCAGCTGAACTGTCAAGTCGAGGACTTTACTATGCCCGTAGCTGATGGAAATCCGCTAACGATACCATGATATCCTCCTGCAAAAATGTCATCGCGCTTCATTCCCGTTTCCTGTGCTGGAGATCATCGCATGAGATATCGCAAACGCCGGCAGCCTTTAAAATCCCATCATAATTCACATTTGCTTCAGTTTTCCGTTTCCTTGTTAGGAATTATGCGTTCCTCCACCCCTAGCAACCCCTTCATGACAGCCTCATTCGCCCTGTACCATCTCCCCAAATCCTCCATCTCGTCCCTCCCTCCTTGCTCCCGCCTTCTCCTCCCCTCGACTGCCAACCTTGCGCTCTCGTTGCGTCTTTTCTCCAATTCGGCTAGGTCACGATCCATTTTTTCCACTTCGCGCACCTTTGCAGGCATCTGTCTCTGTAACTCTGCTATTTGCCGGTCGATTTCGGCGTTGCGCTCACGTTGCTCCAGAAGCGCTTGTTCCGTGGCTGATAGCGAGAGGTGCATCCTTGGGTCACCGCTTCCGGGGTGAGCGCCGTGGTCACCTTGTCGGGCAGCAATTTCGGCTTGTAAACTCTCGATCTCTGCCTTGAGGGTCTCAATTTCAGGAGGGACGCGTTCCAACACATCCAAACCCCCTCTCACGCCATCATAAGCGCGTGCAACATCCCTTGCTCGGCCCTCCATGTCCTTAACCAGTGCATCAACATCCTCCTTTTTCGTCTTCAATTCCTTCTTCATGACCGCCAGCCTTTCCTCCAAAACCAGATTGTCTTCGTGGCTGACGACGAGTGGGGGATAACCCACGATGCTGCGAAGGTATTTCTCCTTGGTGACCTGTTCCAGGTAGCTAAAGCGGAGTTTGGAGAATAGGTCCTTGTAGTGCGTCAGGTCGGCGAGGAGAGTGGCGGGCGTGAGTTGCAGATTCGATTCGGTTTCTGAAGCAGACAGAGTGTCTGAAGGTCGCGATTGCGAGCATGAATGCTTCTGTGGTTGAGGTTGTGTTTGCGCCGCGGTAATGGGCTCGGCGAGCGCGATGATTGAAAGATGGTGTGCCCCTTGTTGAGCGCGAAGGGCCGCAAGAGCATCATGATAATCCATGGATTCCATTGCTTTGAGGGTTAATACACGGTTCGGAGAGCAATGTAGTACAAAAGAGTCGAGGTACTGAAGATGCCTGTACTGTACATAGTATCATTCCTAGACGGATCTGGAAATGGAAAGTTGTTTTGCCCGGGGATCCGCCTTCGGTTTAGGCGGTCCTGCCTTTTTAGGAATAGTGGCGGGCTAGGCGTACTGCCGCTTTTAATGACGTGACTCTTAACCCGCCTGCTCCAATAACATGATTTTCAAAAGAAGTTAGCGCTAGTCGGGTGGTCTCTCTCTATTGATCAAAGGCCCAGGTTCAGCCCATCGTTCTTTGTTCCGGCATACAGGCTTAATTGTTAGCAGGAAAAACAAGGCATCCTTTAACCACACGCCCGATAGCCATAGGTCCGAAAGGAGCCGTCTTACGAAAGAAAATATTCAAGGGATAAGATTCGATCTTCAGGCCGTTTTTGCAGCTGTTGAGGTACCGCAGCCAGCCATTGCACCAGTCTAGCCTAGGCCACTGTGCCGGATATCAGATATCAGGGCAGTGTCAGAAAGACGTTCTCGATTACCGACCTGCCTGACAGGCCCCTGTGCGTTGTTACACGTGCATGCTGAACCCTAAAGAGGTCTGTTACAATACTACGTTATGTACTATAATTAACTTCTTATTGAGCCAGTCAACCCGATCGAATCGGGTTAGGCTTAACTCTGACCCGAGTCCTGGCGGGTCGAGTTGCCCAAAATGCTAACCCGACCCGGCCCGAATACCCGACTTATGTTAAGGCCTAATTAATAGACATCTTTGTAGACCCTTTCGATAGAATACACTAAATCGAAAACTAGCGATACCGATTTACGTCGAAACTCTTCTATAGACTACTGTAACAGAGCACTTCAGGGTTCGGCGTGCACGTGCAACAACGCACAGAGGCCTGTCCAGCAGATCGGGAATCGAGAACGCGTTTCTGGTTGATACTGACAAGACAACACCACCACCAACACCACCCAGAGAGACAGCGGCTAGGGCTACGAACACCTAGCACAGCGGCAGCATCGAGGAACTGGACAGAACTGATAAAGCACTCAGGAATTAGGTAGACGGCGCCAAAAAGCCATGGAATTCATGATACTCTGCTCAAACTGTAAAGAATGGCACTCTGCCAGCACTGTAAACTGTTCCGCACTCCCCCTGCAAGCTCATTTTGGTTTGACATGTGACTAGACAACTTCCCTCCCCCCTGCTACCACTCTACCAGCCCTGCACAGCACAGCACAGCCACTTTGCCTTGTTACACTACGATATGGTAAGGGTGAGTAGATATACGCTTACGGGTGATAATCTTAAGGAAGATAATAACTCTATTCGGGAGATGAGCTCTAGATCTAACTTAAGCTCGTTCTAGCTAGGTCCATCTAAACAAATAAATTTACCTTTGGTCTAAGATGTAGTGCGAGATTATCTCTATCGTGACCTATCGTGGGCTAAGGGAGGCATATGCCATGATATAGAGAAGAGTACTATTTTCACTGTTAGTCCTAAAGCCACAACTCGGGACCCTAGGAGGAAAGATGCTATTCTTATCGGAAGCGAAATTCGGGCCTTTGATTAATTAATTCATTATATTATATTCTTATAAAGTCGGGTTTTTACCCACACTAATCTATGATTTCTCTATGTCGCTCTAATGTATCTCTAAAGTACATTCCCTTGGTAATGTTTGCAAGCTAGATATTCGAGCTCAACGCGGAAATCTTTACAAAGGCCTTGGACAGAAACAAAAAATCACAGGGCGGGATTTGAAAGCGCGATCCGATGCAGTATTGCGGATGAAAAAGAGTGCGAAGAGCGCACGACCCCAAGGGAATGAGTTAAGGTGCGGACCCACGACAGGTATACAAGCCGCACCGCGCTCGTCGAGATAGCATGGTTGTGGATCTGCCACCTTTGCAAGATGACGCCTCCCGAGGAAGGAATCTGCATAGCAAACAAGAGAGCCAGACACCAAAGTCGTTTCTTAATCGAGGTGAAAGGTTGAGAGCAGGTTACGGAGGTGTCGTATGGCCTTAAACACAAAGCACTGGCTATTGAAATGGCTCCCTTTCGCTACAACATCTAATTAATATTCGCCAATCACAGGATTTTCCGACAGTGCGTACTCTACGGAAAATGCATCTCGACAGCTCTCGCAATTTTTTGTCTTTGCAAACAACCGTCCCCCCGAACCCCCTTGGCAGGTTTACAGACGGATCAATGGTCTGGAGTGCAAGCTTGGGAGGAGCGCCGACGCTCCGAGCAATGGCTCTCCGGCGCGACCTCCGCGGCCCGGATCCCCACCTCAGGGGCCTGTGGAGAGGGCGAAATCACAAGACCGATATCATTCCACTTGTACTTCGGAAGGGCTTCGCGGCCGGCGTACAAGTCTCGGCATGATGAGTGTGCTAGGGATATGTGACAGTCCAAATCAACCGCTCGAGAACAGTTACAAGACCAGCAGCAGAGATCCCAGATCTATATCATCTTGCAGAGCAGCATAGGTCAAAATACCATTAAGGAAGAGTAACAACATGGCAATAGATAGCCAAGGACCGATAGATGTGCCGGTGGTCATCATTGGTGGAGGCGGTATATTTTGCATTACACTCCTAGGCAAGATAGACGTTGCTAACACATATAGGCTGTGGTCTGAACCTGTCTATCTTCCTATCGGCAAAGGAGATACCGCACATCTTATTTGAAAAGCATAGTGGAACTTCGATTTTGCCAAAGGCGCACTATCTCAACCAGAGGAGCCTGGAAATCTTCCGTGTTCACGGCTATGCGCACCGCATCAGAGACCAGAGCGCCCCCAACCGATGTATTAGCCAGGTGACTTTTTCGACTTCCCTGGGAGGCACGGGTCCATATGACCGGAAGCTCTTTTTTTCCAGCCCCTCTTTCGGCGGTGACGAGGGTTCTGAATTACTTCATAAGTACATGTATGACGGAGCCCTGTTCGATTGTCCACAATGGAGTTGACGGGAAACAGGCTTGTTGGGCCTGAAAGACCTGCGAACTTGCCGCTGGTCCGATCAGAGCCTATCTGGAGAGCAGTCGCAGAAGAGAGAAACCCCGGCAATATCAGGTTCTCCCACAGAGTGATCGATGTTGTTGCACACGACGATTATGTGTTGGTCATTGTTCAACTTCCCGAGGGTCCACAGGTCACCTATCGCGCGCAATATGTCGTCGCTGCCGAAGGTGGTAGAGGTATCATCGCACCAAAGATCGGTGCTGTTCTCGAAGGCCCGACGGATATTGCGGACGTTGTGTCAGTACACTTCGAGGCAGACCTGTCCCAGTATTGGGACGAGCGAACCTTGATTGCGAATTTCATCAACCCCGAAGGCGAGACAATTCTTGGAAGCGGCACAGTCGTTTGCATGGGTCCCACGTTTGGACGCTACTCTGAAAACTGGACCATTCACTTCGGTTTCCGCGTTGATGATCCAGCTCGGTTTTCGGAAGCCCAGGAGCATCTACTGATACCGCGAATTCGAGAGTTGCTCAAGATTCCAGACCTGCAACTCAAGGTACATGCTGTCAGTCACTGGGTACTGGAGCGTGTTTTGGCCAGCAAATATAGAGAAGGGAGGATCTTCATTGCTGGCGACGCGGCGCACCGACGTAAGTCCGGAGATGGAACATATGTATAACTCGATTATTGGACTGACACTTATTTAGGCCCGCCCACGACTGGCTTAGGTCTCAACACCTCTATCGAAGATGCATATAATCTCTCCTGGAAGCTTGCCCAAGTAATTAAAGGAACCGCATCACCAAAGCTTCTGAATACCTATGAGCAAGAGAGACGTCTTATCGGAAAGCGAAATTGCGATTGGGGGTAAGTGTTTCGCGATATTATTTATTGTGTTCTATATACGTGAAAAAGGACTAATTCTTGCTGTGTTTAGGTTACTGACATTCTCAAACCAAGCTATTATTGCCGCTGCGGTGGGTTTCATTCCTGGACAACGGGAACTCAATCGTGCGCGGATGGAAGCCTTACTCGAAGACTCTGATATTGGTGAGACTTTCCGTGCTCAGCTGAGATACCTAATCAAGAGTCAAATGATCGAATACTCAGCACTGGACCTCGAACTCGGGTTTAGCTATTGGCGAGGTGGCGCATTGGTCTCGGACCGCACGGAGAGACCTCCTATTGACCCCCTCGGGCAAACATATGTCCAAGTAAGCAGGCCTGGGCATCGACTCCCTCATGTCTGGCTTGAGGAGAAGGATGATCGTGCCCATCGGGTTCTGTCGACGCACGACCTCATCAAGAAGACGGAGGACTACTTGCTTATCACTGACCAATATGGATCCGTCTGGATCGAGGCCATCCAAAAAGCGGTGGGAGAGTTGAAGGTCAATGTCGGGATTGCTCAGATTGGCCCGTTGGCTTCGGGGCTGCGGCCTTGCGCGTACGTTGACCGGGAAGATCGCTGGCCCAAAGAGTCCCAGCTTCGGAGAGGAGGGGCAATTCTCGTCCGTCCGGACAACTTTGTGGCCTGGAGACAATTGGACGGTAGCGTGCGCAATGGGGATGAAGTTGTTGAGGCGCTCAAGACCTTGCTCGGTGATACGGTCGGCCAGGACATTCCGATCAACCCTTACGATCCCAATGGGTTTGTATCTCAAAAGGTAAAGGTTGGTCTAACCAAAGGCGTCATAAATGGGAATGATCCCATCACAGCCAGTGCGACCAATCGAGTCAAGATCAGCCGAGCCACAGTCGCCGGATCTCACGCAGGACAATTTCAGCGGGACGACGATAGTGGAGACTAGAATGGAAGTTGGCTATAAGAGTAGATCCGAAGAGCACGAGGCTGTTTACTATACTCCATAAGTCAGCTACCTATGTGTAAATGACTTAGCCAGATTGGCCCGGAAGCATTGAGAGGTACCAGTCAAGTGTCTGCCAATATCTTTTGAACCCTGATCCAGCGCGATCCTATTCTCCACTTGACTCCGGTGTCACTCTCCCCTTGCGGAGCCCATTGTCTCGTAGACTTTCTGCCCACGGGCCCCGGATGCTTCTGCCCGCCCAGTATCAGAAGTCAGCGTTAGTCGCGCCGTAATCGGTTGCCCGGAGGCCCAGTCTTGAGCTGAATAGCCCTCCGGGATGCCATGGTACAAATAAAGAGCTAGGACCCCTTCCCCTAATGGGACTTGTCTCACCACTTTCAAATTTGCTGCTTAATACGTAGTACACACACGTGGCCACATGTTAGATACTTCACAGCCCATCATGGACCGAGGTGATAAGGTAAGTCAGTCTGCGCTTCATGAAGTATGAAGAGGCCATACTGATTGCATTAATTGCTTGTTAGGCGGGAAATAGTATCACCAGACTCGAAATTGAGGACTCGGCGGCTGCTGCTGCTGCAGCTGAGCAGATCATCGTCAAGAATGTCGCGGCAGAAGCGACCTCTCATGTTGCACAAGTGGGCTGGAAGTTTCTTCTGGAGCCATATACTGTAAGACAGCCCTTGTCGTCGCAGGGCCCAACAAGCCGTATCCATACACACCTTCGGAGTGGCCTCCGATTTCTTCCATTTCATGATTCCCCACTGGAGTCCTCTTGCTGACAGAAGGCTGGCTGTGCTATAGTTGGGATCGCTATGTGCCATATCTCTGGCACTGTTCTGCTGCGCATGGGGCTTCACCGTTCCTGCTGCGGTGTTGACCACCATCAGTCAAGCGACCAGTGCGTATTTTGACACCCGCACCGAGGCCGGGGTGAGAATCTTGATTCCTAACAATGATCAGAGGCATCAAAATCGGAATCGAGTCTTTTCTCCATCGTATGGACCATGGGGACTGCTGTGGGCTACATGCTCGTGGGCTATCTGTCAGACATTTTGGGCCGACGCTGGACCATGATTGTCTTTAATATCTTGGGCTTGATTGGAGGCAATTCTTTTTCCTCGCTACGAATATTTTTTATTTTTGGGCTAATTGGTGTCTAGGGATCGTTGCGTGCACCTCAAATACTATTAATACTCTCACCGGGGCCAATGTAAGAAAGACTGAGCTGAATCACTTGATTTGCGAGTACAATTGACTGATGTCCTTCGGCCAGACGCTGATTGGAATAGCCGCTGGTGCCCAATTTACTTTTATGGTAGTGGCGACAGGTATGAACGTTCCGCTACTCCCTGATGGCCCTTCACACCGCGGCTCTTCCACAGATGTCTGATTACAATACTGACAGAGTTGGTGCCTAATCGACACAAAATTGTCGGTATGGGTCTCGTCACCGCTATTGCTTTTCCCGGACAGGGTCTCGGCGCGTTCTTTGGTGGGTTAATTGTTATTTCCCCCATTTGCTTCATACGTGAGCTGACGTAGGTACCCTAGGTAACTCCATCGTCGTGCATCTGAACTGGAGATGGATCTATTACGTTTATATCATTGTCCTCAGTAAAGCTCACTGGCTATTCTACCAAAGGACATGGCTATCTGTATTCTAACCATCGATGGATTTCTAGGTGTTGCCATTGCCCTATACTTTTTGTTTTACTTCCCCAAGGAATTGGCAACTGAATTGTCGCTCAAGCAAAAGCTACGAAAGATCGACTACGGTGGCGCTTTCTTGGTGACTGCCGGCCTGGTCATGTTCATTCTCGGCATTCAGATGGGCGGCAGCACGTATCCGTGGAAATCAGGCAAGGTACTGGGTCAGATCATTACAGGCGGAGTGGTTCTGATCGGATTTGTCTTCTATGGTGAGTGCTAGAAGTCGCCTGTTTCTCAAGTTGGTTTCGTATGCACCTTGGAGAATTAACTGTCCGGGTCACAGAGATCTACATGGCTCCGGCGAGGCCTCTCCTTCCCAAGAAGTCCTTCAAAGACCTGCGGGGATACACTATGGTGGTTATATGTTCCTGCATCGGTGGGATCGCTTATATTGGTCTGAGCATCATCTGGCCAACACGTACGTCGTATCAATCCCATGCTTGTGCAACCGCCTTTGAGATATGTTTTTGGTCTTTTGTTCGAACTCTTGGGCTAACACTGCGAGTTTGCGATACCGACTACAGAGGCTGCCACCATCTATAAAACGCCGACAACGTCATGGCAAGAGACAGCGTGGCTTTCGACCACTGTCGGCATTTCGGTCTGGGCCGGGATGGTCTTTTTAGGACCACTATGGGGCGTAATCAAACATGTCAAGTGGCAGCTCGTCTTTGAGTGCGCATGGATGACTGCGTTTGTCGGTGCTCTGGCGCACTGTAACAGAAACAATCGAGGGTTCGGTATTGCATGCTCCTTTCTGGCTGGCTTGCCGATTGGGATGATTGAGCAACAGACTGGCGCTTTGGTCCAATTGCTTGCCCCTAGCGACGGTGAGTTGGGCTCAGCTTTCTCTTTCATGGCCGGGGCACGGACAGGAGTCGGTGCTATCGGGACAGCGATACTACTGGCGATCCTAAACAGTAAGGGCTATCTATCCATCGATCCCTCCCAATTATCCTAATTTCTTGTGCCACTGACTTCTGTGTCCCTTAAGGTAAACTCCCCGGAGAGCTTGAAAACCGAGTCGTTCCCGCTGCACTCGAAGCTGGTCTCCCTCAAAGCTCGCTCCGATCACTCTTCGCTGCTCTTAATGCCGGTTCCTCACAGGCCCTAGAGCAGGTCCCAGGAATCAACCCGGCGATCCTAACTGCCGTCTTGAATGCTGTCAACGACGGAGAGTCCGCGGCGTATGCCTATTTGTACTACACCGCGCTCGCGTTTGCGGCGGTTTCGACGATCGCGGCTCTCTGCATGCGTGAGATGGATCACCTTCTTACCTCGCATGTCCCGAAGAGGATCGTGGTTAGAAGCGAAGACACAGCGGAAGGCAAGACTTCTGGTCAGCTAAGGTGGAGGATCTGACAGAATGGTAAACGTTTGTGCAACAACGATGGTAGACTTCTTTCAGTATCAACCCAAAGAGCCTGTCAGTCAAACTGGATCCCTATATTTGGCAATGTTTTTCTTGCAAGCAGCAAACTGGAACAAATGAACTCAAGCAATTTGTAGTGAGCTTTGTGCAATGGTGGCCGATGATTGACTAACATGGTAAGAAGCATTATGTTCGGTACTTTGTGTATGCGACCCAACGAGGTCGTGAGGTACGGGTCGTCCAGTAACTCACAGCTCAGGTCCTGGATTGGGACAAGTGGTATTACTGAGATTATCAATACCTGGTTCCTATGTACATACGAATAATACTCACACCAAGGATGGTTCGGTACCGAGGTGGGGCCCGGAGACTCTCGGACCCTTCGATAATACAGAACAGCCGGTATAATACTGCAACAACCGGGTTCCGGATCTTGTGGCCCTGACAGGCTGATCGCACATGCGCTTTGCAGAGCAAAATATTAAATTGCTTGATTGCTCAACCCGGCTATGGCTTCGCCATGGACATGGCTCCAGATCTTCCGGCACGAGGTCTCGGGCCGGTAGAACCCAAAACCCAATACGCTAGGTGTAGCAGAGAATGAAGGCAGAGAATGAAGGCAGAGACTGAAGCATTTATGGCCACGTCACTTGATTGGAGCCTCATGCGACATACCTTCACATCATTCGCATCGCTGATCGTGGAAGGCGCAAGCTTGGACAGCGACATATCCGCATATTTCCACTGCCATCCGAGCAGATAGTTTTTTATTCGATGCTCCTATTCTGGATCGTCTGGAATTCTGACTTGGACTCTCTCGCAACACCACGTGTACAAGATGTCGAATACGAGCACTCCGCGGATTCTTTGGCAGAATGCCGATCCGTCGCAGACCAACATGGACAAATTCCGTCGTCAAGTGAATGAGAAGAGGGGTCTGGCGCTCAGAAACTTTGCGGACCTTCACGCCTGGTCGACTGATCCGCGTACTGCGTCTGATTTCTGGATCGATCTGTTCCAGTACGAGCAGATCAAACCTGGCGTTCAGCCTACAAAGGCAATAAGACGGGCGGTGCGTAACATATCAGTCCTTGATTGCTCGCCGTGAGCCGAGATTCTGACCAGGTTGATCCCCAGAATACTTCCATGTACCCTCCTGCCGAGTTCTTTCCCGATGTCCTCATGAACTTCGCAGAGCATTTATTGAATACGAGATCACTAAACGAAGTCGCACTGTACACCGTCTCGGAAGGCTGCGAGGTCATCAGGCCCGTGACCAGGCCTGAACTTCGGGAAATGGTCAGAGCAACGGCCAGCGCCATGACTCAAGCGGGAGTCACTGTCGGTGACCGCGTGGCCGCCGTCATCTCCAACTGTGTGGAAGCGGTCGTGGCCTGTCTCGCCACCTTGAGCTTGGGTGCGATCTGGTCTACGTCATCACCCGATATGGGTGTCGAGGGCATCATGCAACGACTGAACCAGATCGAGCCCAAATTGGTGCTTTTCGAAAACTCGGTTCGGTATAACGGAAAACTTCGCCCGCTGGTTCAGAAGTATGAAGAGTGCATCGCCAGATTACGGAAGACGAGAAACTTCGAACTCGGTATCATAATTGCCCGGGAAGTCCCCTACATCACCGAGGGCAAGAGGAATGTCGGCACTTGGGACGACTTTGTTAAAGGAGCCCCAGACAAAGAACTCACGTTTGTGCAACTGCCGTTCAAACAGCCCGGGTTCATCGTATATTCTTCTGGCACGGCAAGTCATAATCGAAGCCCAGCGCAGTGATATGGGGGCTGACATGGACGTAGACAGGTGCTCCAAAGTGCATTGTCCACAGTGCTTGCGTGAGTTGACCCCCAACTCATAAGATAACGGTTTGAGGTTGATGCGGGATTGACTCTGGCAGGCCATGTTGTTGCAAATCAAGAAAGACTATATGCTCCATCTGGACGTGAGACCGGGCGACACAATCTACCAATATACGACGGTGTGACTTTCTAACCATAACACCAATCCGTGGCTAGAGAGGCTTTCGCTAACATTTTCTTAAGACTGGCTGGATCATGTGGGCGATGGTTCTCTGTGGCCTCTCATATGGTGGCAGCGTTGTTCTCTACGACGGGTCTCCGCTCTACCCTGACCCTCTTGTAACACTGCGCATGATCGAGAAACTCAAGTATGTTGATTGATTGTGCACATAAATATACAAAGTCACTACTAACTCTAAACTGACAGAGTAACACTGTTCGGCACTTCCGCGAGATTTCTGACCGACCTTCACGACAGAAACCTCAGTCCCAGTAAGGCAAAAGCCTTTTATTCCTTTACATAGTGAGAGGCTCACCGACTCGACCTCACAGGACAAATAATCGACTTGAGTAGTCTACGAACCGTTTCTTCCACTGGATCAGTCCTGCCAGCCAAGGTCTGTGAATGGTTTTACGACGTTGGATTTCCGGAAAACATCCATCTTGTATCTGGTTCCGGAGGCACAGATATGGCATGCTCGCGTAAGCCAGCCTGATCCAAGATATACTCCTCCTTCATTCAATCGTTGGGCCTGACTGCTTTTGTTCCCAGTTGTGCTGGGTGATCCCACTGGGCCTTTTTACTCGGGAGAAATACAAGTGCCTGCCCTGGGCATGGCTGTCGATATCTTGGACAGCACCAAGGACTATCCTGTGTCGATCAAGGGCACTGGAGAGCCGGGAGAGTTGGTGTGCCGGGAACCCTTCCCCTCTCAACCGATTCTCTTCTGGGGCGAGAAAGGGATGAACAAATACCGATCAGCCTATTTCGAACGATTCGGTGACAAGATCTGGACACAGGGCGACTTCGTCTCCTCTTCGCCTGTTACCGGGGGCTTTACGATGTTGGGTCGATCGTAAGCCTCTGTTCCCGCCCCTACTCGTTCTAGAGGCATTTATCAAGCTGACCACTGCAAAGTGATGGCGTGCTCAACCCTTCCGGTGTGCGATTTGGCTCGGCCGAAATCTACAACGTGGTGAGTCAGTTTCCCGAGTTCGAGGACGCCATTTGTGTGGGCCAGCGCCGTCCACAGGACTCGGACGAGCGCGTCATCCTCTTCATCAAGACGAAGGACAACCGGGATCTCTCCCGTTCCACCATCAAAGCGGTTCGGTCGGCCGTCGCTGCAGCGCTCAGTCCACGTCATGTGCCTAGCTTTGTCTTTCAGACTCCAGAGATCCCCTATACCATCAATGGCAAGAAGATCGAATTGGCTGTCAAGCAGATTGTTTCGGGTCAAAAGGTCACACCATCCGGCGCTGTGGAGAACCCAGAGAGCTTGATATTCTACGAACGTTTTGCTAAGGATGAGTACTTGATGGAGGATGGCAAAGTGATGCTAAGCAAGATCTAGTCGATTGTTGAAAGTGGGAAAATGAAGGTCTGAGCCGCTTAATACTGCGGGATAGGATGGATCGAATTTCGTTCCTGAGCTACCTTGGACCGGTATATTGATAAAAGTCCTACATTGAATCCGAGCCATAATTATCGGGGCCTGTCTCGTGGCTTCTCTCTGCTCTGAAGGAACTTTGTGATCTCTTCCAAAAGTCATGCGACATGGTTATTGGTCATGTTTCCGAATCATTAAAGCGATTCGGGAAGTCTATTAACACGGATGTCGCATATTCGGGCGACAACGTACCCCCAAGCGGCCAAAATGGTCGGATCGGAGAAAGAGTTTCTGTGCCGGATTCCGGTGCCCGCCCACGGGATCATAGAATGGGCGCGTAATGCACCAGACATAGACTAGGTGTTGCCCACATTGCTTGAAGCTTCTGAAAATTATCTTGTCGTCCTCTATCATTAGCGAGGAGAGGTGTTGATTGATCCAATCTTTTCTCAATCTTCTGCCCGACAAAGATCCATCTACTCGAACATGAAGACCGCTTTTCGTCGTCTAGTTCGCTTCAAGACCTCCAACGGGGATATCAGATATGGAGAGGCACAGGAGCAAGTCAAGATCGGCGACAAGGTCAAACTTTACACGGGCACCGAGCCCTGGAACTTGAACCCGTCAGATGACGAGGCTGTGATCGCCGAGGTATATGCCGTTATTGTTTGTCCTATATGCTTCAAAAGCGCCGAACGAAGGGCTTATTGGTTTTGGCCACAGATTCTCTGTCCCCTTGCGTCCACGCCCATCTTCTATGGCATTGGGCTGAACTATAAAGGGCATATTGCTGAAGCCAGCTTGGATGTTCCGGCATTCCCAACTGTTTTCACCAAGCCGTCTGGTCTGTCTTGAATTGTCCATCGCTGCCCTTTGGCCTTGAATCTGTTCACTAATTCTCCGCGGGTAGGCGCTCTAGCCGGGCCATATGGTGATATACACGTCGACCCGGCGTGTCAGTTTCTCGATTATGAAGGGGAACTCGCCTTCGTTGTCGGCAAGGACGTGAAAAACTACAACGCCAAGGACGATTTCGAGGAGTTCTTGCTCGGCTACACCGTTAGCAACGACGTCTCCTCGCGGTACTGGCAATTTCCCGAGCGATCTGGCGGCCAGCACGGGTACGCAAAGTCATTCGACCAGTTTGGACCTATTGGGCCGGTGATTGTCTCGACATCCGAGATCCCAGGGATCCCTCATCTCGATCTGAAGACGACGGTCAACGGCGAAGAACGCCAGAATTCCAACACCAATGACCTCCTATTCACTATCCCGCAGATTCTCGATCACCTGAGCCGTGGGACTACGCTGAAGAAGGGAACGGTGGTGATGACGGGGACTCCGAGTGGAGTAGCAGCTTTCATGAAACCACCCAAGTGGCTTAAGACCGGAGATGTGGTCGAAGTCGAAATCAGCCAGATCGGAAAGATCAAGAATAAGATGGTTATCGAATGATCAAGGAGTTCGAATACATAAATGCCATGAGATTTTAGTCATGGTTGGTCTATCCTTGGTCTATCTTCGGACAACACCTCTATAAAAGCTCCACCTCCGTGATGCTAGTCCGACACTTTCGAGGATTCCGTTAAGAAGTCCATAATGGACAGACACTAGCATGTAAGACTCCGCTTGGAAATTGATCTCCCATTCGGTAGATCGCAATCTGTTCTTGTACTCCGCTCAACTAGTTTCCTTGAAGCGCCTTGACAAACGGTGCAGAGTCCTATAGCAGCATAAAATCAGGTCGTCAATAGCGTCTTCAGCAAAAGAGGAGTTTAGAACTCACCGCCCACGATTGGTAGAGAAGGAGCCTCGGCTGCGACGAAGTTGCATTTTCGATGCGCAGCCTCCCAGCAAACTCTCCAGCCACAATCTTCCCGTTATTGAGGTCTATCGCCACATGCCCGATGAAGAGCAAGTCACTGCCATCGAGATCGGCCGCAAAGACCTTCAGGATCTCGTGGCGGCGCTTGGTGACAACTTTCCATGCATTGTCCCTCGACTTGCGAAGCTCTAAGAAGACATCAATCCAGCCAGCCAGCCAGCCGTCCTCGTGAAACTCGAGGAAGAGGAAGAAGAAGGAAGAAGAAGAGGAAGAGGAGGAGGATGCAGAGACAGCAGATCAGACCTACCGTCTGGTCCTATGAATACGTGGCCCCCAAACTCTGCTTTTCCAGTCGTTGCAAAGACCTTGTCTGCCAGAATGTGTCCTGAATCCTGATCTTTCTGGTCTAGTTGCCAGAAGAAGCGGTCGATAAGCTCTTTGACGGTCGAGTTAATCTCAAAAGTCGGCCATTCTGTGTTTTCGGTATTATAGCCCATTTTTGTTTTGTTTTTGAATTCTATTGCTGGATTGGCGGTTGTGGTGCAGTCAAGTACGGCACGAGTTGCTACTACACCGATGGTATCACTCGGGTGACGATGAGAGATCCATGGACCCCGGGAGAACTGGTATACGTAGTAGAAGGAGTCGTTTATTTCCGAGAAACCAGTATTCGGAAAGCCCTCGGGCCTTACTGCTCCGGAAAACTCCACCAGAACGTTCTTTCCGGAGTTCTGTATAATATTATTAGGCGGACGGAAGCAACACCCAGCAGCCGAGAGATCCATTCCGAGTCATGCCAAGTACAGCGCTGTCAGCACCTTACAACTCGCCTGTGGACATTTCTTCTGTCATTTTCAGCGAGTACTTTTCTGTTTATATAGGCATCTGGTCTGCATCAGGAAAGCTATTCCTGAACGTTTTCTGTCGACGTCATCCATGGCGAGGTGATCCTAATGTAAATTGCGCTGGTGATCAAATTACTTATCAAACTGGCCTGATACTCGATCTGTCTCACAACAGCTCTATGACTGAGGTGTATTACAACTCAAAGCGAAGCAGACAATGGGAGACGTGTCGGGCGCTCATATTCTTATTCGTAGTTGCTCATCTCCACTCAATAAAACTTCTCCTGTGGAAGAAGAATTTTGAGAATGTTGCTTAGCCCTGCATACTACACATATGACACATACAACAAATGGGGTCTAGATGATGATGATGATGATGATGATGATGGTGATGACAATCATACCGATTAGACCGCCACGCAAGCCCGATGCCATGGTGAGGACGTTGGACCTCCTGAAAACGCGGTTCCAGGGCGCTGGGTTTGTGGCCGAGATGGTCGACAATCTCTACGACGCCTTCCTTGACCCGCCAGCGAGGTCTCGGCAGCTTCACCATTACCACAGGGTAGACACGATGCCTTATCTAGAAATATAAACTCAAACCCTCAAAGAGAAGAACGAGTCGGAGACTGAACCCCTAGCAAAGATTGTCCGATTCATTCAACGTGGCCTGTCCATGGACATAGTTCACGTGGTTGTGTGGAACTAATAGATCTTTCAATGGTTCAATACTCGGATTTTTTGGGTTCTTCTGCCCAGGGTCAGAGAAGCACAGTGTATGGAGTATGTTACTGTATAATGATAATTAAATTGATCACAATTTACATAGAAACCACATCACGCGTCGCCATTGAAATTCCTGCAGCAGTGCCAAGAAAAGCCCCCGAAACACTTGCCTACAAATCATCACTGCCCGTAGATCCTCCATGAGTGTTGAGGGCGAAACTGCGCAGTCTACTATATGTCTTCATGAACTCAAGTATCAACAACATGTTGTCAAGCGCCTCGCCCCAGTCAGTACCCATATCCAGGTAGCTAGCTCACATATGTCGAGAGTTATGTCAAGCACAGTTGGTACTAGGCATGAGAGGCCATTCGTAATATCTAAAATCTACGATATCTGTGTTTGTGAACTATTTTCCGTTTTCGGGCGAAATCGGTCAGCAAGGAAGTAGTTATAAAATATTCAAGCGGTCGGTCAAGATCTCACTAACCTCGTAATCGCCCGACATTTCAGTGCCCGAGGGGAACAATTTGTCTAGCTCTGACGTCCACTGACGCGAGTCTGCGTCCGGATTCCATTCGCGGCATTTGAAAGCCAGGTTGCGAGCGTGTTCGGCCACCTCTCGAGGAAAGCTTATGTTCAGCTGGCCGCCGCTGGCATAGTCGAGTCGGGCGAACATTCCGGCAACGATTTCGATCAAAGTAACGTCGGATTGTGCACGGGGATTCGTGGGCGAGCGCACAATGTTGAGGAATAAATTCGTCGCAGCGAGAACAGGAAAGTAGAACATCAGCCTAAACTCATCAGAACTCCGATCAGGTCGTCATCAGCAAAGCAGAGATGGTGAGAAGGTGAGACTACATGGGCAGATATGGAAGAGATGGGCGCGAAGCCGAAGAGGTGCGCTGGGTCAAAGTGGCAGATATTGGAACAAGGAAACTTACCAGGCAGGCGTACTGGCGTCGATGGCAAATCTTTGGCTATCGAGAACGATGGCTCGAGATGCCTCAGCGATAATGGAGGCACTTTCCTGGGCCTGCTTGGCGTATTCGGCGCTCTGTCGCTGCTGCAATTGACTCTCCCTCCATGGCTGGGCGAAGACGGAGTGCAGCACGCACAGAGCTCCGTGGAAGCAATGTTGAAGGAACAGGAAATGGATGTGGCTGATACGAGGATGGAGAACTTTGGGCCGATTGGGCGTGTAGAGAAGGTATTCTTGCCTCAAGTCGGCGTACCACGCCCGCAAGTCGGCGTCGAGTTTCTTGACGGTCTTGCTAATCTCCTCAATCGACCGTACTCGCGACTTAGTGCCGAAGAGTTCCCTCTCGATAGCATACGAGATCTGTGCGTGGCGAACGGAAGCAAGGAGGAGCCCCAGGTCGGTGTGAGTGTCGTGCCGGGGCGCGGTCGGTAATGCCACGTTGATATCGTCGTCGCGGATCATCTATGGGACGCATTATTCGTCAGAATTCCAATTAAAGCAATTAAGAGGGGGCAGGTGATGCGGTGACACTTACTGACGGTCGACCAGACCTATAGGCAATGTGTTTGTCGTATAAATACATCACCCAGAGCAGCCAGTTTCGCGTGGCCTTCTCAGATTCGGAGAGGCTACATTGGGAAGGGGGTTGTAGATGAAGTCGTTTGGAGAAGGCCAAACGGATTGCCGTGGATAGCAACATATACTCTAATGAAGGAGCCGAGATTCCTTCACAGTAAAAAGCCTATGTCGAAATTAGTTACCAAAGTCGGCGGTAAGTCGTAGAAGTCCGACTGACCATAAGCAGGATGCACTCGATAGCACTAATGTTGGAGGGCATGTACACCAGATTAGTGTGGACAGCGAGAGCATTCTCAAAGTACAACCAGGATTGTCTCTGCGCTGTTGCATAGTTCACCGGTCCACCGCCTCGACCTAGTACAAGGCGACTTCCGATGGCAAACACGGTGTTTCGGAGGCTATACCAGGCAAAATCGGCACCGACGGGTTCTGATTGCGAATAATGCTGTTGAAGTCGACACTCGAAGGCCTGGCGTGGCACCAATCCCAGTGTGTGCTCAATGCTCTCTTCAAAATAGGCTAAGAACAATAAAGCGAGTCAGTTTCGATATTTAATTCTTCTTGGAGTGATTTCGAAGACTCACCGGTAGCCCAGAGCATCGCTGTCTCATAGTCAGGATCGGGTTGCCGCTCAATTGAAAGCGGCCTCGTCATTTTCAACGATCGTGTTATGGTCACAGCAAGTCTGCTTGCACATTTATGGAAGTCCGAGTTGCCCAGTTGTTGGCAAACCCAGTCGGCACCAAGTGGAGAGCAGAGGCCCAGGAAAGATGCTCTGCCTGGGTTTCGCCTGTCAGTGTGTTATACAGGAGATTCTCTCGAATAGTCTTCGTACCGATATGTTCCTGATCATCACCCTAGCAATTCAAAATTTAGTCAATGGACTCGAACAGAGTGCACTATGTGAGGAACTCAGACTCACTTCTTGCTGGGGCGACTGCGGAGTTTCATAAGGTATGTCGGTGGTATCCTCGACAATAAGCGTACGCCCGTTTGCATCGTCTACGTGGTCGCCGTCGCGGCCCTGCCGCGCAGGAGAAGGTATCTGCTGCGATTGGGCACGGGAAGCTGGAGCTGGAGCTGGAGCTGGAGCTGGCCTTGAAATATTGTGGGACACATTGCCCATGTCCAAGATCGAGTCAGACAGTGGCAAATTGATGTCTGAGGGCGCAGGATCATGAAGGTGAAACACCATGGGGGCAGCATCCGTCGAGCTAGATATCCAGTCCGGTAATCTAGGCAAAGACATGTCGTTGCTATCGGGAGGACCATATGAACGGCATGACGAAGGTGATTTCGGCGACGATTCTGACCTTATCGACGGTCGGACCGATTTGGAATTTGGTTGCTGGATCACGGCTCCATCAGAATAGTTAATGGGAGCGGAGGATGCGGTGATCGGGGATCTTCTAGGGGCCTCTTGACGGACCAGCTGCTCTAGCGAAGCAACACGTTGCTCTAGAGAGGCCTGGCTGTGGCTTCTCTTTTTGCTTGCCGACTGGTCAGGAAAGACGCATTGCTCCCTATGGGCCTGCTCGTTGACGTTCTTAATCACCTCTCTCTGGTGGTAGCATCAGGGCGACCACTTACAATACAATTTGCGCAAGGCCGGGTTCCTGTACCTGCGTGCTGTTAGTAAACATAGCGAAGGGCGCAATGTAATCTAGCCGGGAGGGGGTGAGGCTGAATTGCCTTACATTTAGTCTTCTTCAAACGACAGTATTGGCAAGCGACTGAGCATTTGGGGACATCTGGGCGGGCAGGCATCGTCTCGATGTGCCGGCGACCGTGATTTTCAAGCCTTTAGGAGCGTTCGGTGTCCAGGCGCTCATTCATGTACTCCTGCACAAGGCCATAATCAAGACATAGCAGAGATGAGGTGTGCGCTGCAGATTCTATTAGTCCTCTCGTCTCTCAGTTCTCTCAAACCCCTCTTACCAGTCCGGAGGATCCTGCCACAAAAAAGGAGAGAAGTTCACGAGCAGGAGGCGAACCCCAGAAATGCCCCCGTGTTTGCGGGGGATGTCATGTGACTTTGGGGATACCAACCTGTTACGCAGATTTCAAATCGAGACGTGTTACTGTATGATGGCCCCGGGTGCAGCGGATTCAATTCCGAAGCGAACCTCAACGCGGGCAAAGTCCTAGGTACAGAGATATGCAGCAGAACAGCTGTCCGCGCTAATTTATGTTAATGTAACACCAATGACGCCACAGATGTCTGTAAAAGTGATTTTTGTAGGTCGATCTATTTCAACTTTTTGACTCTTCGCCCGTTAGCCTTCGTCTTTGCCATTATTTGCACCCTGTTAGACATATCGCGAAGCGGTACTCTCACAAGCCAGTTGTATTGATGAGGGGCTCCATGGACGCTGTTGAAGTATCGGGAGGAGCGATTGAAGATGCTGTTGGGCCTGACAAAGTTGAGAAAGGTTCTCTTGAAGGTTTGGATAACGCTGCAGCTCATTCTCTATGTCAGGTTCCATCTCTCAATGGCTTGCAGCTCCGGTCAAAGCAAGAGAAGCTGAGTGGCCCCGAGCTAGTCGTCCAAATTGTATTCAACGATCAACTGTGGCACTCAAGGTATTGCTCTTGCCGATCATTCAACTCGATATTCGCTCGCTCAGCAAGTTCAAGCGGTAACGCACATTTCGCTCGTATATTCGACTAAGCAGGTTGAGAAGGCGATAATGGTGCCTGTAAGGCAACTTAACGGGGAAAAAACAGGAATGCTCATTTCTAACGGTAAAGGAGAGTCGATTGGTATTGTTATGTCGGGGTAGGGAACTCATTTCTCTTCTCTGTGGGAATCTCTACTGAAATCAGAATTCAAGGTCATCATTAGGCCGAAAATGATCCCCTTTGTAAAACTCTGTCCACAAACCCTTCCAGGAACGATTATACAGGAATATCACACTCCAAGTCATCCGCACTGGTATACGACAAAGAATTTCTCAATTGAACCAGTTTCACGACTTCTCGGCCCCGGCAACGCCCCCGGCCTAAGTCCGATTGAGAAGACCTAGCAGTGGCCAGAGAAGAGAACTACGTACTCCAGTTCCCTGGCGTCTAGGACGGCGCTTGGAAAAGCATGGATAAAGAAGTGGAATACTCTTCCACAGCTCGAGACGCAAAAATGGGTTGAAGGAGTCGTTCATAATATTCAGGAGGTTATTCGTCTTGAAGAGGATAATGAATCTAGAGAGAGAAGAGACATGAAGCGTAGTTACAAGGACGTCACAAGATTCGCGAGCTCTTCAAGCATTCCTGGATCACAGACGAGGACAATATAAAGACTCAGGAAGACCAGGAATTTATCAGCGAGAGCACCAGCAACGACGTCGGCGAAGATAACTACAACGAGCAAACGATGCGAGATCCTCAAAGCTATGGCGATGGGAACAAAAGACACCCAACTTTTTGTGGGTGTTCTCTGATGTGAGTGGGTTGGACCTGAAGAGTTGTCTTGATGAGGAACGACGGCGAGCTCAGTATTGGAAATTGGCAGCACGTCTCGGAGGCCGAAGCATACTATACAGCTAGGGGACGAGATGGCACTCTTTTCCTTTCCTTCTCTCCAGATTTGCTCTCTGTGTTACCTGGCAGACTTGTTAGTTGGCAGAACTCATTTCGAACGCTCACATGAGGCATCAAATCGGCGCCTCTGTCTTGGATTTACACAGTATCCTGAATCAACGCCGTACGTAACTGAGACCTTTGCGACTTGGGCAACTTCGACGTTCTCAAATCAATCGACTCTGTCATACCATTTGTATGGGAACTTGTTCTGCCCAGGAGCTAAAGAACACTAAAATTTTAGCGCGGACGCTCTGTGTAATGGCTCGATGTTCCGGAGGGTACCGTTAGTGTCCTTCCGGTACCGGATACACATTCAACACGAGTTTCCGTAGCCCAACCCGTACCGGCTGATCGACGTCGGCTGAAAGAAAAAATACTTCCATGAAGCCTTGAACACAGAGTCACAACAATTCTCCGTCCGATTCTGCTAGTCTCTTCGTTGTAGATTCAAGCCATCTCCGGAATATCACATGACGTGCTAGCGCCACCCACACGAAGTACGTTATCTCCGTTCGGCTGATTGATGAATAGATTTACTGCAGCGGAATCGAGCGAGGACCAATCTCAACTCTCTTCTTCAATACCTCAGGACTGAGTCCGTCTCGTAACTTCTCAAGCATCTCCTCGGGGTCGAAGTCGGTACCGATTGGGTTTTCTTCGAAATACTTGGACTTCATAAATTCTGTCGCTGCGTGGGCAGTGTCAAAGTTGTCCACCTGCGTCTCGATCTGATTACCGTCCGGGTCGGCGTAGTATATGCTGGTGGTGGGACCGTGGTTCACGCTCCAGATGGGTAGGATGCCCAAGGCTTTGCGTTGTTGATATGCCTCGAGGAGGTCATCCAGGGTGTCGAAACTGAAGGCTGTGTGCTCTAATCCGCAAGACTTAACATTCTTCGGTGCAGTTCCCGGAATGCCTGCGATCGCAATACGATGGTGTTCGTCGTCGTAAGTGAGAAAGGACAGAAAATTGTTTTCAAAAATGGCGCGCGCTCCTAGAAAGTCCTTGTAGAACTGTACCATCTTCTGAAGATTTTCACTGCTTGTGCGGAGCACCACATGAGCAAACTTGCTCGGACTCCTGACTGTGGGTGTCTGTGCCATGATTCAGGTCTTGTGACTTATCTAACAAGGGACGGGATAATGGAGCTCAATGTGTTAAGGTAAAGCCAGCAAGAAAATCGATGGCTCGGTCGGGCTTCATAAAGCTATCTGGCTAGAGCTTAACTTGGACGTCCGGCCGGACGCGCAGCCGAGGAGTCGGACTGTCTAAGCTCTATTATCCTCCGGCTGCACAACGTCCCACCATCACTGGGCCGGGGAATATCAAAACGAAACATCACCACACACGAAACATCCACGAGTCTGTGGAGAGTCGACCCCGGGCTCCGGACAGAGGCGCCAGAGTCAATGAAGTTATACTGAACCTATCGCTGTCCGCGGGGGATACCCGCGGGGGGAGGCATGGGACTGACTCGAGGGCCCTGAGATCGACTCTAGTCAGTGAACGCCAGCCTTACGGCGGGGATCAGCAGAGTATATAACGAAGTATGTGGCGTAACGTACCCTAATCTTGAGAAACAACATAGTGAGCCTAGAATTCTTAGTGGTGTGTCCGACGCATCATGGACCAGCAACTATCCCCCGTGGTGCTCGCCACGGTTTCGGCAGGCATCATCCTCTATGTTATTTACAAATTTCTCAAAATTGGCAGCAGACCAGCAGATTTACCACCCGGCCCTCCTACGATACCAATCCTAGGAAACATTCACCAGGTAAAGAACCGTCCAAAGAGCGACAGCTGAGCTGCCGTAGCTGAGTGCAATGATCATAGATCCCGGCCGAGCGACCTCATCTTCAATTTCAGAAATGGGCCCAAGAATACGGGTCAGTATCAATCCAACTCTGTCTTCGCACTCAATCCTTGCTAACAGAAACCCCAGGCCGATTTACTCGCTAATGCTCGGAACCACGACCATGATTGTTCTTTCGTCGCCGAAGACGGTGAAAGATCTCATGCAGGACCGAAGTGCCATATACTCCTCCAGACCGGACATGTACCTTGCACACGATGTGGCTAGCAATTGTCAACGATTTGTCACTATGGTTCGCTCTTGGTCCCGACGCGAGATGGGAAACAGAAATGCAACTGCTAATTGATTTAGAAATATGGACCGATGTGGAGACTCGTTCACAAGATGATGCACAATACGCTCAACATCAAGACGGCCGTAGCCTATGTCCCGTATCAGGATCTCGAGAACAAAAACATGCTATTAGGCCTGCTGGAGCGACCGGACGACTTTGTCCTGCACCTAAGACGGTACACCAGCTCGCTGACGACCCAAATGGTTTACGGCTTCCGCACCATTAGTACCGCAGATCCGCGGATGATTCAATTCTTTAGGGTGAGGTGACGACTCTGCTGTTTTCCAGTACAAGTCTGTCGGTATGTGCTAACCTAATTCACAGGGCTTCGAGAGATGGGGCAAGATAGCTGGCAGTGCTAGCGCTCAGATTATGGACTGCTTTCCCATCCTTCGCAGAATCCCGGCCCCGTTTAATCCAGAGTATAGAAATGCAGCAGAACTGTACCAAGAGGAGCGCAAGCTGTACGTTGGCCATTGGAATGATGTCAAGGAAAGAATTTTGCGCGGGACCTGTTTGGTGCGTTATTGCCATACAGCACGAGTATTCTTATTCCTTCTTTTCTGCAATGAACTAACACCACCTCTCAAAGCCGTGTTTTAGCGTCGACGTCTTCCTCGCCCAAGAGAAAGAACATTTCACTGACGAACAGGCTGCGTATATTTCTGGATCGCTCCTTGAAGGAGGGTCTGACACTACTTCGGGAACACTAGTGGGTTTCATTCAGGCGATGTTGGTGTTTCCCGAGACCCAAAAAGCCGCACAAGAGGAGATTGACAAAGTCGTGGGCTTCGATCGTATGCCGGAGATGGATGATGCCCCTAACTGTCCATATATTCGGTCATGCGTGAAAGAAGCCATTCGGTGGATGCCAACTTTGATCCTGGGGTCCCCTCACGGATTGATCCAGGAAGACCACTATATGGGTTATAGAATACCTAAGGGCGCTGCTATCGTCAACAATAACTGGTAAGGACCTAAGATTTGTTGAGGTCCCTTTCGGTGGTTCGTATGTATCGAGGCTCACGCTAATAGGACGATTAACATGGATCCGGAACGCAACCCTAATCCCCGAAAGTACGATCCCATGCGATTCATCAACGACTCTCAGAGCGAATTCCAGTCTGCCACCAACTCCGACGAGAATCAGCGCCAGAATTGGATCTTCGGAGCCGGCCGTCGTATGTGTCAAGGGATGCATATTGCCGAACGTTCGCTGTTTCTTGCCGCCGCCCGCATCGTCTGGGCTTTCAACATCGACAAGCCAATCGGTCCGGACGGTCAGCCCATTGTTCCGGACATTGAAGACCTCGTGGGCGGAACCACGGTGCTACCCAGGGACTTCCGCATCGATATGACTCCTCGCAGCTCCAAGAAGGCAGAGATGATTAGAGAGGCATGGAAGCGTTGTGAAGAAGACCTTCTTGATCCGGTCACCAAGCAGTGGATGAAGATACCCGAGGGGATGAAGTTTGGCACCTATGTTCCAAAGAAGGTGCAGGAAATGACGGCATGATAATGCATGAAACTTGAAACCGGCCAGACAGGACAGACCACACTGCTCTACAAGGGAGAAGATGTGTCCGACCAGGCTTAGAGACGAAACCTTCCTAAACGTTTGGGTGTTACTCTCATTTATATACGCGTTGGAGGTAGGGCTGGCGCTGGTCAATAGCTCGCAGTGTCGAATACCTTAGGCCTTGTCTGCCTGCAAGTTGACAATGAGCCTCACCAGTATTAGCCTGAGGCTGGTGGTTAGCGCCAAAATATTTGGTCATTTATTTCTGAGGCATCGCCGCATACACCACAACACCATGTACTGTAACAGAGCACTTCAGGGTTCGGCGTGCACGTGCAACAACGCACAGAGGCCTGTCCAGCAGGTCGGGAATCGAGAACGCGTTTCTGGTTGACGCTGACAAGACAACACCACCACCAACACCACCCAGAGAGGCAGCGACTAGGGCAACGAACGCCTAGCACAGCGGCGGCATTGAGGACTGGACAGAACTGATAAAAACATTCAGGAATTAGGTAGACGGCACCAAAAAGGCCATAAAATTGATGATACTCTGCTCGAACTGTAAAGAATGGCACTCTGCCAGCACTGTAAACTGCCTAGCACTCCCCTGCCAGCCCATTTTAGTTTGACATGTGACTAGACAACTCTCCCCCCTGCTACCACTCATTACAATATCTTCTTAATTATTAGGGATTCCTTGGCAAGTAAACATAATCTAGCGACAAGCGTATATATAAGGTACCCCTGTAGTATATGATTGATACTGTACACGACTCCAAGTATGAGACAAGGAAGATTGCGCCTCCCATGCGGGAAGTGTGCTAGTAATAAGGATGCACTCCCTGAGTCGCATTTATGCTTGGCTGGTGGCCTGATTATTCTCCGATGTGTTAGGCGTCGGTCCTTCCGATGTTTAGCCGAACCGGTAACATTAAGCGAATTCGCGGAGAGGTTCCCGAAGGGACCGAGGGGAAGTCTTGGCATCTCAGCATCGAGGGAAAGAGACCCTCCAAAAGCGGTGGCAATGACCGCCAAATTCGGCGGGACATTTCCCTGCAACCCGCCTTCTGTTGTAAATTCAGGGATGTCACCACGAGCCCTCCCCTTGCAGAGCGTGCTTGGTGCATAATTTCCTTTGCCCGAATATTACCCTGCCAAAGTCCTTATGGCAGTCAAAGTGTTCATGTAGGAGGCCGCACATTTCGAAAACAGATTTCGCAAGCTGACAATTATCTAGCACAGGTACCACAGGCTACATAGGTGGTGACACCTTGTATGCACTGAACCAGAAATACCCAGAATGGGAATACTGTGTGTTTGCAGATTTCGCAGGACCTGTTTCTCCACCGGGACTCCATTCTGTCTATATCTCTTTGCAGCAGTCTTGTCGTGCCGGTCCCTTTTTGGGGGATTGATATGAAAATCAAAGAGGTCCTCCACGTGCGCTACCGGTTCCGGCTGCTGACATCATCTACTAGGTGCCCTGATCAGGACGCAGGAGAAGGCGAGCCAAGTTGAACAGCAGTATCCCAAACTTCGCATCGTCCTGGGTGATCTGGACGACCCCGGCGTGCTCCGAGAGGAGAGTGCAAAAGCCGATATCGTCCTGCGTGAGTTGTAATCTCTGCAATCCAGATCGGAACTGTTCTCTAACCACTTTTCACACCATCAGACACTGCAGATGCATCGGATCACGAAGGTGCCGCTAAAGCCATCGCGGCCGGTCTCGCTGAAGGACATACGCCTGCCAACCCTGGATTCTGGCTCCATACTGGCGGGACCGGGATCTTGACTTATGAAGACTCCAAAAACAATCTTTTGGGAGAGTGGTCGACCAAGGAATATAACGACCTCAGTGGAGTGGACGAGCTGACCCACCTTCCTGATGATGCGTTCCATCGTAAGGTCGACAAGATCGTACTTGAAGCGGGAAGCAAATATGCGGACAGAGTCAAGACGGCGCTTGTTTGCCCGCCCACCATTTACGGTACGTCTCTGACGAGGGGAACTCTGTACTGTCACTGTTTTCTCTTGCAGGTCCGACTGGTACTAGAGTAAACTAACTCGTTACTGGTTTCCCCTTAGGCAATGGCCGAGGTCCCATCTCCAGGCGCTCTCGTCAGGTCTACGAACTGACCAAGCTCATCTTGCAAAAGGGGTACACGCCTATTGTAGGTTCAGGAAAAGCACGGTGGAATCACATCCACATCTATGACCTTGCCGCTGCGTTTATCCTACTGGCTGAGGCGGCTGTCGCTAAGAATATGTCCGATGAGATCTGGGGCGCGAAGGGCTATCATCTGTGCGAGAACGGCGAACACATCTGGGCCGACTTGGCCAAGAAGATATCGACCATCGCAGCGGACAGAGGCTACATTCCAGCCAACCCCGCGGAAAAACGACTCAATAAAGACGAGGCTCTCGAGGTAGCAGGCTTCGAGGCAGTGAGCTGGGGCTGGAATTCGCGAGGAAAGGCCGAACGATTGAGGAAGTTTCTGGCTTGGGAGCCCAAGGAGAAGAGCATCGAGGAGGAGGCCGATCGCATAGTTGAGGCGGAGAGATCGAGATTGCAGGGTAAAATGCTATTATCCTGATAGTAGTGGATGGAACCTCGATTTTGGCAGGGCACTTATAGTTAGTTCCGTGTCTAAGATACGGCCAATATACAACATGTCCTTCCCCTTTTATCTGTCGTCCCGCTATGCTCAGGGCCTGTGCGTGACGGACTGGGACATTGCAGGATTCTCTGATCCACAAGATGCGAGATGAATTTGCCCTTTCAGCAACAATTAAAGTTTCCCCTTCTCGTCCGGCCGTTTGTCCTGATCAGTCCCTGAGGAAACTGTGCAACATCCGCCACCCCTCACCTGGTCCGTCCACGAAAAGACAGCAGTGCCTCGTGGAATGAGCAACAGGACACGAAAGGCAAGATAAAGAAAGCTCTCAAGTACCTGATTGCACAACAAACACGGGGGCTCTGGTTATTCGCTGCCAGACCAGAAGGAGTGAGGAAAGATTCTCGCTCGAAGACCATTGTCTTGCAGACAACAATAGCAGCAGTGGCAGGAGCAGGAAGAGGAGGGGGAGGACAGTCGCCTCATTGTCACTCAGTCACTCATGATGGATTGATGCTCTACCCTCCACCAACAGATAATGTTCGCTGCCCAAGTGGTGCAGGACGAGACCGACGCCTTGTCGAGCACAGGTCAGTGCCGTGGCTCATCCGATTCCTTGCGATGCCCCTGTGATAGCAATGACTTTGTCGCGCAGTATTCCGGCCGTCGATGTGGGATAGAATATGTTGTATTATGATTTTAATACGAGGCCAAGAGACCTTTGCCCAGGAAGGGTCAGTGGGCGGAAGAGTTGAAACCCCCGAATTTTGAGCGGGCTCGGATGAAGGTTTTACTCTTTTACTCTATATTCATGTATATTACCCGTCTGTGTTTCGAAGGAACAAACATGGTCATTTTGCTGGAGTCGCATTCAAGAAGGCAACAGTTGATAAACCCGAATCGCAGACTTACCAGCATCCACCAGGAGTCCAGAACCACCACGCGCGGGCGCGGGGGCCACAAAGTCGACAATCTTCGGTCACGTATGGCAGTTCTCTTTGCGCCACGTTCAAACATAACCTTGATCGTACTCGCCTTCCGGGCCGTCTTCGTCATCACCAGCACTACCCGGCAAATCCAGAGGCTTGGGTGCTTGGGAGGATGTTAGATCTCACGTCGTCCAGTGAGATGGTAGCTTTGGACGTTGGTGGTACAGGATACTAGGAAGATGTGACGATGTCTTTAGCCCTCTTGCTTTATCCCTGTTAACGCTAAAAGTCCGAGAACTAGGTCTGCAGACTTGACCATCAGCTTAATAAAAGGAGCTACAGAGAGCAGCACGACAGTCTCAGTGGGGTTCGAGCTGCGAGCAAAAGCACTTGACAACAATGCACCTGGATCATATCCATCTCTCGGTGACCACTGACTACTTTAACAACCTCCATCTTGCTCTGCCCTTGCTTGATTTGCTTGTTTGCAATATCTTCTTCACTTTCTTGACAATCCCGTCATCATCGATGTCAAACCTCCTGAAGTTTTCAATGCCCGCGCCGGAATAACAAAAGTCAGCCATCGCCACGCTCGCCGTACAGAATCTTGCCCACCTGCTACTGACATAAGCTTCGACGCTTATTATGTGCTCTGCAATCCCGAGCACTTCGTTTCGGTATGTATCGGGTTGGGCCTCGAACAGATTGATGCACGTCATGCTTACCATCTTGGTCGAGATTCCGTGCTGCTCTGCCAGCTACTTCACGACCGCCACGGCGAATGGCAATTCAAAGCCGCATGAATCGAGGTTGAGGGCTGCGACGCGCCGCTGGGCGACAACGCACCCACACCGAAGGACTTTAGAACGATTTGTATTGGGTATCGCGGGGATGGCCGGATCTCGGGCCAGCGAGATAATGACAGACATACTGTATCCTTGGTCGCAGGTGCGAAAGCGGGCCATCCAGGCTTCGCGGCCTCGAGGATCACCACGTCTTTCAGAAAGAAGCTGAAATGCTGGTACCGTACGTGGGCACAATATCCATACCCAAAGAGTGCAACGTCCCTGGCCATGAGAGGTTCAAAGGCTACATGTGGCACTCTGCGCGTTGGAATCATACTGTCTCTCTCAAGGGGGAGCGTGTCGCTGTCATCGGCAATGGCTGCTCGGCCGCTCAATTAGTCACGTACGTGACCAAAGACGCCGCGCAGATATACCAGTTCCAACAATCAGCCCAATAGATCAATGAAAGGCCCAATCGCACCTTCACCGACTTTCAAAAATGGTGCTTCGATACGTGCCTCTTTGGGACCGCACTTGCCGCTTCTACCTGTGGAAGAAGACTGACGCCCTTCATAATCTATACCAATCCGATACATCCCGATCGCTGCATAACCGCGTCGCGGCCACCGAACAAGCCAAGGCGCACATGACCTCGATTGCACCAACAAATTAGCATAACCTGCTCATTCCCCGGCTCCCTCTCGGCTGCAAGAGACGAATCTTCGACCCTGGTTACCTGCAGAGTCTCCAAAGCCCCAATATCCAGCTGACAGCGGAACCTATCCTCGAAATTACCGAAACTGGCCTCCGAACTTCTAAACAGAGCATCGACGTCGACGTCATCATCCTCAGCGCGGGCTTCAAGATCCAGGATTTCTTGTCTCCCATCATTGTGAAAGGCGTCGGCGGCATCAGCTTGAACGAACAATGGAAAGACTGGCGAGGCGCACAAGCATACATAGGCGACGTTCGTCACCAGCTTCCCCAACTTCGGTATCGTGTCCGGCGAGGGGTCCCAAGGCCTTCCCCGCGCACAAACCTCCTCCAAATACCAATTACAGGCAAGTTGTTGGACTAGTCCAATTAAGCCTATCTCTGGAGACCTCTTGGCACTGCGGCACTGGCAGTATTTAAGCCTCTACCGTCACAGACAGAGCTTCTCTCCCTTCTCAATCGATCAGTCAATCAATCACGTTATGGCCTCCAGATTGGTCAATAGGTTGGCGCTTTAATAGTTGAACAACACCCTGCTCGATATGAACCGTTGTCAGCGGAAGACCGTAACCCTCGTCGCGGTTCTTCGATCACAACCCTGCGCCCAATCAAAACGTGAAGGATCTCTCCGACAACGCCCAGAGGCCTTGTCCTTCTAGAAGATAGATATGAAGTCTACATAGGAATTCGATCACATCAAGAGCATTGCAACTACTCGCATATACATTTGCAGACTCCTGCTAATGGTATACACTGTCAAGTCTTCAGTTCGTGGTTGAGCATGCACAGTCCACGTCTCAATCTTTGCCGCACCCTTGATGGAAACGAGGCACACAAACAAGTCACATGCGGCGTGGATAAGCATTTCCAGCCTCTGGAAGAAGTACCAGTGCTCAACTTGGGCGTCAATTATATTAAGAATGCATTGGCTGGACATGTTCTGCTGACGCGCGCGATCGGCGTGCCGTGGCCAGCCACGAAAGAGGTACTTCCAGGATTCATCGTTTGCAAATTTTGGAAATTTTGCAGCGATTGGTATTCAGGGGCTTAGGTCCATCTGGTTAAAGGATTATCACGACGTTATGCTGCACCTTGTACGGTGGTGATGACCATATGCCATTGTAGGTCACAACAGAAGCATCAGATGAAGCGATAGAGTGACCGAGGTGTTGCCATTGTGAGCTCCGTATATCTTCCCTCTTGTGGAACGGTATTGTCAAAATGGTTTTTGCTCTACCATTTCTTCACTAGAGACGTGGAAATGCTAAACCGGCCCTAGATCACCAGCTTTTGCAACCCTGGGTAAATGTTCCTCCCTGAAAATCCACGCCTTTGGAGCTCGAAGGCTTACAATCAGCGGCAAAGGGGGAGGGGGAGATGGCTTTAGTAAATTGCACGGCTTGAAGTCCCAACGGCAACCAACACGCGCAGTAGACTCGAGCCGTCCTCAGGTTTTTCGCTGAGTAAAACAAGCCCCAGAGCCCGGCGCGCTGCTCAGATTTTTTGGTCGGTCAATTTCTTATATTTCAGGTGCATCCATGAACCAAGTCAGGTTCGTCTGATCCACGTCATTCCGGGTGAACCCGTTTCCAAGAAATTGGAATTTGTTGTTGGTTATGTAAGTGATTCGGAAATCCTCGTATCGAGGTTCCCCGAGAAGTTCGTACCAGTGAAGTCGTGAGCCAGGGTACTGCGCCGTCACTGGGCCGTTGTGGTTCCCATTCTTATACCACGAAGCGCACGGCTGACTGTAAACGAGCCGTTTGAACATGGTATGGCACCAGTTGTAGTAATCACGCGACGCCGCGGCGGTGGGCTCCAGTGCCTTGATGTTCTCTCTCTGCATTTTCTGGAGAGTTTTCATCATGTAGCGTGTCATCCACTCGATGATTGCAAAAAAAGGACCGTGACTGCCAGGGGCACCGGGGCCAGTAAACTCTGTAAACAAAGTCAGGACATGTAAGCCGACTCATCCGAGGATAAAAAAGACTCACGGTAGAAGTTGGGGAAATGAGGAGTCATGATGGACAGGTAGCCTCGTGGGAAATGCCCATAAAAGCTTTTCAAATCAACTCCGTTCCGTCCAATGATGGGAAAAGATGGGGTGAAGGAGGTGTCGAAGCCGGTGGCGCAGACGATGATGTCCACAGCATAGTCCTTGCCTTTATCGTCAACGACGCCGTCCTCGGTGACACGGGCGACCCCCGATCGAATCATCTCGACATTATCCCTGGTAAAACAGGCCATATACTCGTCACCAGGAGAGAGCCGCCGACATCCCAGGCCGAAGTTGGGGATCAGATAGTCGGCGATCTCGTCCTTTCCGAGCTTTGCTCTCATGCGAGCTGCCATGGCTTCGCGAACGGCAAGCTGAATTTCACTGTCTTCGTGTTGCTAAGATCACATGGCTTATGAGAAACAGGGCAATACGTAGTGGCCGTGCTTGATAAATCACATACCTGGCGAAATCTGTTTCCGAGGTCTTCCTCAATATTTCGAATATAATCAACATATGCCGCCTGGTCTTTTCGAAACAATTCCTTCTGCTCTTCGCTGTCTGTGAAATTGTCAGGTGTCGCTCTCCATAGGAGCTTCTGGGAATTGCGAGGCTCTATCAATCCACGTACACTTGAAATTCGACCCTTCCGGCCCGGCGTACTTGGCCGCGAAGCCGGGGCTGAGCCACACTGGCGACCGCACAAAGTTCAGCAACTGTTTCACATCTGTAGAAACCATGATTAGCGCTTGACCAGGCTGAAAGAAGACCTACGGGACTGTCTTACGTGGTGCTACACCTGGCACAACTTGGATTGCAGAAGAACCGGAACCGATAACAGCCACCACTTTGTCTCGTAAGTCCACAGTGGTGTCCCACGAAGCCGTGTGCATTAAGTTGCCCTTGAAAGATTGTAGACCGGGAATATTGGGGTACTTCCATACACTTGACTCATTCATCAGCACACTTCACACTGCGTAGGACGGGAAGAAAAGGTACTTCAAAGCACCGCTCGTATTGAGAAAGATATCGGCTTCGTCCGTGAAGGTGCTCCCATCAGGTCGCTCCACCTTGAAAACCCACTTCCCTGAGTCGTCGTTCCAGTTGGCCTGACAAACTCTGTGCCTCAGTCTCACAAATCGGTGGAGATCAAACTTGTCTGCAGTATCCTGCAAGTATTTCAGGATCTCAGCAGCAGGAGAGTAGCTAAATCGTCTTCAGCATGACACAGCTCGCCACTGAAAATAGAGGTATTGTGACTTACAAGGAACTCCAGTTGGGATTGCGGTTCCAACTGAATTGATAGGCGTGGGAAGGAATGTCGCAGGCACACCCAGGGTATCTGTTCTCCAGCCAAGTGCCCCCAACCGCATCATTCTTCTCGTACAAGACTACGTCGACATCTTCCATGAGCTTGCCAAATTTGTACGCCACCTGGAGAGCCGTGGCGCCGGCTCCCGTGCAAATAACTCGCAGTTTTCGGTCACATTGATACATGGGCTCCTCCGTGATCTGGAAATCCCCAAAGTTCTGCCTGTACCAGGGGTTTGCGTGCGGTTTCTTGCTATGACTGGTGACCACCGGCGTCGAACTTGTTTCCGACTTGTCTGGCACGCCATTTGTCTTCTCCTCAAACTCTTCATCGTGACTAACGGCTTTGAACAGTGGTGGACCTTCCCCTGAAAAGGGATCCCAGACGATTTGTTGTACCATCCTGGTTTTTTTTTCTTTCAAAAAAAAAAAAAGAAATTGGATTATTGCTGGACCTTCAAACTACCGTTCTGTCCAGTGATGAAGGCAAATTCTATCAGTCTAGATAGCAGATAGTCGCATGGCGCAAAGCTGTGTACTTTGAATACTTTGGTATTAGACTGGAACAACAAAGAACTGCATGGCTTGAAGGTTGGGGGTGATGGTTCCCCGGCCACACCCCGCAAAGGTTCTATAGAGGTCAAGCCGCAGCACAGCAGCCTTGGCCCACCCATGGCAAGTCTAACTAACTACTTTCTGCGACCGGGCGGGGGCTGACTAACAAGTACTGCGTATTACGGAAGGCTCTCCACTCCGCTTGCAGCTCGTTGGCCGCTTCGTCGTAGTGTATGGGCTTCATCCCACAACCCACAAAGTCACAGAACGGTGGTGACGCGGGGAGCTTTGTGGGATGCTCTTGTGATGCAGGATGACAGCGTCGTCGGAATGCCGAGGCATCAGGTGATCTAACCAGCAAAAATCGAACACAAAGTTTGTTGTGAATGCTACTCGGAACTCTCCTTCTTGTTGCCTCCAGGTGTCGGCGGTGTCTTCCCGGATTGCAGATGCCTCTAGATAGGTTTGAACTACTTTGTCCATTTCTATTGGAAGTAATGTCGTCGTTCTTTCTACCATTAAGTTCATGTATCCAATTACTTTTCACGATGCTCCACTAACATTCGGAACTTATTGTAACTGCAGTTCTTGTCCCTATATACGGCCATAGCTTAGATCGCACAACTCGCATTAATCCTTCCCCACTACCAGGTAGGATATCGAGGCATCTAGCTTAATCAGCGCCCCAAAAATGCTACAAATCAGGAGTCGAGATAATCAGGTGCCTTCCTAATTGAAAGGATTCTCGGAGCGTTTGAGATAGCCGTGCCACGTGTAGCCAGCGTTGGTAAGACTATAGTCCCACTAGTCCTAGTCCTAGTCCCAGCCCCCTAGGACTATAGTCCCTAGTCCTGACTATAGTCCCAACTAGTCCCCCTGAATCTCCGTAAACGGAGCGATCTGATTGGTGGAAATAGGTCCAAAGCCTCACCATCACATCTCATATAGACCTTGATCGATCCAGTGCTTCAGGCATTGACTAGCCTCGAAAGACCTCGCCGATAGACGGTTACGATCGACTGTTATCGTTCTCTTCGCTTAGGAGAATACCCTCTCTAGTTTTATAGACATTGCAGGTATTGTTAGAGTGTTAAATGCCCACTGACGAAGTGACGGAAAGTCATAGGTAGACCACCAGTGGAAAAGGTTTTCTTTACGCCAATCTATAAAAGGCGTCGGTCGACCGTTGATATATCGATAAAAGTCGTCCTCGGTATTCGAGATATTAGCGCCTTGTAATTAAGTGATAAATAGTGAGAGAGAGGACTGTGAACGTTCCGAAGTAGTTATAGGCGTAATCTGACTGTATTGTTCTTACTAGATCGTACGGTTCTTTTCGATCATAGGCTCGATCTAATGTGCGGCATTATTGGTCCAAGAACGCTTAAAATACTGTAGACGAAGACAAGGATTAAGAAGAGCGCCAGCGATATATAGCTCGTAATTCTTGTCTGTTAGATCGTTATATTCTTGCAGTACTTCCTAGGCGTTTTAGTAGTAAACGATTAGGGGGTCGGTACTCACTGTATATCGTTGAGATATCTGCCGTTACGCTGTTCCTCGACCGCGTTGATTCTAACCTCGTCGTCGTTGAATAGAATAGTCGTGAAGAGTTATATAACTCTCAATATAATAATAGAGTATATTTAGTGATGGTAGCGCCTCCTAGATTACTTCATAAGAGCCATTCTTATCACTTCCTTTAAATCTTAGTGTTATCTCTTAGAACGATTTAAGATCTTCGTAAATTAAGTCTAGTTACGCCTACTCTTTATCTATGAGAACATCGTCGTCGGAAAAGTTCTCGACGTAAGAGACGTAATACTTAAAAGTCTCTTTAAGTCTAAGACCTCTCTTAATCGCTAGGTAGGCGGAATTTCATCTAGTTACGTTATTAAGAATAGATTAAAGGTTAGAATATATATCGCCGAGTTTAGAATTATAGATATTCTCGCCTACGGTTACTAGATTAGGTAACTTACGCGAATAATATTAATCTAGATCTAAACTGACCTCGAATATTCATCTGATTCATAATTATCGCTATCACTATCTAGAATTATTGCCGACGTTAAGATAAGGCTCGAATAAACTTAACAGTATTGTGAAACTTACTAAATGATCCTTTTGTTCTCTAGAGAGCCTGTTCACGAGCGATCGCTGTCTAATCGCGAATCGATAACTCTTCCGTATATTCGGCGGCGTTTATAAACGCTTTATTATCCTTACCATAAATGAAGGCCTAGGCGGCGAGATTAATGATATAATCTAGGCAACGACTTCGACGTAAGTTCTCACTCTCGTCTGAATGAAATCGCCTAACTAACGCTTTATAGACAGTATTGTAATTATTTACGTTATCGGCGATATATTGTTAGACACAGCCTTGGAAGAGACCGGTCGCGGGCTGCGAAGGCGCGGCTCAGGACATTCATTGGACAGATGGAAGGATCCACAAGGGAACAAGGCTGAACCACGTGATATGCCCTGTTGGCTCTGTCGGCCCTGTGGGCTCTGCCAGCAGAGCGCACAGAGCGCACAGAGCGCGCAGAGCACGAGCATTATATATAC